TGTTTGTATCGGCGGTGTGATTATCATCTTGCATTTTCTGAGAGTTAAGCACAGTATATCAGTTTATAGTAAGAACGAAACGTTTAACCTAAAGGGGATTATTCGACCCTTTCTCTCCTTCAAGAAGTTTATCTATTGTTATCTCGACACCCTGCTTTCAAGAAACCTCCACCTTAAAGATTCAGTTTCGTAGACACGCTCACCGTACTACTGTGACATAAACGATCCCGATAACTACTACTTTATCGGCGCTCTCCCCTTCTAACTTTCGATACGTATAATTAAGCTTATTACCCGATTTATATAGAAAACTACTTCGGATTAGATTTTTCTATAAGATAGCGACTTACGAATTAAAATACGAAAGAGGGCAATTATTTTCGGTAGTAAGAAGCTAGCCGGTGACAAACTCCTATATCTTTCTACATTTATTATATAAACTATTCACAATTTAAACTCTTGTCTAAAACCTCAGCAGCAACACTCTTAACTAAAGAAGATTCCCACATAACCTATTAGATTAACCGTCATATAAGGTGGTGAGGGATTTAAGCTTCTCTGAAGCAGAAAAGTGAACTCACGATTTAACGAATCGTTTGATTAGAGTTGAATTATTGTCATTTCTACGTATACTCGTAGTCACGACTTCGCCCTTCTTCAGACGTCGCATTTCTTTCAACTAACCCGAAGCCTTGAATTACAAATCTCTTTTTATTATCACCACTTAATAAAACTATCTCATCCGCTTAGTAATATCAGAAATCATCAAAATCTAGTCGCGCCGAGGTAGCATTTTTCTCGACCACCCCCCTTTACAAAAAACCAATGATATATTATTAAAATTTATTTGTCTTCAGCTATATATATATTTCATTGCTTTATCGACATAACATTCACCTTCTATTTCTTATCTACTAAGACAAGGTACGTTTTCGGTAATAACCCCAGAATCGGTGACAGAACTTCCTATTTCATTCTTATTGTACCACTATCTCACCACTCCACCACCTCTCAAAACCCCGATCCCTCCCACAAATATTCCACCTCTAAAGTATAGTACAAACTACAACCTAGCACTCACGCATCACCCGTCTTGATCCATGCTTTTAATAGGTTTAACATCTCGCCTTATATATTCTACGCACGATTTATAACCCTTCCCTACTATCTCATTAAGCATACAAACAATTTCTTATCTATCCCTCATAACAACATTCCCATTACCGCCATCAAATTCCACTCGTTCTCCGCTCCTCTCCTACTCACCCCTCGATTCCACTTCTTTACCCTACGCCCACTCCCTCCTCTCTTTCCCCTCTCCTTACACGTCTTTAAGTCTCAATCTTCCATCTTTCTTTACTGAAAAACGAAATAGAGAAAGCTATTCGATTACTTTCCGAGATATAAATTCAAAAGCGTATCTCTATCAAGACCCAGGAATCTTCGCTATAAAAGGCCGCTACTTCATAGGTGTACGAGGGATAGTAAGTCCTTCCGACTTAGCATTAGACATAGTAGAGGTTTAGTCTTTAGGGTCTTTTGTTAAAGGAAGAGGTGGTTGCAGTTTGTGAGTACTGTGTCTTACACACTCGGATTTTAACAACTTTATTATACGACCATTTATCTCCTGCTTGTTTCAAACAGAAAACCAAGTTTCGATACTAGTTCCAAAATCGGTAACAACATCCCCTTTTATCCTCTCTTTCTTATTTTCCATTTCTCTAAGCCGTCTTACTATTTTAATACCCGCTCCCTTCTATAACATCTGTCCGTACACCTAAATTATCTTACTAAACCAGGATCTTACACTTATATATTAAATGTTAGATTTCTTGTTTGCTGCTTTTTAGTATTCTTTCTCGTTATTAATTATATAATTTATACACTATCCTTTCTACTCTTTAACTAACCTATCCAGTTTAGCCGCTTTTCGACAACTAGACAAATACTCACTTACTTCTACCTCATCAATCACTCCCTATCTCCTCTTAACCCAAACCTTCCCCAAACCGGCCCCTCCTCTGTCTATCCAAGAACCTGCATCTTAGATCCTCTCCCCCCACTTGACCTTACAAAAGCAACGTATGCAATTTAAGACAGCGCCGCTATTTAGGATCGGCGGAGAAGATGAGGTCGCTAGACAATTTCGAATGTGTAGGGGCGAGGGGAATAAGATTTCCGGAGAGGTTAAACATTACTCGCGGTACAAAGAGGCTCGTTTTAACGTCGACGGAGTAAGATTAATAAGTGAAATTATTAAGATAAACGTTTTACTCGAAGGTTGATTTTCTGTTAGAACGAGATAGTCTTTTCAGTAGTGGGTTAAGTTTCGGTAACAACCCCCTCCTCCCCTAACGTTCACACCTTAACAAATGCCCTCTCGTTCCAACATTCATTGTACCTCTCAACTGCGCTAACATAATAAGCAGTAGAAGTAAAATATTAGAGTAAATCTAGAACTCGTCGTGGTGGTCGATCGGTAGTCACAGAGTGTTGTTAAGACAAGTCTAAATTTCGCTTAATATAATTTAATTTACGACTATAATAATATGGCCAAGGAAACTGTGTGCCAAAGCGAATGTAATTTTTTGATTTAGAATCTCTCCGACTCTCTTATCCCAGGGTAACCCGATTCGGCATACTCCCACAAAAGCCCTCGTACAAATACGAAAACATGTGTCCATTGCAAGACACAATCTCAGGTGTTTATGGCAGATTTCAAAGCCTAATCCACAATCCCCTATCTCTCATCCAACTAATTCCCACACCACTAACTTCTCACTCAAAGCCTCCTTCTCCTCTCCAAGACCCATAAAACACGAAAAATTCAGACTACCGAAACCCATTCCCAAAAAGCCAAGCACCTTCCCCTCAAACCCCTATCCTCACCAACCAAGAAACAGCAATTGATAAACAGAGCTTACATAACCAATTCCAGCACATCCGCAGAGATGTTTTGATGTGCATGAAAAGTACCTCGGAAGATAAAACTCCAGTCAAGTTATTTCTAAAATACCATCCACAGTATATTGTGAAAAAGAGACAAATTAAATGATTCAAACGACCGAAGGTTTAACTTCTACCATGTATCGGACGTTTAGGAAGAAGAGGCTTTTTTTGGTGGGGACTCAAGTTTCGGTGACAGTCTCAACCTACGTTTCTCAAAATCATCTTCCTTTGATATATCGCTCGTTCAAAGCGCTAAGGATCTATCTCACAAGACCTTCTATCTGCCTAATCCTAAATAATTCCCCTAGGCATATATTCACATCTCTTCACCAAAAGGTCAGCTGTAGGATTTCCTTCGGTTAACAATTTACATCCTATATCTAATGTACAAATTTTATACACTGATCTACGACTTACTAGTTCGAATCACTTCCCAACTCTCGCAACCCTCTCCTCTACCCCTCGTAACATCTACACCCAAACCCCATCCATACCCACCCATTCCCATCTGTACTCAATTCCCATACCCACCCATCCCCAACACCCCAATAACTCAACAACCCTCACCATAAGAGCCCCCCTCCCCTACTTCACCTAGACCAACAACTGATAGTTACCGGACAGAGCTAATTTTCGGTGGAAGATCGGCGGTTTAATTGAAAAGTGGAGAGTAGGACTTAAGGATTGTGTTTACAAAACCGATCTAACGATTTTATTAAGGGGAAGGTATCTTCTACTTTACCCTTCTATAAAGGGGGGGGGGGGGAATTGTTTCGGTGGTGCGTAAAATTTCGGTAATAAACCCTTTTATTAATCTAATTACTATTATTCTCTCTCCCCCTTTCATTCCCTACAAATAAACACCTACCCCCCCCCGCCGCTGACTTCACCTCACAACATCAACTTTATATCTACCACAAGGAGCTGATTATCAGTAGAAGTTCAGATTTCTATCAGAGAAAACCAGAACCCTTATCAGGATACTAGAGGGACAAAAGCTGAGTTCCGCAATAGATCCAAGTAATCCGGATTTAATTTCCACACCTCCCGAACGATCACAACGAAGATTCGGTAATGAAGCAGAGTTCGGCGACAATACCCCCTAACTTCTGAACCTCTAACTGTACTTTTTCTACCGTGCACAACCACCCCGTAATGCCCTCCACACAAACACTCTCCCCACCTCCTTACACCTCAGCAAACCCTCCTTACACCTTCACACAACCACACCAGCAATCGCCCCCCAGCTCGTTCACTATTCAACATGTCCATCGCAGCAAAGAAACTAGACGCTTGATATCACACCCCTTCGCTCCTCCCCACCTCACCTAACCACACCCCCCCTCACCCCTAGAAAACACATCCAAATGAGACAACATCCAACCACCGAAAGGACGTTGAGAAAAACATTTGTGAGCTAATAATTCCAAAAATCAAAGACGATATTCCGAATTAGTGATTCCACCCCCGAAAGAAAAGACGACGTGATCCCCCACCCACCCTAGCCAAATACCTCCCAACAACGATAGGAAGGGGGGGTGGGTAGATGCGACTCAACACCCTAAATCCTATCCCACTTACACGCCAATATACATCCTAAAAAAAAAAATCCCTCTCCATCCATACCGTGAGCCCTACCAGAAGATCAAGCCACAGATCCCATAACCACATCGACCAAATACTGAAATCGCAAACGCACAAAGTTCCAAACACCGACGACCCAATCTAAATAAAAGGGAATCACACGAAGGGAACCAAGTCATCAAGAAAAACTGTGTGTCCAAAAAAAAAGTTGTATTATTTATCAACCCCCTTTTTCCCGTTCCCCCTTTGCCCTCCTTCCACACCATCTCCCATCCTCCTCATATCATTCAATCATCCAACCACGACATAAAACCCCCCTCGCCCCTACAACCAACTATATTTCCAAAAATCCCCAAAATATCCACATCAAAAGTACCACCAACGCCCCTTCCCCAAGAAAAAATAAAAACATACAGAAAAAAAAAAGGTGGTATAACATCCCCTCTCCTCCTCTCCCATCATGAACACTAATCAGTCTTCATCCTCTTACTATCTCCCCCACCACTCCCCTCACTCCCTCCATCCCCCTCCGGCGTCTTCCTCTTCCCACCCTGCGCACGATCCCCGGAATCCTCTCTCAAAAAGCTCGGTCCAGTACCCACAACCGGCGTCGCAAAGTTGAGCGGGCTTGGAAGCGTATTACTATCATTGCGCCCGCCAAACGCCCATTCAGGATAGAAACTGGATGGACTGGGGAGGAAATCAGAGTTATTCATGAATCGGCTGGGGAGGGCCGAGACGGGCGTGTCGATCATGTTGTTACTCGTATTTGAGTTTTGTGAGGGTTGGGAGACGGGGTGGTGTGGACGCGCGAAGGGGTTGGGTGGGCCTGAGGCACCGGCTGATAGTAATGCTGATGCTGACGGTGAGGGTGGCGGGAGGACGACGCCGGAGTGGCTGTCTGAACGACTGTTCTGCTGAGGATTCGAACCATTGGCATCTGCCGATGACCGAGGATCCGAATTTGAGTCTGCTGTATTTTGTTCGGCCTCCGAATCCACGTCGGGAATATGTACTTTCAAAACGGGACGTTTCATGCTTCCCATCTGAGCAGAATTTGTTCTGGATGGAGGCGTGAAACTGTCCACGGAATTGACCGAGACACGGTTCTTGGTATGGGTGTTTGCCCGTACTGGGGGCGGTGGAGAATTACTAATCTTTACGCGTGCCACAGCCCCAACATCCATCGATTGTGATCGAGTGTTTGACAATGGTAACGGCGGACTCCGTAAAGGCTCGGCGTTTGAAGTTGAAGAAGCCCAATGTTGAGACAGAATCGACCTCGATTCATCGATCGGTGTGAAAATACTCCTTGATTTAACAGACATGCGTTTCACCGGTTCCAACATTTGATGTTGCGGTGGGGGCCGAGGTTGCTGTTCTTGATGCCTTTCTTCCTCTTGTGGTGGAGGAGCTTGAATTTGAGGCGGTGGAGGTGGATGTTGTGGTATTTGCTGTGGTTGTGGTTGAGGAGGCGAAACACTTGGACGGGAAGGTGGGCGCTGTTGATCCTGTGGAGGATAATTTGGTGGCGGCACGGAAGCTCTCCTCTGCTCATCAATATACATTTGCTGTAGTTGTTGCTGATTTGGAGGAGGTTGCTGCTGGTGTTGTGGTGGCGGGCCGTAATTAGGATATTGAGGTGGTGGACCAGGTTGCTGCATGACCTGAGGAGGACCTTGCATCGGTTGTCCTTGTTGCATGTGTTGTGGAAGTCCATGATGAGAAGGAAGAGGTGGTGTATTTTGTGGGTTGTAGATAGCAGGTTGAGGGTGATAGGCAAATCCATTATGTTGCGGGTGTTGATGTTGTGCAGGAACCAGATTTGAGCTCTGCCTTCTTGGGAGGTTTCCATTTCTCGATGAAGGACGGGAGCCCTGTTGTGGTTGTGGGGTATGTTGTCGCTGTTGTTGTGGGTGAATTGGGAAAACACCATTTGGAATTGGCGGAGAAGCAGACGGTGTTGCTTGTCGCATTTGATGGAATGATTGATTTGGGTATGGATGAGGAGGCATCATTTGTGGTGGTTCTGAGCCGTGATGCGAGGGTCCCGATCCATCATCATCGTCGTCGTCGTCCATATCTTTTCCTTTGCCTGTGAAATCGGCTGGGCCTTTATGTTCATTGGCACCTCCATACTGAAACTATTAGCAGGTGTCTTATTGTGTGCGCGCGAATACCCACGTATTGGTATCGTGTCAAAATCTCTCCAATATCGCTACTCGAATACTCGTACAGTTTCTTATTATTCCCAAAGATTATGACTGCGACATCGACGGAACAGAGGACGGAAAGCTCATGCGCCTTTTTGAAAAGACCACCTTTGCGCTTGAGAAATGTCCTGTCGCATCGCATTAGCTGTGAACTACAAATTCGCACATCATCACCTACACCGAACGATTCCTGTCATCCTTGATCGCCTTGATTTCGATCTTTCTTCTCCCCATTGCGGCGACGCGCCGAGTCTGCGGGAGTTGTTCTGTTTCTATGAATGGATCCAGCTCCTCGGAAGTTGCGGTGTAACTGCGTGGGAGAGGTTTTGAGGTATATTCAGGCTGAAGGGATTGCTGGCTGAAGGTAGGATCAATGGTTGCGCACGATTTGGTGCCGAGGGTGTGTGTTGGTGTTGGATGTCGCAAAGATTAGAATACAGCGAGATGGGAGATAGTTGGCAGATGGTAGGCAGCGGTCGGGTTTGTAGTGAAGTTGCGACGGTTGAAGGTGTGACTTCGAGGTGAATTATGGGCTGATTGACGATGCGGCTGAATTGCGACGAAGAGAATGTTGATGCGACCGAGGTCTTCTATCTTACGCGACGAGGGTATTGGTATTGTACTATCTGGACTGACTTGGACTGAATGATGAAGCGCAAGATACTAGTCGATCAAGGTTGATGTCGATGAAACGCAAACAAATATACTGATACAGAGACAGCGGGGGACTTTGCCGGCGCAATGATCTCTGGTCGAAGGGGGCTTTGTTGAAGATATAGAATAGAACGCCCACGATGTGATGTAGTCGACGTCCTCGGTACCTGGGCTGGTTGCTGGGGTGTTTTTTATTTGTGTGGACGATAAACTGATAGAGAGCTATGTTGATGCTAAATATAGAGAAAGCTGTGGTTCGAGAAGTTGGGGTTGGGTCGGTCGGTCGAGGTGGGTGGTGGGTGGTGGGAGGAGTGGGAGCGGAGGGTGAGAGGCGAGAGCAGGCAGAGGCAGAGGCGAGCAGAGAGGTGGGAGTGTTCTTTGTCTGTGAGCAGAAGCCGGGCGGCGTGGCTTTTGGTGCGTGTGCGGGTGCGGTCGAGGGTCTTGTTCTGGGCGTGTGGATGGTCCACTCGCACTTCTTCCACCCTCCCACCGGCCTGTAAGAAACCGCTTGCGAGAGGCTCGTTAAACGGCTGACCAGGGGAGACACAGGAAACACCACAAACATCGTCTTGCGAAGAATGGATTGAAGCAGGGAAGGTATGCACGGCTGTGGTGGTAATTCTCTGTGTTGACAGGGGAATTCACGGGGCAAGAGTTCACGATGCGATGGGCGCATGGAGGTTGAGGGTAATCAACTGCAGAAAGGGGAAACATCTAATCAAGCGAGACGATGGAGATGTTGCATTGTTGCTGAAGACGAGTATCTTGCACTCTTTGTTTAACCCGTCTATTGGAACACCATAAAGGACCGACCTAGTCTATCTCAATTCCTGCGTCTATCTGGCTGCGTTTCTGCCCGCGTCTCTGGCCGACATGAATATACGACAAGGTACGGAGGAGGCAAAGCTTTCGTGGAAGCATACTCGGGACTCGATGCTGTGCTGTGCGTGCTTCGCTTTGCTTTGCCTCTCTCTGCCTCGCTTTGTAGGAATATGCGAGGAATATCCGCATATACTATTCGTCCCAGCGGCTATTTCTCAGGCCAACAACTTCCAACATCAGAATACGCAATACAGCAAAAGTCCAACATGCAAGACACATCTGACTGTAGCGACATTGAATCTACCGGAGAATCATCAACTACCGTTCCAACAATATGATATCCCTATGTCCTGCAGAACCATCGTCAGCTCCCCAGAAATCAAAATCTCACCCATCCATCACCCGCATTCAATCGCGCAAATCTACTCATTCTGTAACTGACCCCCTGATCCGCGGTATCCTATCCCACACTCACCATCTCACTCTCTCTGGCTTACTCACATCCCAATTCCAATCTTCACCTCGCCAAGAACAGGATCAAAAAGTCTCAATTCTAAGCGCCCTCCCTCCTATTGGCCACCCACCACACATTTCCAGCCAACGAAACAATCACCTTGTACGCCGCATGCTGACACACCTCCAGGGTAATGTCCCATAAATAGACCACATCCAGGACGTATCTCCCGATTAGGGTCATATTACAAACATAACCCGCTCAGCTATACGGGCTAATTAACCTGCATATTTCTCCCCAGATCTGGCGCGCTGCCAGTAACATGACCTCGTGCGTCGTTATGATGAATCGGGACGGCAGGCAGGCGGGTGGGTTCTATTTCTGATAGCACACCGAGATCGATATGCAGGTACGTTGTTGATTGTGCGGGAGAAGTGGTTGATGATGGGAGCTGGTTGATGGGAATTGGAATGACGCGGGGGAGAACGTGGTGAGAGTGAAATGGGAAATGTGGGTGAGCTTGAGAGTGTCTAATTTTATACAGCGGGAGGTCTAGTTGTGCTAGAGAAGACATCACAGCTATCAATGTGATGAACATGTTTGTTTGTTAAACACATTCGGTACTTTTCCATATGCCGTCCGGATATTGGGGATCAGTCTCCCTTCAATTTTGCAAACTGTCAAACGGCAACGGCCAACACAACCACCGTCTCACAGACCACACCACACCCCTCCACATCACTCATTCTCATTCTCACTCTCAATCCCACACCGAAAACTTCCATGTCTCTTGCGTCAGCGTAATCGATAAGACCTCCCCCAGCCTCGAGATTCGGCGAGGGCAAGGACCGGTAGGATGCAGGATCAACAACCGCATCGGCACGACTTTGCTTCTGTTCCTTGGGTCCGTAACCTTGACCTTAAGCACGAGTGAAGGGCGTGGATTCCAGGCTTTTGACTTTTGAAACGTGAATATCACATCATCACCGCAATGAACAAGTTTCAAAGGTAAGAGCTCTGAGTGTAGGGTACTGCTTCATTGCGGTGATGATGTGATAGCGGGAGATCACCAGCGCTGTTGTGCGAGCGAATCCTTTCCGCGTGGTGGACTGGAACTACTCTAATGTCTAGATGCAAGGTACAAGCAGACGTAACCTCAGGTACGGCCGGCTTTATTGTACTCGGGATATTTTATGTCAAATTAGGGTGCAAGAGGCACGGAATCATACTTGGTTTGGTTCCCAGGCGCAAGAGTATGAGCGGATATACACCATTCTGACCTCACATCACCACCATACCAATGCAAATCACACACCAGCATAGGAAGTTGTAAACTCCGTCTTACCCGTCCCATCAGAACTCTCCGACTATCTCAAACTCCCCGAGTCCAATAAACTTCCCCCCATATCATTCCACCCATCCATAAACTTACCTGCGCAGATGTTCTTCAACCCCTCTCCTAACCGACAAACCCCCCCTCGAGCTGTATGTGGGCTGCTGCACAAAAGCCGCACGTCCCACCATGAGGCTCCAGCTCCCCATCTGCAGCCGCAACCACGCATGCGGGTCGTGCTATTTATATCTATTTATAGCGCACCGCTGGAGGTTTGACGACGTATGATGCAGAAACGGAGGTATGATGCAGAAAGACTCGTGGACTCGTGTGCAGAATGAGTATTGTGCTCCAATGAAAGAATGTTGTGCTCCGTGGAAGGGCTTTTGATATATGAATTCGATAAACCATATGTAGTGTTTGAAAGTGGTGCATCGGGGCTTTAGACTTTTTGGTTGGGGGGAGGTGGTGTGCGAACGTTCAGAGCTGGAAGTTTATCGAGGGTCTGGTATCTGAATACATGCCAAACTTATAGGTCCGATGTCTTTGGATGGGTTACTACATATCGGCGCGGAAATCGCTCGGTCGAATAGCGTGGTACACGACAGCCAGAGGTTGGTTTCCAAGGCTTCAACCACGCCGTTTTTGTTCGCTGGAAGGCTGTATTTAGAACAGCTATGTCATTATCCTCTTCTACATCCAGCCCTATCCGACCATCACTCCATCACATCATTTAATCTATCCAGCCTTACCCTCTCTCCATCATATTTCACGATTTTTCCAGCCCTATCCCACCGTTTAATTTATTCAGCCTTATCACTCCCTTTTTGATTCGCATGCAAGACAAGACATACTATATCCGATCACCATCTCTTGTACCACTACCACCAGCTAGCCATCTCCTCACACATCGCTACTCGTATATCCGGGCGCTACACTCCCACACCTCATATCCACCCTCTCACACCCCCCACCTTGATCCCTTACATGTCCTTCCGTCCTACCATAGAGCTGTCTCTAGACGCGGCTCTCCTCTTACCAAGCAAGCAAGCGATTAGCGAGTGTTATTTCCATCTCACAATACTATCCCACACTTCGCGCACTATGCACCAATAATGAGGGATTATTTGACGCACAAGACCCAAACTTTGAAGACCTATTTTCGTTCTCTCGTCCCACGCCTTGATTTCCCCAGATCTACAACGCATGTCGCTTACCTGCCTTTAATTCTCCGCCGTCACTGTTGCTGGGTAGGACATGCGGGTAAGGTTTACTAACATCTTGGTCAGGTGGGATAGGGAAGGGAAATAGATATAACCTTCTCATTAAACGCGAGATAACGGGAGGGGGTGTTTCACTTGGCTCGCTGGCCGGGGTAACCATTTCCTATTCCATCAACATATCGTGGTAATAACGTGGGATTTATAATTACCTTCTTCTCATCCCACCCCTTCCCGTTCCATCTCCATCACATTCAACCGCTCTACATGGCGGTCTTCCCCAGATCTACAACACATCTCGCTTATTCGGGTACCTTTATTTCCCCGGCGCTGTCGTACTGTATGTTTTACGGTACGGAATGGATGGAAATAGATTTAGGCTTCTTAGACGCGAGTTTGGTTGTTTGACTTGGCTTTCTTTGGGAAGATGAGAGTCATGGGACCGGGGTATACCATTCCTATTCCGTCAACTTCACGCCCCTGTGTGTGAGGGAAACGTGGGAGGTATAAATACCCAACGCACCTGTCTCCCACGTTTCCTGGAGTTTTACACACACGGTTAAAAAAATAAGGCTAGGGAATGCGAATTTCCCTTTCCGTCAAACCATACACGCTGTCGAGCATATCAGTCAGCGAAATGGTTTGTGGAATTGATGGGGGTGAAAACGTGGGAGCTGTAAATACTCCTCTGCCTCCTCTTTCATGGGTGCCACGTTTTTCTTGTGTGAGCTTACACCGAAATGTGATAGCTGACGCGGGTCGTCGATCAGGTCTCCTGTCGTGCTGGTATGGAAGTGGAAACGTGGGAGGTATGTTTAGAAGTTGGAGTTCTCCCGGATGGAGCATATGCGAGATAGAAATTTGAAGAAGCGGGTCGTCGATCCTTTCTAGCACTTTTGCCCGTGTCGTGGAAACGTGGGAGGCATGTTCAGAAGTTGGAATTCTCCGAGGTGGAGCATATGTGAGACGCGAGATAAAAATTTGAAAATGCGGTTCATCAATCTGGTCTCCCATTGCTTCGATAATGGAAACTTATTTCATAAATCCAAATCCCCTCAATCCCCGAAACCTAGCACAACAAAACCGATCACGCAGTCCTCACTCAAACCCCTTCTTCCCATCAACCTCCAAATCAACTCCTCAACCCAAATTCGTCTATTCAACCACATTTCAGTATTTCATCACGAATAATCACAGAAAGACGGACATGTCGACTTGATACTAGGCAGCAAGAACTGTGAACTCTCGAGTCATGCTGCCGGGATGCTTTACTTGAAAACATTCTGGAATGATTCCTGGTAATTTCTGGACTAATACGTTTAGTGACCACGTTTTTGTGTTAGGATTTCCGTGTAAGTTCAGGTGAGGTAGGGGGATGTAAGATTTAGGTCGTCGATCTGGCCACCAAATTCAACACACGGCTCGTTTCAGATCATATGTATTTTTCACGCAGGAATGAGTATTCGACAGGCCGGTGGCGGGACCCGGAGTGTAGGATTTTCGGGAGCGGCGATGTCGGTTCGGAAGTTCTGTTGGACGATTCGGGTTGAGATTTAGATCGGTGGGTGGTGTGTTGGTGTTTGTTGTAGGCGTTGGCGTTAGACTTTTTCTTGCGAAACTATTGGCTAGACGGACGGTACTCGGTTTCAGAATCAAGTCGGGAGGGTTGAATGTCGGTTCGGAAAGGCTGCTACTGTGGTCGATAGCTTGTCGGTGCTGGCATTTTGGCTTTGTCTTGTTTTGTATAGGTTGGACGGGTCGATGTTAGGAACTTCCAACTACCTCCGGAGGTCAGTCGGGAGAAGTTTGAAGCCCGGTTCGGATTTGGTGGTGGTTGTTAGACATGCTGTTAGTGAGCGAAAATTTGGATGACAAGGTCTCACGATTAACTGATTTAATGATTGTAAATACAAAACATCGTACTTTATCTAGCTAAAGATGGATATGTAGGATGGGTGGAAAATGGGAGATGCCGGTCGACGTCGTTGTGGTATAAAATGTGGTACATACTGGGGTCATCGATCTGGCCGTCTGTCGTGAATTAACGGAATCGTGATTCATAGGTTTTAGCTGGACAAACTGCCGAAACGCAATTATTGAAGTACGAATCATCAATCATGCCCTTTTTTGCAGTCTCACTGGCAATCACCTATCGAATGCTCTTCATGTATATGTGTTGATTGCCAATTTTCAAGAAAGAAGACGAGGTCGTTTAGGTGCGAGTATTGTGTTTCCACAAAATATTCCGCCTTCGATATTTTTTTCTTCGCGTGTTTCGAAGCAAAATGTAACATTTCTAAATCATGTCAGACTCCAGTATATAGCGAGTTTCATGGTTACATACATGTTTCCCGCAGAGATGCATGATGCAAGTCGTCGATCTAACCATCTCAAAATTCATTACGCCGCATTGCTTGACCCGGGATTTTTGTGTATCTGTGTTACGGGAGGAGGAAGTATGGGACGACTCAATGGAGGAAAGCAAAGACAGATCTTCGGGAACTGGAATTCATTCCGGAAAGCGGCGGTCGGTTGTAATTGTTAGAGTTGTTATTGTTGGTTCTGTCGTTGTGTTAGTCAAACGCACCTGTGAAATTCGAACGGGTGATTGTCAAGTTCTGGACGCGGAGAATCGGCTCGACTGTAGCGATTGGTGTTTGTTAGGATCTTGTCGGAGCCACTGTTGGACTTCCCTGTTAGTTAGCGAGAACTCAGATGACGATGTCTCACGAGTAATTGGGTAGATGTGTGTTGATGTATTTAAAGTTAACTTATTTAGCTAGAGGTGGATATGTAGAATAGGATCCACTGTAGTATAAATCCAGAGATGTGAAGCAAGAAAATATCAGACCGCAGGTTAATCCAGAAAGATCATTGACGTAGCTCGATACTTCTGTACCTTGATACGAGGACCAAACATGGCAAAATTACATCTCGACACGTGTAAGAAGAAATCCACTTCGATACGAAGCGAGTGTATTGAGCTCTACTTGCTCTTCCAGATAATACTCTTAACATCGCCTTCGAACCTAAATCGAGACTCACGCATCGACGCCAAGAACCTAGTGTATTCAACATCAATAAATTCTGTTTATAAGAAATCAAGTTTTTAATTGACAAATTTCAATAAGCGATCTCAGTCTACCTATCTCAAGATTTCTGCTTGGTTGTTTTTGCATTTGGAAGTATAAGAAATGATCCGGATGAGTCTCGCGCAGTTTTGTTTAGAACTAGGCGATGGAAGGGATACTATTGGGAATAATCGTTTCTTTTGGAATTTGCTGAATCGCCGTCATAGAATCTCCAACACTTGTCGAACGCTTGGTGAAACACCATAAATGCGTGTTTGCTTCGTTAGTGTAGCAGCGATCTTGCCATGACTTTTCAATAGAGCGGACTTTGGGGTGATCCTCGCCGTCTCCTTTTCCCCCTGACTTGATTGACGTTGGCTGTTCTTTATGTCTAGCAACTTGTTTGATTTCGTTGAAGTAGTTTAGTACTCGACTATCTGTCTTTGTAGGGACACGAGTAGGACGTTTTCGTACTTATACTGGTAATCGTTGAGATCTAGATTTAGACAGTGAATTTCTTTCATAATGGCTGTATTTGAAAGCAATATCAATCCGTCTCCGAAACATTGATTCCCAGATAATATTTGCTTCAAACGAGTGACCTTAATACCCAAATAAAAGATACACACTTGTTAAATACCTAAGCACATCCTGTGCATCAATTTGACAAAGAGATTGACAGATAATCCTTCACCTTCTCTCATTTGAGATCAAAAGTCTGCATGGTCGACTCATCTTGAGCCTCCCAGAATTCTCCATTCATGATCCCATGTACATATACTTCTCCAATGACCCGATAGCCACCCTCGCATGGTCGTAAAACGATAGGAACCGAAGCACCCCGTAATAGAACGATAAAGTCTCCGATCATGGACTGCCTATGGGCGAGGCCGACATATCCCTTGCCAGTTATCATCATTCTTCTGCCCAAATAGCCAATCTGAAACGCAGACCAGAAGTCATGATTCTTTTGAATGGGTATGACTATTGATGAGTCTGGAGCGTCAACCATTTGCAATTCACTCATATCTGTATGAGATGACGAGAACCAGTGCTTCAACTTTCTCCCGTATATTTTAAACTCGGCAGTAGTCTTCAAGTCTTCCCACCACGCTTCAAAAAACTTTGAATTATTTTGCAAGGTGCCAGAAATTACTTCCTGGAATGTTTCGAAGAAGGAAAGAGGGACTTCGTCGTTACCGTACCCCACAGTATTGTGATAAGCGCTCAGCCAGATGGCTCTGAAAAGCTTAGACTCGGTTCCGTAAACATTCTGATTGATCGATAATTCGTGTTCACAAGTAGCCACTCTTGATGAGGCTTCCCCTATGGCCTGACTGTACCTCTTCTTCACTCTGTTGAACGAAGAAAGACTGCAAATCATGTCAAATTTGTAACCATGGCAGGTTAGAGTTAATTCGTCTGAAGAGACTCCCACAAATGAAGAGGACTGTCCACACGCTTTGTACGGCGTTCTTGAAGGATGAGAGAGAGAGCGATCCTTTCGTGACGCATAGGACTTGGGCCCGTGTATATCCCAGAGACTCTTCCAGTCAAAAACCCAAGACGGCAAGTCGTCTCGTCTAGGAGCCCAGGAGTCATTTAAGCAAATGACATCAATAACTTGCTCATGGTTAACACCTGTCAACTTTCTAAGGGTGATTCTTCGGAATATGGAATCCATGGGCTCCTCGTAATTTGGGGCAGGTATTGTGATGGAACCGTCATGCTGTAACATATATTACTTAGTATTGCCCGAAAAAAGCACAACAGTGAGCGCCTGTTCGAGGGTTTGGTTTTCACAAATCACAAGTTTTCATCCAAGAGCGATGATAGCCAATAGCAGGCTTTGTAGCTGCTGGGGTAAGAGATTGAAATACAGCTTACAGCTAGTCCAAGAACACCAAAGACTTTATCGTGAAGCTCAGTTGCTTCTGATAGACATGAATGCTCAAGTACATCAAAAAGGTCTCCCGCGGCTCGATTGTCTCCTCCTCTTAATGCACGCCGAACGTCCAGAAGACCAAATATATGGTCAATCCCCGCCCAGTAGCCCGGAATGGCGAAGTTGTGTTTCTCGAGAGTTTTAATGGACAATTTGATGAGGTCGAGACCTATCACATGAGAGCCCCATAGAAGAACTATGGTCGGAGACATTGCCACTTCTTGAATAATCCAGGTCCTCGACCAGTATGGCAGGGCTAATAATGCAGCCACCGACTTCCATTCAGCTGAATCGGCTAGGTCTTCTGCGTGGTGATCAGAGAGTTGCATGACTCTCGTGGCGAACAAATCTTCAGGAGCTCCTGTTGCCAGAACACTGCAAATTGAAATAGCTTCCTGAGTGTGCTCATTCTCTATCCCAAGCCATACAACAGTCTGGCTAGCATTGCGGTAGATATCTCTCATTTTCAAAATTTGATGACCTCTTTCATCATCGTCACTTTGATCGATGCATATTGCATCAATCCAGACATGTGAGTATCCTCGCCGTTGTAGTTCCGAGAGGGCAGCTCCCAGAGAGCGAGTAACTGCTAGCTCAGAACCGTTGACAGTGATTGCCACGGTGTCGCTAGCGTCTCTCCAGCAGTAAGATAGCGCCGTATACGCCTGTTCACACCGAAACTCAGTGTCGCATCGATAGGTTTGAAGAGAGAAATTCGTATCGTTCTCAGAGGAGCCCGAAGATATGCTCAAGAGACGTATTTCAGACTCTCCAAGGGGTGAGTATTCGAGATGCCTATAGCAGGCGGTGCAGTTGTCTGCCGCAACACCAAGTGTCCTGGGCCCGTGATCGAATGGTTGACTGGTACCTTGTGAAGCCGCCATTGAAGTTTCCTGAAGTGTTACGAATTTGGCGGCTGTGGACTTGGCGACTATGGAATGGAAAAGAGTAGAATATCATTGTCATGCAATGAGGCTGAGCTTCGACTCATATAGCACGTGGTCAAGGTTGAGGTAGGACCAGTTTGCCCAGTTAGGAAGTCATGGCTAATAATAATAAGCGAAGTTCAGTCTTCTATTACAAATTGCGAGCTTTTCTTCTCGACTTGGATCGACTGTGACCAGAAACTTATTCAATTCAATTCTATTTGATGCTCAGAGGTCCATCGTTCCCAAAAAGAAATCCCCTCAGGGAGCCTTTACCCTGTGTTGAGGAAGACCGGAACGTCCTCCGTTCAGGATAGGTACCTATCGCAATTTCTAAGAGCACGTGATGTGTCATCGAATGTTGGCTATAGGTTATAAAATAGGAGGATTGCAATGTGATATGTTGAGATGAGTATATGCAAACGGTCGTAGTGCGGAACTTCACATGATGAGCCATGGAGCGGCGACGTGAGGAATTACTCAGCACTGGGCTAACTTGTTTTGTCCGTGCGAGTTTACCTAGGTAGGTAGGTATCTTCGACGCTCGACAACGTCGGGACAAGTTTGACTGTTTCAACTTACTTCCAGAGACTTCGAGTCAAAGAAAGGCTTTGAAGATTGATCTAAGACAGAACTTTTTACTGGAATGGGCAATCACTTATGGCGGGGATCGTCAGGCAGTTTTAAGGCCGCGGCGATACCGGCCATTAGTGCTGATCTTCAACAGTGCAATTGGTCACTTCAACATCCAGCATGAGAGATCGTGGCTCCTGATGCAATGATGCATCAAAAATCAATGAAAAGATAAGGTGGTATACAAATAACTTTTCTGCAGCTTCAGCCCTGAAAATCTCTTCAACTGTTACCTTCTCAATGGGAAATAGGAAAATATCACCGCATACACTATGGCTTCTCAAACAGCTTCACTTAGTTCGTATGAGCTGCGCAACATGGCTGATGCTTCCATGAACTCACCCGTCGTCTCTCATACGCAAGAAAATGTTGCTGAGAATAACGAAATTGAAGTTCCTTCGCTTCCACCCACTGATCATGGAAAAGCTGCATATCTTGTACTTCTCGGCTGTACCGTACTTCAAGCTCCAATTTGGGGTATATACCCCTTCAAATCCATCTTTAAAAGAATGGCTCCTTCACAAAATCCCTTTACTGACCATTCACAGCCTACTCCCTCTCCTTCGGCGTCTTCCAAGCCTACTACACAACCCAGCACCCCCTCACCGGCTCCCCCTCCACCCTAGCAACCATCGGCACAACCCTCAACGGCGTAATCTACCTCTCCATGCCACTAACCTTCACCCTCCTGACCCGCTACCCCCTTCTCCGCCGCTACTGCGCTCCCCTCGGCCTACTCCTGACCATCATCTCCCTCCTTCTCTCCAGCTACGCCACAAGTATCTGGCATCTAATCCTCACCCAAGGCGTCCTCAACGCGCTCGGTTCCGGCCTCCTCTTCGCACCTACTTCCCTATACCTCTCTGAATGGTTCGTTCATCGCAAAGGAATGGCCTACGGAGTCATCTGGGCCGGAAAATCCGCTGCGGGCGTCGCTTTCCCATTCTTAACAACCTACTTTCTGAACACCTACGGCGCTCCTAAAACACTACGCATCTGGTGCATAGCTTCTACCATCTTAACGCTCCCGCTATTATTCGTTCTTAAACCTCGCCTACCACTACCAACTTCACGGTCACCTCGACCGTTGTCGTTTGCGTTCCTGAAGAACCCGACGTTTTGGACGCTGCAGATTGGGAATGTGATTCAATCATTTGGGTACCTTCTTCCATCCGCGTATCTCCCTTCTTATGCACATGATCTCGGGTTGCCGAATCTCACGGGTGCTATCCTTGTTGCGCTGTTCTCGTTGGCATCGACGCCCGGTGGGATAGTGCATGGGATTTTATGTGATCGGTCGTCGCCTACTTTGATTATCTTGCTTTCCTCACTTGGTTCTGCACTGGCGGTGTTTGTCTTCTGGGGTCTGGCGACGGAAAGTCCACTGCCGTTGCTTGTTGTGTTTGCTTTGGTTTATGGATTCTTCGCGGGAGGCTTCAGTAGTACGTATCCGGGCGTAGAGAAGGAATTGAAGAGTCAAGATGAGGAACTTGATACTGGATTGGTTATGGGATGCTTGCTGGGAGGAAGAGGTGTTGGCTATGTGGTTTCTGGTCCTGTGAGCGGAGGGCTGCTTGGTGTGTGGAAGGCGGGTGGGAGCTGGGGTGGTGGAAATGAGTATGGAGGAGTGGTGTTAGTTACGGGTATTACTGCTGTACTTGGTGGGTGGGGTTGGGGTTGGAAATACGGGAGAAAAGTGTTTTGCTGATTGTGAATTTGTGAAGTTTTGGGAGGATGTCAATTGAGCAATCTTTTGGGGACGCGTTTGAGAGCTTTAATTGACAGAAGTGGCTTGCAATATGTTGGGTATTGCGAAATGTCCGGGTCAAAAGCAGGCAATTTGAGTAAGAGAAATGATGCTATGTGGAGTTCCGGATGTTTGCACGCAGAATATCGTGAGAAAAAACAAGTTCAAGTCAACTTAACTTCTACTTAGGCCAAAATCATTTAACGTGTCAACTTAAGAAGCTTTGCCTGTTGAACATGTCGAAGAACTTAAGGACGACTGATGACTGAAAAGCCACCGGGTGAAGAATCAAAGCTATTTGCTTGTCACCATCTCCACGGAGACGAACTCATTCTGGATGATTGAAGAGCAACAATTAAATGACATTAAAAAATGATTACTACTTTCTACAAAGGACCTTCATTGAAAACTAGGTCTTCAATTTCTCAATATTTGTATGAGACAAGACGAAAGATCTGGAAACTAATCAGGCACGCTCCAACCTTTAGTCATGAATAAGTGGAAGCTTAATTTTAATTTCACTCGCAAGGTTCAAATATGTAAAACAGCATGAACGTCAAAATGGAAGATTTTAAGGCTTGTGTGGGTGTCAAGAATGGCATGCAAATAACTCAAGCATTATTAGTAGATCCTAATGTTCTGTGCAAGGCGAACGAACTACAATGTTGGTACGACAGCGAGGACCGTCTCACTAAGGGTGCCTACGAGCTGCATATGTGGCTTGTTGGGCTTCCCACGGGGGTTTGGCGGCATTTCACTCTCGCGAAACAGCTGGCCGAAAGGGCTGGCTGAATGGATTGAATATGTAGAGTTAGATGAATTGAATAGGTGAGGTGAAAATTGGTAGTGACTTGTGAAATGGCAGCACAAGCATCGTTGGAACTTTCGACTTAAATATCTCAACTCATGTTTAGGCAGCCGTTGAAGCAGGCATACATCTTCCTGCAATATATTTTAATGATCTCCAATCCCTTCTCTAAAAAGATAATCATGTCGAGCTTTAGTGGCGTGTCTGCCGACGCTACAATTCAGAGAGGTTGACAGATTTTGACATCATGGTCAAGATCTCGGTTAGTAAAAGATGGATTTAAAAGGAGCTTGGGCGTTTCTCCTAGTCTCTTTGAGTTCTTTGTCTCAAGGTTTCTATAGTCTTCTATATTGAGGGAGAGCATTGGTGAGTTATCGTTAGTTGCCTAGTCGAGTTGGTTTTTGTATATTACTACTTGACATCAAACAACATTTTTAACGCCGACTGTTTGAAAATCAGTAGCCATGAAGACATTCGCTTCTTTCTGAACACCCCATGTATTTTTCTATACTACGCCTATTTCATTTTTGGAATTTCTTGGTAGTTCAGCCACATTTTCGAAGAAACAGGTGCTCAGTTCGCGTTTGAAAATTTCCACATGCGACGTATTTAAACTCATCTCCTCTCGGGAAGAAAGTTTTTCTAGTAACCACTGTCAGCACTTGGAAAGCCTCTCAAGAGAATGGGCGGTGAAGATAGTGCTAGACGATGGCCAGGGGCAATTGTAAGACACATACGTATGATAAAATTAACAGCTTCAAAAATAAGACTCTGAACAAAATTTGCTCGGAAGATCAGAACCTGTGAGATGAGAATCGGTAGCAAGTCACAAAACGGCAACAACTCCATCCCATCACTTTATTCAAACAACACCTTCTGATCAAGTCACAGGACTTAACCTTTTCAAAGCGATTTTGCTGCTCGAAATATGGAAGAAACAAAGCGCGATCGACAGTCCTCATGACCAAACACTTGGAACGGATGAGGTGAATACCACATCTAACATGAAATCTTTGTATATGGAATCTCTTGAATGCAGAATCTTCTTTTAAAGCTCTCCTTCCATATGTGAAACCTTTTGACAGGTCTAGTGTCAAGTACATTGTTTGATAATAATACTATGTATGCAAAAACATTAAAACACTATCTGAAAACCAAGATCCATTGTTGCCTTGTTGATCCATATTCTCCAAGATAACACAACAATCTTCCACCAGTAGAATTCAAATTTCAAAAATTCCAGGACGCCACGACATGTAATACAACCCGCAACTCACAATCGATTCCAAAGAAACTAATCGCACCTTCACAACCCCAACTACTACGCTGTTTTAGCGTCTAGCGACATCTTCATTTACTCCAGACTAATACTCCTCGCAACCCAAATCTATTCTACATACAACCAATCTCCTTTCCGTTTTCTACCAGCCACCCGCAACCAAAAATTCACTTGATGTAAAAAGACTGAACTTGTCACCGATTCCTACCTCACCACCGAAACTTACCCCCCGATAGAACCTAAAAATCTCCCATCATTTCCCATTACATGCGTAAATCTTATACAACAATTGAGCAAGAGCGCGAGAGTAACAGAAATCTTTAAGCAACACTCGTAAACATCACAACCCACTCAACCCAATCCCCCTTCACGAACACCCGTAGCTCCTACCGTGAAAACTTAGGTTTCATCCGTGGTATAAACACCACTGTGCACCTTTTACAGTGGAGGATTTATCGAATATTCTCAAAGGAAAGTTTTAGCAAATATGGGACGCTTGATATTTTGCCCCACATGCTATGAAGAGTAATAGTAGCCTACCAGGTAGTAAGAGAATCTAGTTAGGATTTGAAAACTGTTGTCAACACAGACTTGTAAAGGACGATTGCTGTGGGTGAAGGGCTGTCGAGATTTACAGTATGTGACAGCAGATCTACACTTTGGTAATGGGTTCTTGTCTCTGAGAAATCACCATAGGAAAATGTAGATTCTATCACAAGCTGTAATATTGGCAGAGAGCGTGGAGAGAAATGAGGATTTGCAGTGATAGGATGAAAAGGACACTGATAAAAGGAGATCATTAGGGAAAGAGTCCTGGAAGTGAACGCCGTGACTGCCTGTTCAACGGGCCATAACTGGGGACTGCCACAAGCATCATAGTATCTCAAAGCCATAAACCAACTTCTGAACATGGACTATGGCGCAAGACGATGAAGGAATTTTGGCAGCCGTAACGCAGGCGATATGGATTTGAAATGTGTCAATTCTCTTCGATGTTTAAATACGGTATTTTCGTATCCTCATATAGCAATCAAGAGCAGTAAATGCAGACCGACCCAATTCATTTCCGTACCAGAACCCCAAAGAAACAGCCCTTTACATGACGACACCAGAGTTGCTGGCAATACGCTACAATTTTGTTAGATGATTCTGGCTTTAGGGTGCATTGATCAAACTTACTGGCCACAACTCAGCAGCTTCCTTTCCGACTGGTCCTGTGATAGCTGATCCCTTCATCTCACCCTTTGGGTTGACGATCTGCGCAGACCAATTAGCAACGATCCGACAGCAATTCTCGACAATGAATCCGCTTTCTGCATCCCTCAAGCCATGACAGACCACCCCTTCGCACAATCGCAGATATGTGTTGTGTCCTCTAGAGAGCTTCGCCTCCTCCGATTCTAAATCATCCCCCCACTCGCAGTCCAACCCTTTCCCATTATCCATCTCCCAGGCCACAACCAAAAGAAATCAAACTTACAACACCGGCGTTGTCCTCGAAGTACAAGAAGACACCGTCTGTTCGTCTCCATGGCTTAGATTGTCTGACGATAACAGCTGGCATGACCTTCTTTCTCAATTCTGGCTTTCCCTTCTTGACGGTAGCCATGACCATATCTCCAACACCACCAGCTGGCAGACGGTTAAGACGCGCACCGATACCCTTGACGGAAATGATGTAGAGATTTCGGGCTCCGCTGTTATCGCAGCAGTTCATGACGGCACCGCTGTAAGTTTATTAGTATCGTATTGATTCGAGAGAGCGCTTCGAGTGGAATTTCGCGGTTCGAGGAACGTACACTGGGAGACCGAGAGTCATCTTAAGCTTGCCACCTGGGGCACCACGTCTATTCGCACAAGTTCATTAGCTTTCCATTCCATCCGGCCTTTTCTAATCTGCGAGATCAATCGTCCTAATTTTGCAGCCGTAAAGCTCGAATGTCGATGCGAAGCCACAGCTTTTTCCCGCTTGACCTCGCAGATAATACCGATCGCAATTTCGACAGGCTGAGAGAGGGGAACATACGAGAGTTTTGCCATCTTAGATTATGATCCGTGAACGTCGAGAGGTTGTCGAGGATGGTATACGTTCTGGCGGGGAAAAGAGACGTTTGTCGATGTCGTCGCGAAAATTGACGATTGGAATTTTGGAGTGGAAACCCTAATCGGCTAAGCGAGCGCACTAACATCGGGCAGTTTCGACTGAATCCAACTTTATCAACATCAACACAACGCTCAAGATTATTTGTATGACATTCTGAAACAAGCTTGATTTTTTTGACTGTGGAATGAAGCGTAGTTTTGGTGTTGCATTTTCAGGTTCGTGGAAAATATTCGTACGGTCGGTCATCATGATTTGTGTACAATGAAAATATAATTCAGAATCGTTGCAACCCTGGATTACGATATTTAAAGGGCTAAGAGTCTTAACTTCCTATGGCTGAAGAGAAACAAATATGCTTATGTTTGCGCCTTTATAAATGACATGAAGCTAGATCCAAATTCTCCTCTTAACTTATTCCTTCACTCCAAAGACGCCCCGCTCAAAAACCCCGACCCAATGTGTGAAATAATACAACCAATACTTTTTCGGTATAGAGATTTTCAGAGCCGCAGAGAATCTTCAGATCTGTTAAATGCAGATCTGAGATGTTCCTAAATCGTGATAGGAAAAAAACATTACGACTATAATTCAGCAGCTTTAGCAGTCTCGGCAGCAGTCTCCCCTTCCACGTCCTTTTCAGATCGCTCAGCCTCACTCTCTTGCTTTACTTCCGCAACTTCCACAGGCTTTAGTGCCACTTCGATGGCCTCTGGGGTAGCCGATTTCTTTGGCGAAGGCGATGGAATAACTGCTTCCGGTACAGCTTCAGCAACGGTCTCTATCTCTGTTGCGTCACCTCCCATTTCGGTATCACCATCCTGATCGACAACGACGGCTTTGGGAGAAGGAGCTCGCGACGCGGAATTTGATGGGCCTGCCTCTCCAGTTTCAGTAGAGCCTGGCTCAATTCCTTTCTCATCCATAATATCAGCAATCACTTCCGCATTGGCTTCTGTCGCTTGAGCCGTAACGAGATCATCGACGTCGTTTGCGGCGACTGGACTAGCTATTCCACTGTCCATATCGACATCAGAGGCCGCCGCATTAGCGTTCTGGTAGTCCATGATGTTCCGCCGTTTGATTTGGCCTTCTTGAGGCCGAACACCATTCGCATGCGCCTCCTCTTCATCTTCACTCTCTTCCAGTTCATCGTCTCGAGTGATACGTTGATCCCATCTGCGCTTAGTGTGGCGGGTGTCCTTGTTGTCGTCTTCATCCATATCATCTAGTTCATGGTCGTCATCTTCTGTACCTCCAGTGAGTGTCGTCCGGGGGATGTCTGTCATCTGAACTGATGGGGCATGAGCGGTTTTTTTAAGATTCTCAATGACTTGAATCTTAATTTTTTCCAGGTAGTCTTTTGAATTGGCGTTCTCCATATTTGACGAACGAACATCGAGTTCATAATCGGGTCCATAGTACTGGAAAAAGTCAGAATAACTTGACGAAGAGTCTAGTGACACTTACCTCGTAATACTCGTTAAATGGGAGCATTGGACCCATATCTTGGCCAACAAGCACACCAGTCTCAAATGCCCATGTACGAGCGACGTTGCGCATAGTGTAACCCCCTCCACCTAAAACTAACGTTGGCTTGTTAAAGCTCTTGACAAATTGCACACAATTAGCGTGGCCTCGCATACTAAGGTTAAAGCAACCAAGACGATCACCAGATAAACTGTCTCCACCGCACTGTAACACGATGGCTTCTGGGTCGTAATAATCCATCACACTTTGGATGACTGGCTCGAAGATAGACTTGTACGTTTCGTCGTTGATACCGTCTCGCAAAGGGAAGTTTACGGCATAGTTTTTTCCGGAACCTACACCGATATCGCGAAGCTCGCCAGTACCGGGGAAGTACTCCCCGTATTTGTGGAAGGAGACAGTCATAACACGGTCGGTGGTATAGAACGCTTCCTCAACACCATCTCCGTGGTGGACATCAATGTCGATGTAAAGGACTCGCTTCTTGAATCGAAGAAGCTCGATAATACCAAGTACGATATCTGCAGAAAGAATCAACTCTGTTCTCGCCAAAAGAAAAAGTGAAACATACCATTTACATAGCAGAACCCGGAAGCCTCGCTCTTTTTGGCGTGATGAAGACCGCCTGCCCAGTTTATTGCAATGTCGCATTTACCTCGATTCAGACGAGCAGCACCCTCCATACTTCCACCTGCACTTATACCACAGAACTCAAATAGTCCATCAAACACCGGACAATCATCTCCAACGTTGTATTTGCCCTGTTCTTTGGCGAAGGTGTCCATATTGTCTGGGGTCACTTTCTGGAGGAAGTCGATATATTCGTCGGTGTGGAACTGGGTCATCTCATGACGGGTAGCAGGTTTTGCGCGCTATAAAAAGTTAGAATACGCTCGAGTATCCAAAAGCTTAAGACGGAATATGTTTCTAAATCCTTTCCAAGTGTTTAGAGTTGAGACCTACATAGATTTCCATCTTTTGATAAACTCCATAGTTCATGATCAAGCTGTGCGCCAATCGAATGCGGTGAGGCTTCATAGGATGTCCAGCAACGTATGCATAGTTCCCGACATCAGAATCATAGAAGTATGCGACTCTTTTCTTTGTGCTTGGTCCATTCGGCGCCGGAGGGTCAATAGGTGCGAAGGAAGTCATCGCGAAAGCTGGAGATTGTGACCAGAATAGGTGGGTGGAAGCTCAAAACCAGACTTCTCGAATAAATCAAGTTGGGATAGCAAGACTTAAGGGTATAATAAGGTCCAGGTACGTGGGAGGTGAAGTATGCGAAATATCTGAAGAGGACGGAAAGGTTGGAGGGGAGAAGGCCGACCTATGGGACAAGCTGGGGACTTGCTGCAAGAGCTTCGAACCCCGGTAACTTGCCGCAGATCCATGGATTTGGAAGAACCGACACTTTGACCGACACTTACTTAGGACGTGGACTATCGATCATAAACCATGTCAATTAAATACGTTTCAAACTATAATATAAGCCCTTACTCGGTTTCTTCAACAGCATAGTTTCGATATTCGGCATACAAGCTGGAACGTAACCTGGAAGGCTGTTTCCACGAGGCTGAACACTAACGTCAGGTGACACGATTTGCTAGCGTGCTTTCGCGTCCAAGCTTGCCTGGAGCTCGCCTTGCAGTCAACAATCATTGATCGGACGTCTAGTACTTCGCCCTTCATCAGTGAACATCAGTCCAAACCACAACGCCTCGATATCTCTAAGCGAAACTGATCGTCTTTCGAAGTAATATCACACATCTGCCACTATGGATAGACTGAACAGGATGCTGGCTTCCGCTGGCGGGATGGGAGGGTTAAACAATTCAGCACCGGGATCTGTAAGTTAATCGATTGCGTCCACGAGAAAAGTATTCCATGATGAGGGCTGTTCTAATCAAGCATTCTAGGATAACACGAATCTGATTGATAACTCCGAAACTGTTTACATATCATCCTTAGCGCTTCTGAAGATGTTGCGACACGGGCGAGCAGGAGTACCGATGGAAGTTATGGGTCTGATGTTGGGCGAATTCGTGGACGATTTCACAGTGCGGGTAGTGGATGTATTTGCCATGCCACAAAGCGGTACTGGAGTCAGTGTAGAAGCTGTTGATCCAGTGTTTCAGACAAAGATGATGGATATGTTGAGACAGACGGGGCGGTAAGCTATATGAGCTTCACAACTTCACTTTAGTCACTGATCGCGTGCGCATAGACCAGAAACAGTCGTTGGATGGTACCATTCTCATCCTGGATTTGGATGCTGGCTGTCATCAGTCGATATAAACACACAGCAATCGTTCGAACAGCTTACACCTCGAGCCGTTGCAGTCGTTGTCGACCCTATCCAGTCCGTCAAGGGCAAAGTTGTTATCGATGCTTTCCGTCTCATTAACCCACAATCTCTTATGCTCGGCCAGGAGCCTCGTCAAAGTACTTCGAATTTGGGACATCTCAACAAGCCTTCGATTCAAGCACTTATTCACGGACTGAACAGACATTATTACAGCATCGGCATCAATTACCGAAAGACGGCGTTGGAAGAGAATATGCTCATGAACCTACACAAGCACGTATGGACGGAAGGTTTACAGATGGATGATTTCCGCGTAGAAGCCGATCGGAACAAGGAACGATTACAGAAACTGGTTGGACTTGCGGATGGTTATGAGAAGAGAGTCAAGGAGGAGACCGAGTTGACGAAGGATCAACTGAAGACGAGATACGTTGGAAAGGTGGATCCAAAGAAGCACTTGGAGGATGTTGGACAGCAACTGATTGAAGACAACATCGTATCAGTATCGCGGCAAATGATTGATAAAGAAGCGTCGGCGCCAAAGGAGAAGTCTGCTGCGAATGGGCATTCCAACGGGGACGCGATGGATATTGAGGAGGAGCTATGATTTTTCTTACCACATATTGTACAATAGGTGTTGGCTTTACAGGCCGAAATTCAGTGGCATGGAACGAAGCAATGGGCGTTCTGATGCGGGGCGGTTACAGCTGCGGAGGCTCGACCTACCAGATGGCTAATACGGTGAAGTATAGACCTTGATTAGCATATCCTGCCTGGTTCTGCCATTTACTTGAGTCCGCCAAATAAAATTAGACTTAATTGGAAGGCGAGAAATGTTTTAGTTGTTCTTTCGGCTGAGCTGCGGATATTTATTCTATCTCCTAGATCTTGCCGGTCTGCAGCTTGATTTTGTACCCATCACACCAGTATCCAAGACTGAAGCAAACTGCCGATTCCGTAAGACGACAGATAAATCCTACAATAACGAAAAATGGTTAACATAAAAATAATTACACGTATGCAGCGCTATCGGCGTGCCCCAAACCCCACACCTCCCCTCCAAAAGTCACCAAAAAAAATTGTTCGAAGATGAATAACAGTTGACTGTCATCCGCAGAGATTGCGGCTTCTGTGGATCGAACACAGTGCCTCCAGATAAACAGACGTGTTGTGGTTCTGAAGTTGACTTCAGTCTGGCGCTCTCCCAAGTGAGCTAAAGCCGCTTTGAGATGTGATTGGATGGTGCAAATGTCGGGTTTTAAATTTATAAAGACTTTAAATGTGGGCCTTGAAGGGACTCGAGGTGGTTTGGTTGGGTTCGCGGGCTACGGGCGGGATGAGATCTGAGAGTTGGATTTGGGGAGAGATGGAAGGAGATTTGATGGGAGATAGTTTTTGGATAGAGCGATTAATGTCACGAATTATATACAACAGTCCAAGTCCCTCGAAAATAAAGCATTCATCAGAGACACATTCCCTTCCTACCTTATTATCACCAAGTCAACACACCGAACAGAGTAGAAGTATAACAGTATTTATATTTAATTCATCACGATATCTATCCATATCCATCACATCGCATTGCATCCAGACACTCCATCCATCCATCCATCAAATGTACCAACCAAGCCCATGGAATCACCACTCCACACCATTCCGAACCGAAGAAACTCATATGTACAACCAAACACAACAGTATAAACCATGAATTACACCCTGCCAGCACCAAGAATATCATCATCATGAAGCTTGTCAGAACAAAAATAAAAACGCCTGATCCGTATGCAATGCGCAGTATTCCACTCTTCCGCCCGTATTCTCCTTTCGCCATCTCGTTTGACATCCAACGATCGATTCATCACTCGGTACGGTAAAACTTCTTATACAACAAATGCAAGAACAAATTAACATTAAGTCTCATTCCACCCTCAAACAAATCCATATACTGATGATTCGCAAACTGCGCTGCAAGAAGACTGTCCATCGGGACTTGAGCGCTGGCGCCAGGGATTTGGATGCTGCCTTTACTACCTTCAATGAAGAAGACGCCCACTTCGTCGCAGGAGATGGTGAGGTTGATCTTTTCCCACTCGCGATCATGTGTGCCTTTCCAAGAGACGAGGACGCCTTTGTCGGAGAGTGTTCGAGCCGAGTATTTGAAGGAGCCGAATTTGGGTTTGCGACCTGATCGTTCGAGTTCGCGCTCGTGGTTATATTGCTTGGAGAATGGCATGAGGAAACGCTTTTTGCTGTGAAATTGTTAGCATGATTCATGTCAAAAGTAAGTGAAAACGTACCCTTTCTTTTGGAGAGTCATCATGGCTTGCTCAATGTAGTTATCGTAACTCTTCCTTTGAGACTCGAGCCATTCCGCCTTCTCCGTCAAATTGGCCAATGTCAATCGCACGCCTTCGAGCTCTCGTTGACGCTGAACGCGTCTTCTGCTCTTGGTGCGAATATCGAGGGCGATCGCATTGAGAATATCTTGGTAGAAGTTGTGCCGTGAGATACGACCGAACTGTTCGAGTCTCATGATGTTCTCCAGTGCCGTCCGTTTGAGCTCCTTGTAAGACATCGACTTGATATCTACCAAGGTGTTTGCGTCCGAATAAGCCCCACGGGTCTTGCTCCCCCCAGAAAACTCTTCGCGAAGTAGACAATGCCATTTATGGTCATCCTCGCGAGTTATTGGTCGAACCAGAATTTCCATAAGATTTGGACCAGATTGCACCCTGATGATGTACAAGACGCATCTCTTCGTTTCCATAAATAGTGCTTTGACTTCAGCCTCGGGATCTTCAATGTCGTGTAGCTTGGGGTTCAAAGTTAATTGAATTTCGCCAGAGGTAACTCCCAACATTTCAGTCTCATTGTTCTTTGCGCTGCCTAGTTCCTGGACCATTTCGCGAAGCATATCATCTCGGTTTGGGCAAATATGGGGCAGATCTCCAGAGACCAAGTTGTGGATTGAAAATATATCTGCCATTTTGATGTACAGAGTTGGCTTAACCTTGGCGTACAAGTCGTTGAACTCATCAATATCGAAGGTGTCCTCGGCGTCTGGTACTGATATGATGTTTGAAAAGATGATACGAATTCGCTCAATGGCGTCGCCAACATAAGCGTTTAATGGTTGGAGATAGATATTCTCTCCGCCGAATAAACGCCCTGAAGCAACTTGCCCGAGTACCTTGGCTACTTCTCCTAAATTGCGCTTCTGCAGAGGAGTGAGCTGCTTCTCAACTACACCCATTGATTCTGGTGAAGTCAGAGCAGGCTGGAGATAGAATTTCCAAAGCCAGTTACCGACGAGTTGAAGCAAACGATGTTGTGGCTCTCGTGGAAACTGTTGGCAGAGTGCATCAAAAATTTCCTGGCAGACAAATCGAATCCCATATGGCATTTTGTGAAGAAGTGCTTCTAAGGCTCCAAGTACCTGATCGGAGATTTCGCGCAGATCTCTTAAATGATCAATGAACATATCCCGAGTTTCTGGATCTTTGATAGCGACCTCCCGAGGAATGTCTAAGGGGCGTTGACTGGGCTGACCAGTGCGAAGCTCCTCATTATTTATCGCCGATCGGTAGATTTGCATAGGATCACTTTCCAGGTCAAGGGCCGGGTCCTCGATAATGTTGGTTTGAATAAGAGGGCCTAGAAGCTCTCGCAAGTATTTGCGATCCCGTGGTGACCTTGTATAATTTGACAACAATTTGCACCAAAAGAAGTTTCCTCGCAAGTATTCCTGAATGGACGTGCAACTTTCAACCTCTTCTCTTGCAGCTCTTGCAATGAGTTTCAACAGGTAGTATTCCTCACGCCTTTTCTGCGCGTAACCAAAAAGTCTCATCATCAGTGTTTCGATCAGTTTACAGTCCTTTTCTGGTGTGCCTTGTTCGCGTATTCTCTTGAAATATCTTGCAAGGTACTGTGGCTGGGTTTGAAGGGTGAAGAACAATTGTTGGTAGGATTCGAGCTTCTTTCGAGAGTTTTTATTGAGTGCCTTCAAGTCAAATTGATTGCCAGAGATCATGGTAGTGTTGACGAGAAGGTTACCAGAATGACCTCCGAAGTTTCGTTGATGCTTGACAACTTCGTCTAGCGTAATTTTGTTCTTGACCAGCAGCGCAATCTTGATGTCTAATTGATCGATGTATTGCTCCGCCATTTCATTTTGGCGCACCTGTTGTACGACCGTTTTACGCATCCGTTCGAATTCGATTTCTTCGTTGAAGTCGAAGTCGCTGTCATTGAGAAGATGCACGAAGTTCTTGACAGTGTTGATGGGTGGGTTCTTTCCAGTTGTAAGACTCTTATAGGCCTCGCCCTGTAGCTTGCCGCGAACGAAACTCTGCAACTTGACAACCTTTTCCATATTCTTCTTGAAGAAACGTTGCTTCTCGGCGAATCTAGCGCGAACAAGGCATGCTTTTGCCGCAGCTTGAAGCTCAACGATGGATTCTTCTTCCGCTTCGAGGTCAGCTAACAGGTTACCCACGTTATTTCGAAGAAGCATTGCACGGGATAGACCTTGTAGCTCGATAACAGCGGCTGAGTGTGCTTCGAGTTCGTCCAAAACTGCACCAACCTTTTCCCTTTGGAGACACCCTCGCGCCAATGATTGAAGTTGAGTTATTTGTGTTGTTTGGGAAACGAGTTGATCGTAATCTGCTGCAATTCTCTTCCTTTCTAGCATTCCTCGAATTGAATTTTGAACCTGTAGCACCGAGCCTTCCGCCTCCTGTAAATCCGAAAGTGTGTTCGAAACCTCCTCTCTTTTAAAAGCAGCTCGAGCAAAAGACTGAACAGCCACGATTTGCGCGGTGCATAAACTCAACTCGTGCTTGGTCTCTTGGATTTCCAATCGGACAGCATTTGCCCTCACCACAGCTTGCAGCGAGCTCCAGACGGGTTCAAATGCTTCGAGTGCATCTCTCTGCCTGGAGATCTGATTTCTTATTAGCAGTGCTTTGGACATTGCCTGTAGCGCACTGATCGAGCTCTCTTCCAGCCAAAGCTTTTCGTTGTCTTCAGCAATACTTTTCCTGAGAAGCATGCCTCTGATTGTAGCTTGCAGCTCTTTGACCGGTCCCGAGGAATTCTTCGTGTCCCTTTTCTGAGCTGCCATCACGTTCCTAGAGAGGAACCCACGAATACTTGCCTGCAACTCGCTGATTCCATGTTCTTCGCGATGCAAAAGAGATTTCATCATCCGTACCTCATCTCTGGCTTTCTTAGCCCTCGTCAGACTTTGAAGCAATATCACGTCTCCTTCCCTGCTTTTCCAGAAAGATTCTCTGCTTGACATTCTTCGACGTACCAGGAGTCCTCGGGCACCGCTTTGGAGGTCAACTGCGAAGCGATACATATTCAGGCGGTATTCAGCTATCTGCCGAGCCATGTCACCTCTTATACGCGATTGTAAATGCACGAGCATATCCTCCGAATTCCAAAGCCCTTCCATGATTTCGGTACACCTCATCCGTGCTGCAGCACCACGTATTTGCGCTTGGAGCTCAGTGATTGCTAATTCGTTTTCACCCAACTCTCTGTCTATTCGGTCCTCCTCGCTCTCAACCGGTTCAGGCTCCGGCTCTGGTATTGGCTCTACACCAAAGTCTGCACCCATATTTCCAAAACTTGGCATGCTGATACCAGCCTTATCGAGACCTTTCTGCATTGCCTCCAATTCATGATGTTCGAACTCTAGCTGTCCAACAAGATTACCAATTCGGAAATCGACAATACCTTTCCGGAAGAGGAGCCAACTCAAAGCATGTATACAGTAGATGACCTTTGGGATGTTCTTCTTTTCGTATAAATCGATGAGTTCGAACCGGAAGAGATCTGGAAGTTCTACCTCGGCAAGATACCTGAAGAATATAGCAATATTGTCAGAATGCCGGAATTGTAATTTTGGACTGCGAAATATCCTCAGTCGTCGCTCTGGGTGTAGCGAATCAACGATCTCTGCCAATGTCACACCATCGCGTAGAGCTTCCTCCAGCTGAACGATTGGGGGAATCTCTCTTTTCAAAATATCCTCTATCCATTCCTTTGCTTCTCCGATATGACACAAGTATTCGTAAGCTTGTAGAAACTGTCGCTGTTTGTCCATCCAATTCCGTCCTTCCCAGCTATACCCACCATTGCCTCGACTTAGCGCAACTGCACTCTGGCCGCCTCTTGTGTTATCGCCTTTCTGTAGCCTTCGTCGTCCGTGAAGTCCAACAACTTCTTGCGCCGGAGATGTGATACTGAAATCTTCAGAAGAGGCAGTTTCCGCGAACTGCGACAGTGTTCGAAGCTGGCTGGTCGAGGATCTTTGCAAGCTCAGAAGATCTGGAGTTTGCAATTGCGGAAGACCCTGGATTGTTTGACTCCTTCCAGAAACTCTTGGACGGCTCACGGAGTCCGCACGGCTGAGAAGCAAGGAATTAGGGCGAATTGATGATGGAATCGCGGAAATTTGCTTGTTGCTCGGATGTTCCCCGTACGAACTACGAAATGATTCTACGGTATGCCCTCGAGTTGCCGGCGGAGTTGCGGACGCATGCTTGTCGACTGGATTTTCCCCATACGAGTGTCGAAATGTTTCGATGCTTCGCTCTCTAGTTGAAGGTAGAGTTGCAGATGCGTGCTTGTTGATGGGATTTTCACCATACGAGTGACGAAAAGTATCAACACTTTGCCCTCGAGTATGATTATATAGGCTTGCGTTTCGATCGATTGGTGGAGGACCTGGCGGTTGAGGAAGCGGACGAAGAGATTGTCTTGCGCTTTTGTATGGACTCTCTGGACTCGACTCAGTACTATCCCTGACCCCTCTTCCTATTCTGTTCTCGATTCCTGGAGACCGCATTCCGCCAGCCTCACTCAAGCCCCGCTTATGGCCGTATCCACTTGAAGCTGTTGATGATATGGTGCTCGTGCGACTGAGCTCGTAATGACCGGAAGAGTTGGAGTATGCTGAAGATACTGTCGATGCGTTTGATGGTTGACGTTTAGTCGGAGATAGATGCCCTGAATAGTCGACGGTCTGCGTCTGTCGGAGTGGTGGTCTGTAAGACATTACGGGCTTTCTATGGTGAATATATCAATCTCGCGTTTTTCGTCGACGACCATAAATAAAGCACAAGACTGCCAAGTTGCGACCATCAGATTCCAATCCTTTCTTTCTCCCTGCCGCACCTAAAGAGTCCCAGCACCGTGAGGAGTTATCTGGTCCAATGTTGTCGAATTTGCGCCGACCTGGAGAGGTTTTCTGTTTGTTGATATTACCGCAGCACGAAGCGGGAGCGCCCAGCGCCAGGTATTGAGAGTCGCGAATATAGGTGAAGTTGAATGCGAGATATACAGAAGACAATTTCTGTGACTTTTCTTCCGTTTCTGTAAAACTCGGAAATTATTATGATGACTTCTACCGGCGCATCGAAACCGGCGTTTTGGCTGTAAAGATCTCATTGACGAGGGGTGCACTGATCTTTGTCGGACAGCGGAGAAAACATATTACATAAGCGATGCGTTGGCGGAGCGACGACGAAAAACCTTCCAGCAAACGAATTGTTGTCGGAGACCTGACAACGCGGGAAGTTTATGCACCTGGTGTGTAGGTCAAACAAAGATGAATACTTCGGTTTTATTTTGCTAGATTCTGCGAATTTATCTATAGGCCGAAATCTATCTTCACTCCCGGTAACCAAAACTTGTGTTAATACAGAATTCGGTCCTTGTTCGAGTGCAACGAAGAGCCGAGCACCACAGGAGAACAGCTAGTTAGGAAAGCAACTGGTACCGAACATAGAACTTTCCAGTCAAAACTCGCAGATTACTCAACAATTGGCTCTCCTCTCCATACACTTGTTGGCCAAAATGAAAGTCCAAATGATATCCATGGATGGATGTAAGTCGTGGCGGGTCTACGGGCAGAAAATTGGGCTTGGAGAGAGGGAAGGAAGTGATAAGAGGTTCTATGGAGAAATAGGCCTGCTACATACGTTCTTAAAGCTTATTCTCAAAATCGTTTTACTTAGGATAGTTCCCTGCGGCAATGTACTACAGAATTGGAATTCGATATTCCTCCAGCAATGTTGTGTTCTTGACTCGTCATGACCTAGGTATGTACACAGCTCGGGCGGTCAAGCATCGGAGTGACAGCGGAACTCGGCCAACGGTTCTTCCACTAGCGTCATCCCCGCGAAGCTCCCCACCGCCAAAATTTCTGTCGGACAAAAATTCTTTGTCGTTTTCCTTTCCCTCTTGGGAAAAGGAAGAACGAAGATTCAACCTAGCACCCGACGACTGTGCCACTGCAATTCGAGCAACACACGTTGTCTAATCTTCTAACTTCTCTGTTCTTCTGTTCTTGATTTGTTGTTTACTGTTTACCAGACGTCAAGATGCCTCACACGAACGGTACCAAGTCTCAGCCTTCTCATTTCGGGACCGATCTCTTGGACCCAAGCAAGGCTTTGTCTCTTCTCGAAGAGTACGAAGAACGCGATGGCCTAGATGTCAAGTCCCTCATTGACTCCAAGAAACACGGCGGATTGACCTACAATGACTTTCTTGTCCTTCCTGGGTATATTGGCTTTGCAGCCTCCGACGTCAGTCTTGAATCGCCAGTCACCAAACGAATCACTCTCAAGACTCCCTTCGTCTCGTCGCCCATGGACACAGTCACCGAGCACGAAATGGCCATCCATATCGCATTGCAAGGAGGATTAGGTGTTATTCACCACAATTGCTCTGCTGACGAACAAGCCGAGATGGTTCAGAAAGTCAAGCGCTATGAAAATGGCTTTATTCTCGACCCAGTAGTGTTGCAGCGCGACACCACTGTTGCTGAGGTTAAGGCGCTCAAGGAGAAATGGGGATTCGGTGGTTTCCCTGTAACTGGTACGTCGCATTGCCTCCTTAACCTGCCCTACCTGCCACAATTTTCTATGATTAGCAAAATTTACAAATAACTTTCGTTCATCCGTATTGACCGCAAGGTCGTGGGGAAACAATCTATGCTCTTTATGATCAGAAACAGAAAATTCTCAATATGTTCTCCTGCACATATCAGCAAATGCCGCTAACACGTTCTTTCGCAGAGAATGGGAAGCTTGGCTCCAAGTTGATCGGTATCGTCACCAACCGAGATATCCAATTCGAGGATAATGATGACGCTCCCGTCTCTGCAGTAATGGTCACTGATCTTATTACTGCTGCTCATGGCACAACTCTGGTGGAAGCCAATGCGATACTTGCCAAGTCTAAAAAGGGAAAGCTCCCAATCGTGGACTCTGATGGTAATTTGGTTTCTATGATCTCCCGTTCCGATTTGATGAAAAATCTTCATTTCCCGCTTGCCTCAAAGCTGCCCGACTCCAAGCAATTGATTTGCGCCGCTGCCATCGGTACCCGACCAGAAGACAAGACTCGTCTGCAAAAGTTAGTTGATGCTGGACTCGATGTAGTCATCTTGGACAGTAGTCAGGGAAACAGCATGTACCAGATCGAGATGATCAAGTACATCAAGAACAAATATCCCGGATTGGATGTGATTGGAGGCAACGTTGTCACCCGGGAGCAAGCAGCCTCGTTGATCGCCGCTGGCGTCGATGGTCTTCGTATCGGTATGGGAAGTGGCAGTGCTTGCATCACACAAGAAGTTATGGCTGTCGGTCGGCCACAAGCTGCAGCTGTCTACAATGTCAGCTCTTTCGCAGCCAGATTCGGTGTCCCATGTATGGCTGATGGTGGTATCCAAAACGTTGGCCACATCGTCAAGGGTCTCGCGCTCGGTGCTACCACTATCATGATGGGTGGTCTTCTAGCTGGTACTACAGAATCTCCCGGTACTTCTTTTGTCAGTCGCGAGGGTAAACTTGTCAAGGCTTACCGTGGTATGGGTAGCATTGACGCAATGCAAGACAAGAAGGCTGGATCTGGCGCCAAGGATAGCCAGAAGCAGAACGCTGGTACTGCCAGATACTTCTCTGAGGGTGACAGCGTTCTCGTCGCGCAAGGTGTGTCCGGAGCTGTTGCCCACCGAGGATCTGTCACGAAGTTTGTTCCATATCTTGCTGCCGGTCTGAAGCATTCTCTTCAAGACTGTGGCCAGAAGAGTTTGGCGGAGCTCCACGCAGCAGTTGCTAGCGGCGTTACTCGATTCGAATTGAGAACTGCAAGTGCACAATTAGAAGGCGGTGTCAACATGGAGAGTTATGAGAAGAAGCTTTATGCTTAGATGAATGAGGCAACTCAATAATGTATCTGAATGACGGTTAGTAAAAATGGGTTTGGGTGGGTACAGCAGGAGTTTCCCGGGGAATGTTTTTCAACAGGACGTGATACCTTAGGTAAATACCAACACATCATATAAACAACAAAATTTCATTTTGCCATCCATCCTGTGTTTGTATATTGGGCGTTCTTGGATGTGCGTGGGTGGTGCGGCCGATTTTGTTATATTCAAACATCAACAGTCGAAGGTCAGCTGATCGGTTCTGGGTGTTCCCCGTCCTGCGCAAACATATTCAGCCTGTTCTCTTCACCTCCACAACAACGCTGCGCGCGATGTTTACAGCACCTTCAGACGCCACGATCAATCATCCCATGATTCTTTAGCAATAAATGCATCCCTCTACAAGAGAATGTCATCGAGGATCAATTCCAGGAGCCATGAATTCAAGAATCCTTTGTTTTTCGCATTCTGCAAGAGCCTGATTCGCTAGATAGTCGTGGGCCGCAGGATCTTCAGCCACCTTTATTCCCACGACGATTACATCCTACGTGCTCGATACGAGATTCAGCCCCATCAAAGTCAACTAGGGCTTATCGATTATCATGTCTACAGCGATTTACTGGAAATCAACACCTTCACTCAAAAACCATGCCAATCAAATCCTTGTCGCTCATGGTCGGCCTGTCGATTTATTTCACACGATCATTCCTACCATGCATGACATTTCTGCATGTCCCTATAGCAGCTACTACACCGTAAGATGGATGGTGAGAGGAATGAAAAAGAGGCAGATTTCTTGAGTGAGTATTTGTTGGTTGGAGTCATCTTGCCTGCCATCAGAAGACGCAGAGGAGCAACGCAACATGCTGAAGTGCATCATCTCCAAGTTTCAGACAAACAAATCTTGACATATTGGTGGTACACCAACGACTTCAAGGAAGTTGTAATTCTGTCAGTCGACGGCTCAGAGTATATACACACTCAGTACTTGGATCCCATGGGCATCTCATCGCCCCAGGTAAGCAAGCTCGAATCTGCACCGCACGTGGTCGTCTCGATTTACACAGTCGACCCACAATTTTCTTCTTGTATGAACCTGCTGTATGTAAATTTTCTTACATCTTATTCCCTTCATAGGGCCCAGCAATCCCTTGGCGCAGTAGCATTCCCTGAGTATTGCATACAGTAACCGTTCTCGGTTACGCCCTATGGCCATTGAAAACAGTCGTTCCACGACGCTTGTCATCTTGGTAATCTCACATCGTGGAGATAGGTGTGGTTTTGTTCTTTGAATAAACTTGGCCATCTCAAGTTGCAGAATTGTCACAGCAACATTTTGAGAAGCGAAAAAGCTTTCAGCTTCCATTTTTGCGCATGACTTTTTGTTTCTCATCCTCGACCTAGGCGAGATGTTCAGAGATCTCCATCCTCTAACACCTACGTCCCAATCCTCATTCGCAGCCACACCTCTTCACTTCCTCCTCCTCGTGATCGACTTTGAAAGTTGTATCTGGAGCATGTGGAGTTGGTGTGGATGAGTTGGAGCACATGAACAAGATCCATTTCTGTATATAACAATTGTAGTGTCCTAAAATACTCCACTTCACATCAGCATCAACATCATTCATTCTCTACTTCTCTGTCTCTTTCTATCTTTCCTGCATTTATCTTTCAAGCATCGTTTCTCATTTCGATTTCCTATTCGGCTATTTTGATAATAGCCATGGCGATTGTTTCATCAATGACCAGATCTTTGGCCCTCCTGGCACTAACTTTCGCGGGTCCAATACTCGCACTACCGGTTGCTGCTCCATCTGGAGGTGAAAACGGACAATATGATCGACCTGCAAATGAGGGAGCGTATAGTCGTCCTCCAAATGAAGGAGCATACACTTGGCAAGCAGCACCATCGTCGTCGATCATCGGAACTCCCGCCGCGCCATCAGTCAACCCCGATATTCCGGTACCAAATCCGAATCAAGAACCTATTGGGGGTGGTAGTCCAACACCTGCCAATCCTACCCCTACGGCAACCATTACTGCCACCTCAACTGGAGTTGTACCTTCTCCACCACCAGGCGGGGAAGGAAAACCCGCCGGATCAAGCACATCAGAATCCGGATCAAAAGAAACCCCATCTACCGGTGGAGGTGGAGGTTCAGGCGGAGCCGCAAAGCAGGGTAAAGGCACAATGTTCAAAGGCGACGGCTCCGTCGAATCCGGCTGGCCATCCGAGAAAGAATGGCTCTCCTTCGACGACCTCTGGAAGAACAACCAATACGCCCTCACCAAGGGCTGCCAACCTAACACTGTCAGTCCCGGCGCAACTGTCATCCAAAACAAGCCCAAAGAAATTGAGGACATCAAATCCGCCATCAAATCCGTCTCCCAAGAAACCGGCGTCGACGACCGATACATCCTCGTCGCCATCCTCCAAGAGTCCAACGGTTGCGTTCGCGTCAAGGGCACTGTCTCCCCCGGCGTCCCCGTCAAGAACCCAGGTATCATGCAGTCCCACGAGGGCGAGAACTCCTGCGCTGATGTCGGCGAGGCGGACTGTCCTACCGATAAGATCAAGGGTATGGTTATGGACGGTACGGCTGGAACTAAGGCCGGCGATGGGCTCAAACAGCTTATGAGCAAGGCGAAGGAGTTGCATAAGGCCACTGAGATGAGCATGCAGGCGTATGTTGCGATGAGACTTTATAACTCTGGCGAGAATTCGCTGGTGGAGAGTAATGATTTGAGTGTGGGTGGGGCTACTAGCAGTTATTCTTCGGATATTGCGAACAGACTCATTGGATATGTCTTCTAGATGCTGAGCTCCAAAGCTTCTTGGGATACCTCATCTGTACAACAATATCTGTATCATCACCCATTTTGACGACACTCATTTCATTTCATTTCAACACGCTCTCGACCACTCTGCCAGCCGGATATCGGACTACAGTCATTTCAGCATTTCTTTTCAGCCTTCACTTCTTCCAGACTTCTTTTTCTTTTCTTTCATGGTCGCTACGTAGCGATGGATGTAACATAACATTTTTCTTATTCTTGGGACGTCAGGCTTGGGGTTTTTGGATGGATGGATTTTTCTTTTCTTGGGTCGGGATTTTAAGGGGAAGACAAGGTGGATTTCATTTGTTGGAGTTTATGACGACGGGGGCAAGAAGGGGAGGTGAATTTCCTTTTTTTGTGATTAGATTTTTAAGACGAGAATTTTATGAGAATTTGATATTATGATGAATCTCTTTCATTTCCCATGATTATTGAGTGTCCCGGTCTACGTGTGCTGGATATACGATTCCGATAACTCTTATCTTTCCCATTGTCATCCTGCAACTTCTGTTATGGGCACAATTTGAAAAGGTCAAGACTTTCCCCTCCCAGTTTGATCTCGATCCTACGCTGCAATACGGAAATCCAATTGATTCAATGAATTTTGTTCCTACGAAAGTGCAAATAGTTGTCCTGCTGTGATATGATATGTGGGAAGTGACGCGAAATGAAATTGGCTTTTGCTAGTGCCATAGGCAGAGAAATGCTGCGCTGAAGACAAATGATATGTGATATGCTTCTCCCACCGGTTAACTGCGGAAGCTGTTATGATTGCGTTTTGAAAATTATTGGTGATAAATTGTTTCGCCAGATTTCCGATGAATGAAGTGCAATGTGTTGCGTTCGAAATTCAGGTAAGAGATCTCCTGTCTTTACTCGTGAGATGTGATTTGAGGCACACCATTCGATTAGAACTGAGGGAACTTCCTCTTTGTATCGTTAACGTGTGTTCTGAAGTACCGGTCTCCGGATGCAACATTTTGGAAGAATCCAAATCAAGATTTCTATGTCTCATATTGCGCGTATTTCACCAATCCATCTCCTTGGTGTCCCATGGGTAATCTTCTTCCTCTAGATCAGCTACGAGGAAATACTCGCGAAACCCTCCTTTGCCTGCAACAGCATCTATGTTAAATACCAACTGATTGTCTAGCAAATCATGACAGCAACCGCAATCATAAAAATCGTTTTGTCCCTCAAGGTTTCGAAAGAATTCGGGGATAGACGCGTCGTCTTCGGGTGCAATGACTCTGGATTTGACTATTGCCTTAATAAGTTTTTTTAGTTGATCTTCTTCCCATTCAGGACTAAATTCACGAGCAACATTCTCCAATATATCCTGTAATCTTTGGGACACCTTGACTGAAAGTCTTTGGTACACTTTCTCCGCAGATAGATAGATCTTCGCATGGTCTTTCAAACTATCATATCTTGGTTCGTTGTAGGGACCAAGACAATATATCAAGCATTCTTTGTAGAGTGCCTTGTTGCGCAATTTGACAGCCCTTGGAAGCATGTCTTCTGCCAAAGGCTCTAAAAATGCTCCAATAACTTTGTTTGAAACAATGGGTCCTGTGATACTAGCAGAGAGAGATCGAAGCATTCCATAATAATTGGCTATTTCTGTGAGGGCAAAGATTTCATGACATGCTGCAATTTCGTATGGCATGTTGTAAACAGCTCTCAGAAGCGTATCAAACTTAGCACACTCTTTGGTTTTATTGCCTGCGAAGGTCTTTTCCGAGCCGGCTTTGTTCTGGAGATGCCCATCAGCCTTTAACCCAAATTGAATGCATGTCTTTAGATACATCGATTTTTTTACCATTGACGGTCAAGAAAAATAAAGCGGTGTCTGTATACTAACCTGAGCATTGTCACAAACTAGGCTCCATCCCTTTCCATCTTCATCGACTTTGGTGACCAGTCATAAGTGAATTCGCCGCTGAGAAGCGTAGTTGGGCTGTTTGATTTATCCGCTGAGTCCAAAAATGTACGAAAGAAGATCGAGTTCGTTTTTAGAATTGTCGAATGAACATGAAATTCTTGAGAGAACACTTTAAGGCGAGTATCGAGCGGTAGGCCTTTCAATTTGAAAATTACTGGTGGTTTAGGTTTTGGTTCTCTCTTTTGCTTTTTAAACGGTGGAGGAGCTGGATCGGCATTTGTGGTCATTGTGAAATAGTGGTTTGACTCGATTTGGTGTTTTGATCGTGTTGCCAGATAGATCGAGAAGTAGTGGTTGAAGGTGAAAGAAGTTAACGTGAAGATGAAGTGGAGAGAAAGCAGAAGAAGATGAGTAAGGTAGGCAGGACTGTGCCGGGGTATCATAGTCAAACACATTACAGTAAGCGAGGAAAGAAGAGAGTCTCGGCACGATTGTAGGTCTCAACAACAACCTATCTTCATGGATGAGTGTATCACTTTTTGATGATAACTGCTCGGACTATTACCATCTTTCTTACTGTCATTATGTTTCGCTTTACATAGCGCAATCGGAAACTGTTCCAAATGGCAAAGTCCGAGAAAGATGGAGTAAGGGATCAAGTCCCACGATATTCTAAGAGACAGTAAAGGGGTCTCTATCTTCCTCAGAAACGGTGTTCCCTTCTCTTGCTTTCACGACAACATGACCTTTCTCAATATTAGTTGTCGAGGTCTCTTCCTCCGCGGTTCTAAACACATGTTAGCGTGGTGTTCTAATCTGAAATGAAAACTACTTACTCCTCAGAGCCATTAAATCTGATATCCAGAGCCAAATGAATGTACTTCCTCACCGCGATCGCAATCGCACAGATGATCCACGCAATACAATATGCTACATATCCAGTGGACCACCAATAACGTCGAGCTTGATCAAGATGCAATTGTGTATGTTTAGCAAGTTGGATGACAGCGCTACTGGGCTTGGTGAATATTGCAGAGCAGGAGTTGCTGCGATAAAGGCCGACAAAATGAAATATCGTGCCACATATCAGGATGAACGCGTTGATACCGACGAGAACGCCATAGATAATTCGGCTGATCCGAATATATGGCGAGGTTTTGGACTCTGAGATATTCGAAGCCATCAACCCGTCATTTTCACCCTCAACATATCGCTTCTTGGTATCTTGCTTCTCAGCAATTTGCTCCGCGACATCTTGTCTCGGCGTGTACTTGATCGCAAGATGCTGCCGGACCACCTGGAAAAGGGCTACTAATGCGGAAAACACAATATAAAGCAAGTGGTTGAGCGACCTACAGCCCCAGCCCACGGTAGGCGTAGTGTAAGAGATTGTGATGGCACAAGAACCAAAGAATGCCACACAGGCCCACGATAGGAACTGACCGATGGCGAATCTAAGGTAGAATCGAGGACCAAAAGCATTTGTCGAAGCAGCAACATCACTTTTCCCCATCCGCCGGGAGAGTCTAGTACTCACTCCAATGTCAGTGAGCCCACATTCCCATTCGACTACATTGGTGTACCAACGACGAAGTGGCACTCGAGAGCCTCCCAGCGTAAACTGATTCTTGACTGCCGTTGCTACGACTTTTGCATTTGCGCTTGCGGCAACACAATTTCCTACGACAACGACGATCAGAAGCCACGAATACAGAGCTCCGTATGCAAGACTGTGTGCCGTATCATTGTCTCCAAGTTTGTTGTAGGCTTGATAGAATGCAGCTCCCGTAGTAACGAAATGAACCACGATTGGGAGCAAAAGACCGTTGATGAATGAGATCCTTGCGTCGCACACAGCTCGAATGGCTGCCTCCAAGTCCCGTGAAAAGTTTGTCTTTCTAAATCGACGATTTTGATCGATAGGGGACTTTTCTTCGATAGTTTCGTTGAGAACACCATCAATGGCATTTTCAAGGTTGGAAACCCTTTGGTCGTTGGACCAGCACTTTTGCCGGTTGGCCACCCTTGGTTCCCTTTGAGATCTTTTAAGGTGTCACGGAGACTCTTATGGTCTGCAAACGCTTTTACAATCTCTCGAGCTAGTGTTCTGGTGGCTTTTTCGGAACGAAACAAATCCCATGTTTTCGATTTTTCGGCGTCGTGTAAAGTCCACCGAAGAGTTTTAATGCTTTGAGGGCATTTATCGATTGCATCAGTCTCGACAGTCTCATCATGGCGGACAGGATATGCTGCTTCAATCATTGAAAGAATGCCCCGGATAATGAACTCTTTTGTCAAGTTCTCCCCAAGCCAAGCGTCATGGGAGTTTGACCGGCCATGATCACAACTCTAAGCATTTCTTTTCTTTGAGAACCTTCTTGGTCGCCATGTAGATCCTCCACAGTCCAGAGGTCTTCGGCCACCCAAGTATCCAAGCGAAGCTGAGCGATACCACCCCAGAGTGCACTGACAGGGTCTACGAGAATGTTGATCCATTTTCCGATATTTTGCAGTATTTGCTGTTTTGATTAGAGAGCGCATACTCATCACGAAGATATGAGATTTACCGAGGAGTTAATCCATTTTCGCGAATCTTGCTACCTTTTTTTATTGCGTCGGGCAGGGGAGAGACGTAGTTTGGAAGAGTCTTGTGGATTTGTTAAGTTCTGGGTAAAGGTTTGCGAGGAAGGTGTGGTCGGACAGAGCCGGGTCAGATAAGGTTTCAGGACAGAAATAACAACGAAAAATCGTCCTGACCACAATGTATCCGATGAGTATGTGCATGATGAGTTAGTACTGCCCTTATGTGTGATCTTTGTCATGCGCTCGTTTGACACAATATCTCCGGAAGTCACTACTGACTATTAGTGCTCCGTTTTCTCTCGCTTAGAAACGAAGTGGTGACTTCGAATGACATCTGAGTACTAGGTGGAAATGAAAGCTATACTTTCTCTGCATCCGTGCTTGTTCTTTTGGGCTTATTTCTAGCAGATATGTGTTCAATCGTTCGTTTGCTCGGAGATGATGAGTTTTCCTTGTAATAATGGCGTTTTACTTTCACTGATGGCAATATATAGGGGTTGAGGAGGAGGCGAATCACGTGATTCAAATTTCGTTCAGCACAGCTTCGTCAAGTTACGAGTACTACACCTCTTATTTTCCAGAAGGTGACGTGAGTGCCATTACCCAAAGTTCTAAGTTCTTCAACACTTCATCAGTAGTGCTGAGTTGAGTCGGATAGACTTTAAAAATCCGCGGCATGTTTCGGAGTCAGGAATCAGGATGAGGTGACTTTGCTCTGCTTGACCTTAAAATTTAATGCGCGATTAAGACTTGCGGAACCTGCACTAGAGCCTGTAATTTACATTTGTATCTGATATCGTTGTTATTGAAATCTAAGCACAAGTATCATTTTGAGGCTGATCTACCAATAGCTGCACAAAAACCTCTGCATGTTTTCACCTGAAAGTCCTACTCTAAGTGATTGAACTGGTAGTAATTACATTGATTCCCTTGTGACAGTATTTGGAAACATGTTCCGTACTGTTCATCCTAGATAGCTCTCAAAGACAAGGCTGGCTTTGCTGCTCACCAAAGCATGTCCCCACCCTCGATGGTTGGAAAGTGCCCAGAAGTTTCCGTTTTGGTCGCACCATCAATCTAGAAGACTTAGCTAGTTCACTCTTCGAAGCATCAAGGAAACTCACGGTTGTTGTAATGAAATTGACGGCATCTACGATGGTCGTTGGTGCTTCACCCATTCCGAGCTTAGCAGCATTCTTGTTGCCCAAATCCGATTGGACAAAGCTAGGCCTGTCAGTAAATTTACATTCAATGAGAAGACTTTGAGATAGCTTACCCAGGGTCGACGACGAAGCTGATAATGTTGCTATGCTCGAAGTGAATCTTCCTAGAAAGCCAATGCACAACAATCTTGCTTGTGGCGTAAGGAGTCATAGGAATTGGACATCTCTCCAAGTTCCCCAATGAAGATATCAAGCTTCCCATTCCTACAAATTTAGGTGTTGCGCTCTTCTCAAGAAGTGGAAGGGTGGCTTGGAATAGAAGCAAAGGACCGTAAGCGTTGACTTCCATGTATTCCTTCATCTTTGCGATCGAAGTCGTTGCTACAGGGTCCAAGTCATAGTTGATTCCTGCGTTTGCAACGACAACATCGATATGGTCAATTTCGTGTTCGGAAGTAATCTTGTGGAAGAGCTCGCTATATTCTGACTCGTGGGTAGCTTCAAGACCGAGAATTATGAGCTTACTCGACTCTCCAGTTGGCAACGATGAGAGGTCGTTGGTCAGGGCTGTGTTTGTGGCATCCCGAACCGTCGCAATGACTGTGTTGTTTGGTTTCTGCAAGTAGCTCGCTACTATACCGTGGCCGATGCCTCTGTTCGCACCGGTGATTAGATAGACAGTATTGGAAGCCATGTCTGAGGTTATAAGAAATTGCGAAGTCAGAGATGTGACAGGAAGAGATGCGGGTTTAATTCGTTCTCGACACTGGAAAAATATCCAGTGGAAAGACTTCAAGAACTGTTGTGTTTTCAAGTCAGTGCCCCCGACCGACTATCACCAACCAACACCTGCTTATCCAGGTGATACAGTAGGCTGACCGCACGACTAGCCAGAACTATGCTTTGATCCAATGGCTGATAGGGCAATCTAGAATGCACGACTGTAGTGTTCTCTTCACCGAGTGTTGGTTCCAACATATATGGGTGGTTGGCGTTATTCCAACACTCCGGCATTACACCTGGCAACATATCCTGTCAACTTCTACCTACCAACAACAAATGTTGAAACAGCGAACTTGTGATATGCCATGTGCAAATCACTTCGTTGACCAGGATTATAACAGAGTGTTTGGATTCTCCTCTGGTCGACATATATATCAAGATTACTCATCCTGTGGAGCCTCCTTCCAAGTTTGTTGTTGTAGAATGCTATGCATTGATGTGGTTCAGCACGTTGTATCTGAGTAAATGCCAGCCCGAAATGTTGTAGAATACGAACATATTTGTAACACCCATAGCTGATTCTTTTGTGCTGGTAGAATCGAGATCTGAGTAGCGTTTTGTTTCAATACCCCTCAGCCACTTCCTGCTCATACTCTTGACCGGATTTTACATTATGAAATCGTGTTTGGAAAGTGTAATCAGTGAAAGAAAGGAATACTCAAACTACTCAAACTAATCATGAATAACTTGAGTTGAGTTGAGTTGATTATGAGAAGTAGGGTACCTTGAGTTGAGTTTGAGTAGTAACTCAGACTACTCATGATTAGTTTAAGTAGTTTGATTAGTATTAGTAAGCCTCTTAATATTACCCCTATCTAGGTAGCGGCTAGTAGTAGGGGGTATATTAGCTAGTAATTAAGGGGCGGACCCGAGGTTCCGAGCTACTTAATTGGCTAAAGGTCACGTTTGTGGCGCTACTCAAAGTACTCAAACTAATCATGAATAACTTGAGTTGAGTTTGAGTTGAGTTAGAGTAGTTAATTATTATCTTGGCCACTACTCAACTCAACTCAACTCATTTCTTACACTGGGTGCAATCATTTATCGGTTTTTGAGCACCTTGTCTCTCTTCGAACAAAAATACAATCAAAAAACCTAATATGCCTTACACAATCACCGCATCCTTATGGCGTGAGCCTGGAACCACCCCGGAATTCTTCAAAAATTACTACAAAACAAAAGACATCCCTCTCCTCATGAAAAAAGTTGGAACTCCCTTTCCACTCCCACACACTCGCCACTGTGTTACTCGCACTCCGGCCCAACCTGCATCCTCGGACAATTCAAATGCCAACTACCAAGCCACAGTATACGGAGGAACAGTCGAAGATTTTGATTACGACGCGTACTCGGAGATGGTTTTTAAGAGGTTCGAGAAATTTGGAGCTTTCGCTGCTAAGTTAGCGGAGGTTGAGGCGACTGATGAGGAGTGGAACCAGGATATGGCAAATTACTTGGACGTTAGTGAGAAGGCGAGGAGGATTGTTGTGGTGGAGGAACCGGTTGTTAGTCACCGGCCTGAGGCTTAGGTCTTTTATGTTTTGAGAAGAGAATTCTGTCATCAACCACGGGGTTTCCATTGTGGTACGGTTGTCATATGTGAAGCACTTGGTGTTTAAGTTCACGAGTAGGCCTTGCTGAGTGGAATGTGTTCTAGTTACAGAGTGATATTGTTTTAAGGGCTTTGCGCCAGAGACTTGCATTGTGGAAGGTATTCCGAAGTGATCACCAAATTTTATAATTGATCAATATGTGCAACGAGTGGGTCAATTACTCTGTGTATTCATCACTTTCTTCTGATCAGAGATCGTTGCTATATATCTAGTGACTTTATCATATGTGATGATATGTTGAGTCCGATCTCTGAGAGACTTGTTCTGAAAATTAATCGTACGTCCTGATTTTTTTGAGACCAATATATATAACGAATGTGATTGTCTACATAAAAATTGGTTGGAAGACTATAACATGATTGTCCGACAATTTACTTGGACGTTCGTACTCCAGGAAATGAATGTATTCTATCTTACGGTGAATATGAGAAATATATTTACTCAACAACATTTTTTCAGGTAATCCTCGAAATACCTTAACTTTTGTAATTAAATTTATCGAATCATCAGAAATTTCGACTGGTATTAATCGTAAAGAAGACGTTGCTACGTCGTATATTAAGGAAAGTTTGTTGTCGAAAGAACTGACATGCTGTGAATAACACTTCAAATTAAGAGAATAGATGAAGGTTTTGTTATACATTTTGTCCTCTCCTAATTTTCACACTGTTTCCAGCTAACGGAGTGTGGACATTAAATTACATAGGTAGAATGTTTTGTCCCTCTACCGCAAGAAAGTATGCTGTCAGTCATGTTAAACACTAGACGAAGCGGAGAAGAAAAGTTTTGAATGTCGTTTATTTGCTTGCTACTTCAATGCTATATGTTCTCTGAACTTGTATTGGATAACTTGCTATTATCCAGCAATATCCTTACTAACTGCCATCAGTGCCATGATGACTTTGGACATCATAGAGATAAGCCAAGCACAATCAAGTCGTTGAACCCCTGATGCGAACTTATGAGTGCCAAGCCACGAAAAACTTTCCCCCTAACACATCCTACCAATCCACCTCCTTGGTGTCCCATGGGATATCTTCCGCGGTTAACTTCACATTCAGAAAATAATTATCAGCTTCGTAATCGCCTGCCTCAAGTTCTGGTTGCAAGATGAGACTGTTTTTGAGGATGTCGCCGAAGACCGCAGAGTGTTCTCCTTTTCCAATCTCATACGCCATACTTTCCGATTTGTCCAAGAAATAAGAGGGATAAGATCGGGATACTTTACGACCAGTTTTTGGGAAATACTCGGTAATACGCGCTTCTACTTCTCTGACCCTCTCATCGAGTCGTTCGGAGATTTTTTTGACGACTGCACGAAGATTCTCGTCCTTGATCTTTCGGCGTTGTGGGTTGTCGTAAGGGCCCATGCACCAGATTACGCAGTCTCTGAACAAGTTCTCATTGCGCAATTTTATCGCCAATGGGAGCACCTTGAAGGCCTCTTTTTTCAGCGATTCGAATAGATTTGGTACCGTAAGCGTTGCACTTCCTAGTCCAGCAGAAACTGATCGGAGGGCGCCATAATAATCCGCCAGGTCTGTCAAGCATTCGATATCAGCCCAGCCTTTGATATTATATGGCAGCCCATGAATAGCTCTCATGATCGTGTGAAAGAAGTGTTCTTGGCGGTTAAAGTCCTTATAAGTCGAGGGAATTGTGGAATTGACTTTGTTCTGCAGATGGGAATGAGCATGGGTACGTATTTTACTTCACGGGGAAGCGTTGTGATGAGTTACAAGCCACTGACCTTCGCATTGTCACACACAAAATGCCAACCTTCACCATCATCATCGATCTGAGTAATCCATTTGTATCTGAACTTGCCAGCCGCTGAGACATCTGACTTTTTCTTATCCGCCGAATCTAGAAACGTGCGAAAGAAGATCGAGTTGACTTTCAAGACAGATGAGTGTACGTGGAATTCTTGGGAAAAGACCGTGAGCTTCGTGTCTAGCTCGAAACCTTTAAATTTGAAGACGATTGGCGGTTTGTTTTCAGGCTCGTTGTCGACCTCGAGTTTTTGCTTCTTTCGAGGTCTGGAAGACATCGCGAGAGGCTAAATCTTCGCGCTGAAGACGAGATAGTGCGGGAGGGTGCGTTGAGTCCGCGATTGAAGTTGATGTGTTATTTATTTTGATGGAAGGTGAGAACTCTGGAAGAAAGTGACTGGCCTCGCGACTGACGCTAGTCTAAGCGAGAACAAACTCCCCAGGTCGGTGTAGAGGTACCTGTTAAATATATTGTTTTTCAAGAAGAACCGTGAGAGTATCGGTTAATGACTTGATTCGGCTTCAGAGGGTAGATTGGCAAATAGGTCACCAAAGCTCTTGATTCCAGGCATCTCGTTTCTTTGGCAGCCAAGGTTGAACAAGAGTTCGAGACTGCAGATCCACAAACAGCACTCACATTGGAACTGAAGAGCAAAACAAACTTCTGCTCCAAGTTCTTTTATCTTTTGTTCATTCTCTCTCCATTAAATCTAGTGCCAATTGTAAATACATTTGACCACTTCTTTTCTCCTAGAGTGATCTTCCGTGCCATTTCTTTTGACGACGAAATTCCCGCAAAGCTTATATCCTTCCATGATTTGCTCCACTTTCTCCAAGCTAAGAAACGGGAGATTGCGAGATTTACCAATCGACCTCCATTATATCCCACGGTAAATCACAGGTCTTGATGTCGAGGCAGAAGAAGCTGTCTGGCGAATGACACCCTCCACTCTCAGCTTTAGTGTCCAGTATCAGATTGCTCGAAAGAACATCGGAAAGAGGTTTTTCACCATATTTCCCATGCCTTTGAACATCGCAACCAGCATCTCTCATCGTACGGAAATATCGAGCAACGTTAAACCCATAACCAACGGAGGCTGTGCTGGAACGCACAGCCTGTACAAATTTGGTATCCTGCATTCTTCCTTCGGCTACGAAGCTCAATATGTGAGAATGAGTCTTTTCAACTCGCGAAGCCACTTTCATGTGCGCCTCTTCTGCCTTACTCTTCAGTGTCTCATTCTGGAGCTTCAGATACCGAGGTTCCCGCCATGGATTGATCGCTAGAATAAGGCAATCGTTATATAATATCCTGTGACGACACTTGACTGCAATTTCTAAGAGATCCAGACAGTTGTTTTCGTTCGGCTTAATGCTTCCATTCATGAACAATGCGTCTGTAAGATTACCCGAAAAGGACCGAAGCATCCCAAAGTAGTCGGACAATGCCAATATGACTTTCAGCTCATCGACACCCTCAAGCTTGAGGTCACGATAATACATACAGCGCATTAGCTTTCCAAATGCTACTGTCTGGTATTTGGTGTTGCCGGAGAATTTACTGAAAGACGTTGAATAAATCTACCATAAGTCAGAGATAGTAATGATCGCTAGTCTGGCGCTTCATCCGAGCAGAGAAAGATGTAGAAATGATGTTGTGCAATGTTCGGAGCCATATGTATACAACGTACAACACACGCAGTTTCATACAATAGGAAAAGAAGGCAGATCTGGCGGCCTTAGAATAGAGAACTTACCTTCTTCTCAGATCGAACCAAGTTCCATCCTTGCCCGTCAGCATCGATCTCAGTAATGGAGTCGTACGCAAATCCCGTGGCGGATGGTGCGATATCTGTCTTGTCTACGGAATCCAAGAAAGTGCGGAAGAACGAGGAGTGTATGCGTAGTACCATTGAATGGATGTGAAACGGTTGATCGAAAACTTGAAGGCGAACATCTGGTGTCATGTGCGAAATGAGGAAGACGATCGGATCTTGTTTGTTCGCATCGGGTGGGGAGGTGAGAGCCATCTTATGTTTGTGAAGATCGGCCGGATCGCAAATGCTTGTGATGTTCCTGTTCTTGAGAAGGTGGTATCTTTATGGAACAGTTGAGAAGATGCTGGGAAGTTGAAGACTGTTTTGACGAGGGAGCCGCGAAGCCAAGGTTCGTACTTAAAGCTGAAGTTCAACTATTCCAGAACAAAATGATAACCTGCCACGCGGTAGACAAAATAAGTGGCACTCGAAACACGATATTTTTCCGATTCAGTTGACGAAATATCGTATAATTAGTGAATCGACTTAGAACAATATACCATACTCCGTCAATTATTTTGAGTAACTAAAACTTTGTAAGTTTTATTTAAAGTCGAGTTATTTAGTCTAAAGATTAATGAGCAGGTGACCGACGTATATTTTGTCCTGCGCGAGCCTGCCCCGTTGTGTACAAAATAAGTGGCAGTCGAAGCCTAGTTTCTCTCCCAATAAGTTGACGAAATATTGTATATTTCGTGGATCAATCTAAAACAACATAAGATATTCCACTTATTGTTTTAAGTAAACAAAAATTCTAACGCTCTATTCGAAGTCGACTTTATTATTCAGTCCAAGATTAGTGAGTAGGTAACCGACATCTATTTTGTCCTGCGCGAGCCTGCCCATCCAAGCTTGCAAGCATATTACCCGAAACCTATATGGTAAAATTGAATTGCGCATCTCTCTGTCTCCACAGTATATCAAAAGATAAATCCCAGCGCATCGACACCATATTTTTACCAATCCATCTCCTCGACATTCCATGGCAATTCTTCGTCCTTGACAGTGTCACATAGAAAGCCCTCACTAATACCATCGCAGGTGAAATGAAAATCGACGTTAGGAGATATATACAGCTTGTTTAACAATACCTCAAAACATGCCGCTCTAAACATAAAGCGATGCGGAGCCCTGTACCGTAACTGACTGACTGCCTTGATGTACTGTGGAAGACATACTTCTGAGCTTCCAGGGACCTGAGTGTTGTAATTGCAATTGATCAAGTCTTTAGCGACTTCCATGATCAGAGATCCTTCCTCCTCGTCTTCATCTTGTGATGTGAGGGAAAGAGAGATAATATTCCCCAAAGCCTTGGAGACCTTGAAAGCAATTCTATTGCGAACAACCGTCACGAGTTCCCCAAATCCTGGGTCTCTGAGATCTATGTGACTTGATTCACACCACCTACCAATACTCAGTAGAATACAATCGCTGAATAATGGCCGATGCCTCAATTTTGCAGCTGCGGGAAGCAACAGACGTGCTGTTTTGCCACTACCTGATCTCATAGAGCGGATAATATCACTGCTGCTAGACAGTACCCCATCTAATGTCCGAGATACTACGCGTAACATGCAATAATAATCGGCTAGCTCTGCAAGCGCGTTCAATTCAGCCGCTGTAGTCAGCGAGTACGGTTCGAGATACAAAGCTCCAAGTAGCTTATTGAGAACGCTGGCTTGTCTTTCTGGTTAGAGCCAAGGAAGCTTGAAATTTTCCTCCGGAGAACCAGTAAAATCAACGGATGCTTGGTGTCCAGTCATATAATCCAACATGTTAAGCTCTTTTGTCTGATACATCAATCAGACAGACTCTGCAACTTCACGAAACGGACTTACTCTCGACCCCTCCGATACGAGATGCCATCCCATGCCATCATCATCAATTTCCGTCACCCACTCGTACTTGAACTGCGAGAACGATGTCGCTCCCGCGGACGCATCTCTGTTTGAAGGATCCAGAAATTTACGGAAGAAGGCTGAGTAGAGCTTGAGGATCACCGAATGGACGTGAAATTGCCACCTATCGAACACTTTCAAGCGTACATCAGGCTGAAGACCGGGTGAGACGATTACATTTACATCTTGTAGTTCACGATATAATGATGTCATGATGAGAGATGTGAAGATTTGCGAGGGAGAAATTGGAATGTAGCTAAAATAGGGCTGGATGGAGTCAACGTACGGACCATCAGTGACACTATCCCCCTTAATTATGTCACTGACGGGTTTCTCCATTGTGATAAATTCTCAACCCGTTAAAATTGTATGCGAAACCTCTCAACTTGGTGAACACCTTTTCAATACTTGATGAAAATATTCTCGTCGATGGCCGTTACCGTTTCCACTCTGCAGCACCGTATCACTTCTCCATCCTTCCGCTACCGAAATAGTGAATATGGCGGCCTCGCCCACGGAGGTTCCTGTGGAAATCAGAACCATTACACTTATTACTTGCATTGTAACCTTCCCCTTCATCCTCATGCTCATGGTATTTTCTGCAAACGTCCTCAGGAGACAGATGTTCTGGAGCTCCATTACGCGTGTCCTCGAGGGCTTTGCGGAAACCCAGAATATAATCGATGAGAAATCCATCGCATGAATACTTAAACGAGTGCAGATTGGACATAAATTCTTTACCCCATCGATCGTCATGCACACCAAGGTTTATTAACAATTTTCGAGGTGCAGAATCCTTTGTGGTGACATTGTACAATCGGGTCATAAAATAATAGTCCAGGAAGTCTGTGTCGTCTGAAGCCGGTTCAAGTTTCTGTATAGTCTGAACCATGTAGTCCATAATAGCATTTCCGAACCTCTCACACTCAATGCATTCAGCAAGACCAAAACAAACTGCGAGCTGGAAGAAAAGGTCTCTTGTGAGCTCCTTCCGTTTCTCTCTTTCGCCGTTGCTTTCGCCTGCTTTTGCTTTTGGTAGTTCGATCAATGCATCGGCAGACGTTATATCCCCCCGGTATGCATCCATGCAAGAAATATTGAAAACCATTCGCACTCGCCGTCCTTGCCGTCCTCGCCCATGGAGACTTTTATTATTTGTTGGTTTCTTTTACACTTCTCGTCAACATATTTAGAGAAGAAGCAGATAAGCTCTTTGTTAACGCAGAATTCATCTTCAGATTCCCCGACGTTGATTTGGATGGGTTCAGCCCACGGCTTCCTAGTTATGTTAGCCAAGGGCCAAGCACATGATTACAGTGTAGTAACAACCAACATTGAAAGTTTGACCTTCTTCTTTGGCGGGGTATCCATGTTATCGCAATCGTCTTCAAAGTTTGTAAAACCGAGGCTGCCGTCGAAAGATTGGAAGATCGATACGCGTTGAAGGCGAGAATTCAAGTGCACCAGACAGGCTTCAAATCCTTCGTAAATGTTAGAATCCCCAGAAATAAGTCGATCTAACTTCTCAAGCCAATGGAAAGGTCAACTTACAAAGACCTCAGCGAAGATGCAGAGATCGACGTATAGAAATCAATGCGATCTGAGGTTCGGATATGGTTTGACACTTCACTGTTGATTCCGAATTCGAGACATATCTTGTAACCTCAATTGCAAGGTGCAATGAAGTTGTTGAAGCTTGTAGTGTGAAACTCAAGCAAGGTTGTAGAAGTAAACAAAGTTTCCACATCTGACAGCCGAAACGAGAAAGATCACGACGAAGGTGAAGCCTCAAAATGACAAAGTCTTCGGTTGCAAAGTTTTGCAGAGAATAACAATTGTAGCGCCATGAATAGATTCCTGCTTACTCATATTCAACATCGTTTATTGAATAGCGCGTTTGTGTTGCTACACCTGCAACATATCCAACCTCGAATCTACCCGACATCCTGTACATGTAGCAAATGAAAATCAAACCCCAACTCGCACTTGTAAGGCTTTGAGAAAATCTTAGTGTCATTTTCTACTCGAATATATAGAAGAATGAAGGCCAGACCTAGTCCATAACTCAGACTCTCCAGCTTTTAATAAGAATTTGTCTACGGCCCTTTAAACACCTCCCTCAAATCCCTTTCAACAATTACCCAATCAGGATATCATAGGATGTCTACACCGTCATCAATTCACACAAAACGTTATTCTTACCAAATAATCACGCACAAATTCGGAATCGTAGCCATCGAAATTCTAGGCCGGAAAATTTAATCGGCCAGTAAAGCTCCATCAGGAATTTGTAAACCGGCAGTTGCACGCCAGAAGACAAGAGATTTTGGGACGCAAAAGCTGGAGTGTAGCACACGCTTTACTGAAAGAACCGAAGATTCTTGCTTTCAATGCAAAGAAAGAAGCTCCCCAAATTTGAGATCATGTCTGGTTTAAGAATGTATGCCTGGACAAGGCCTAATATTAGGAGTGGAGAAACGAAATAAAATGATCGTAGTAAAAGTTGATTCTATTTTACATTTCCTTATGATTTAATGCTATTGATTAAGAAACAACAGGCGCCGAAATGTCATTCACTGAAAGAGCTTCCTCTAGAATCCCATTCTTTCCAATGACAAGCCCATAACTGTTCAAGAGTTTCTTTGTCAACGCCAACGGTGCTATAACATCCTCCACGTTCTTCACAGCGAGTCGAAGATCTCCAGTCAAAACCCTTTTATCTGTCCGTTGACCTGGTCTTCGGTTCGAAAGACGAAAAATAATGGCTGAGTTGATATAAGGTACTGCTTTGTTGAAGGTCATTTTCCCAGTAAGTATCCCCAAAGCCTGAGCAAACCCGCCAGACATCACTTCATTCCCTTTATTGTCCCTTTGCTTATCCAACTCATTCATCCAAGCGATTCCTTCTCTGTCATTTTTCCACTTTTTCCGTGCCAAACTTTTCGATTCCTTTGCTTTTTCTCTCTTCTTTCCATTCAGCTCCAGTATTGCACTAATAGCCTTCTGATCTTGGGAAAGAAAGGAGTCGAGAGAGAATTTGCGTAAAGGAGATTTCGCGATAATGTTGTTGTAAGTAGTCTGGAGGATGTCATCGTCCCAAACAATCGAGAATCCGGATTCGTCGGCCTTCTTTGCTAGACAGCAAATGCTGTTGATGAGGCAATTTTGAAAACGTGTACATTGAAGCGAATCTCCGAGAATATAGCACGAAACGAGCTGCTTAAATTTTGCTTTTCTGGCGCAATTTTCAGGCGATTCAACAGCAGAGTTGTGAGGGACTTGTTCAGCTGCCAGCAGTTCCTTCATTCCTTCAATATCCCCCGTAGATAACCAGACCAGAAACTTCCCGAAGATGATTGGATCCTCCTCGGCGAGTGTGACAGTATGTTCCAGACCGGCAAACCATTCCTTTTTGCAGGCAGTCTCGAAGAAAACTGATTGAGCACATATCAGATCCTTGTTGATAAAGAATACCCGCTTCTCGGCTCCGACGATCACCTTCAAAGGCTCTACAGTGAAACTCTCCCTGGCGCACAGTGTTAGAAATGAACTACGAAATACATAAGGATACATACATAGAGATCTTAAGCTTTTTCTTGGGTGGTTCCGCCATAATGCTGAGGTGAAGCTGAATCACTTGAAGCAAAGTTAGTGATTTGGGAAGTGAAGAAAGTGGAGATGCTGATGCTGAATGAGTCCGTTGAAAAGTGACTGAGTCTCGATCTGAAGGCACCTCGATTGGGCAGAAGTCTCAAGATCCGAAGTACCGTGACTATACGAGATAAGTATATAAATGAAGAGATAATATCGAAATACTCACTCGAAGCTGTGGCTTAATACCCCGAAGGAAGATACCAGAAAGTACGGATTGAAAGGTTTGTGTTTTTCAAAGATGAGTGCGGTACCCCAAAAGCAAGACTGTGTACCACAGTAGCTGCTGCACACGTTCGTGCTCACGAGATTGATCGGAAAGATGTCCGAGCTTTTAATTAACGATATGAATATCTGTTGAGAGTTAGTACTAAATACCCGGAAGTTTGTCAATCTTTGTACCTGAAGCCCTCAGCAGGAATCCTGGGAGATGACTGAGATGATAAGAAGCGAGGACGCGCAAGTAGGGTGGAGCAGTATCTAAGGAAGATGAGCGGGTGATGCAGGAAGTACGCCCGCAAGACACATCCGAAACTGAAAAACTGTTGATAAGAATCTCTTGTTGTAAAGATGCGTGCAAAGTATAAGGGAATGCTGACAGAGGTGTTACTGTAGAATCTGACGAAGATGAGCACGAAATCCCTGAACCACGCCCACGCAACTCACCCGAAGCCGTCACCAAATCTTCATACCAATGAAACAAACCAAGGCACCCAGCAGTGCAGCCAGAAATCCGACCCAAAGATTTGTAAAGAGCCGCCACCTCAAGATCGATGCAAACAATTCCTCAGGTTAACCAGCGAGAGAAAGTAAGATCGACGATCAATTGCTCATAGCAGTGAGATATCGATGCCAGTAAAACTTACGGAGGTGAAGATAAGAGGAACGAAGAGAAAATAGGGAAAGAAGATGATGGTGAGTTATGAAAAGAGAAGGAAGGAACATGAGATACAGTGAACGAAAGTGAAGCTGAACAGAGATAATTAGCATCGTAACGTAATCGAAAGGTGAGTACTCAGTCCGCGTACCAAATGCGACGACTGATGTTTCTTTTCCGAGAAGAGTGATTAAGATGTATGAATAGACACAGGTGTAACAATGTATTGAGATTCAAATGACTCTGCTGGTCTTCTAATCCAGTATCGGGTGTTTATTGCTATATTTCTCCGTCGAAGTGAGTTCTCCTTTCTCAAAATCCTTATATCCAAGACCAGCCAGACCACTAGACCCCAACCGTCCCATTGACCATCTCCGGCGTCGGTTTGAGATGATAGTAAGCTGGCTGTCGTCGCCACGGGAAAACCCAAGGATACTCATCAGGGTAGTATTCTTTCCCCCAAGTCTCCTTAACCATCAGTCTAGGAATAATGGCTTTTAAGAAATCGTCACAAGTTCTTCCCAAGTAGAACTCGATGTTGGCTTCCACCCACTTACTCGACACGCTAGTGACCCACGTATCGATACAAAACTGGCGCAAGCGGGAATTGACCTTGGTGAGGGGATACACGAGCTTGATGTGTCTGGCTGCGACCCCTATGATTTTATTCGAGCCTTTCCAAACGTGGTGGGAAATACTGATGATGTGGTCCATGGCACAATTGCAAAAGCCCATGCTTTGAATAAAATCCCCGAAGCCGTAGCAACGAGCTAGCAAGTCAAATTGTGCAGATGCGGAATTGACCGTCGCGTCTTTGAATGCATCATTCTGTTTGCCTTTCCCGAATTCTTGCTCGACAAATTCAAGAGACAGCACGCCGTCCGCGTTTTGGATATCGCGGGTGGTGAGCCAGACTAGGAAGACTCCAAAGATTTCCGGATCGTTCTCAGCAAGGGTGACGGTATTGTCTCTGCCGCTCTTCCATGCGTCCTTACAAGCAATTGCGAAGAACTCGGACTCGCTACATATGAGCTCCTTCTGGATATAAAACATTTTTTGTGATTCGTCTTTGCCGACTACAACCTTGAGCGGGTCAACGGTGAAGCACGCCCTGCCCTTGATATTAGCAGGACTAACGCACTTGGTAAAAGAGGCACTTACATGGAGAGCTTGGCTCGCCTTTTAGTTGGGCCAGTCATGCTGACAAAAAGGGTTGTAAATTCTAATCGATATGAATCTCTCTGTTGTCTGTTTTTCAAAGTGTCGCTGATGTATTAAAAGTGGTGGTACAGCATGTAGCAAGACAGGTCAATGTAAAGGATGGATGATCACGTATTTAAAGGGACTTCGTGAAGGAGTGGTGATCCGAAGTAAATTCTAGCTGCCTAGATCCTGAATTAGTGTCCAACTTCCCAAACTTTGAAACGGATAGAAGTACGAAGCGAAAATTCACTCCAAAAACACCACGGCAAGAGGAAAGCCCCGCCTGGAAGAAAAAATTCATCTATTGAATCTAAACTATTCTGGATTCAAACCTTCTTCACGCGCTCTCTATTTCAAACTCCCATAAGCCTTCCAGATACTTCCCTCGATAATGCCCACCCACTTCTGCGCATTGTCGTATTCTTTGGCCTCAATCGCCTCAACCAGACCAGGGAATACCGCACCCGCATATCCAGTCCAAAGTCCAGGCGCGAATATAACATGCTTAAACCATGATCGACTATCCAGACCTGGCTGATACAAAAATTGACGCTCGAGGTACTTGTATTTGGTATTCACTGCACGGATGTGATAGAACAAACGGATTTTGGAGAACCATTTCCACCACGGAATATCTTCACCAGCCTTTTCGGCACATTCAGCGGCGAAGGCGTCCTGGTGATGGGCAGCATGTTTGAATTTTGATGCTGCTTTGTAAAGTTTCTTAAATGAGAGTTTGAGAGCCTTGAGGTCGCCCTTCGATTCCAGGACGGTTGGTCGGGACCGAGCTTCCATATCTTCTTCTTCAGTAGACGTGCCGGAGATTGCAGAATCAAGTTTCGACTCGGCTTGAGAGATATAACCTTCCAATGCGGTCGCATAGTCGCTGGCGTTCAGTGGGATGACTGGAGCCTCTGCAAGTCTTGCTGTGAACAGCGCCCAGATTCTGGCTACAGTGGCGTGATAATGGAATCCTGGATCGCCATATGTATTCATCCAGTGATAAGAATCGTAATTCGAGTGATATTGATAGACTGCAGCACCGGTGTCGCCTGGGGCTGAAGGATCAGGTCCGAATCCAAGATCAATCGATGGAATACCAGCAAAGTCTTGGAATGCAGTAAAGTCGCTGCCACTTCCCATAGTACTGATTTGTCCGTCCCATAGATCTCCAACAGTCTGTCCCGGAATGGTTTGATTTGGTGACTGTACCAAGCTGGTGACTTCGTAGATGAGCTTGTTCAGTAAGGGACTAGCAGACGCTTTGAAACTGGGTCCCACCGTAGCAACGTCCACATTCACGTATGCCACATTCGAGCCAGACAACCAGGGAAGATACTCCTCAACCCACTCGGTCGATCCAATGAGTCCATATTCCTCGCCATCCCAGCTTGCAAATACGATTGTACGAAGGGGTTTCCATCCCTTGGCCAAGGCGACACCAAAAGACCGAATGACTTCATTGAGAGCCGCTGAACCGCTGTTGGGGTCACCGGCTCCACCTGCAATCCAAGCATCTCGATGGTTACCTATAACGATAACTTCGTCTGTGAGTGTACCGTTGATGACACCGATGACATTCCACAGTGGAGTTGTGACATATTCTTGTTCGTTGACCAAATTCAATACCAAGCTGTCTGGAGAAGGACCAATGTTATAATCGACTCCCTTGTACTTCAATCCCAGATTCTTTTGCCAGTATTTGTTGAAATCTTTGGGTGAAGGTCCGTGGCCGTTCAGAGCCGACAAGATCGGGATAGCGTCAACGTAGGATATTGGGATAGATGGAATAGATGGAATCTTGCCCTCTACTGGTTCTCGAGGGACGCCGGGCTTGGATGGGTAACCAGGCGTAGTTCTGCAAAGTTAGAAGATGAAATGCATCGATATGGAGTGTACTCACGGATCACCTGGAGCAACGCTCAAAAATTGAGCACTTCCTCTTTGAACGCTACTTGGGTTTCGGCCCGGGCCATCTGGATACAGCTCTACTCCATTCTCTTCCGTGACACCTCCGTCGTCACCGGGATCTGTGAATAGAACGGCACCAACCATTCCTAGCTCCTCTGCACGCTTGATCTTCAGACCTCGAAAGATGCCGCCATACTTTGCAACAGCAATCTTTCCTTCTAGACTGATGTTTGCCTTTATTAAATCCTCAAAATCTTGGTATGTGCCGTAATTGACGTATACATATGGTGCAGTGACATTTCCAGAGGCTGAGTATCCGTGGAAGGTGGGAATTCTATTCTCCAAACCAGTCGTTGGATCCTCTTCTAGCACATCTTCCTCCAAGCTTGCTTCAAACTTCACATTCCACAAAGAGGAAGATTCGCTGGCGTTCTTGGTCTTGTTTTTCTCGTAAAGAGCCAATCGGTGGCCAAGAGGGTAATTGATGTATATATCATACGCCGTGATATCTGCTTGAATTCCAAACTCGGTCCATCTTTCTTGAGTCCAAAGGACCTGACTATAATTCTTTCCAGCCAGATGTGGGCCTGAAGTATAATATTTGCTCCATTCTTGCGCTTTCTCTTCTTTTGGGGTTTCAATCAATATGTCTTGGAGCTCTTTGAACGATAGGGCATTGCGGCCATGATTCGGTGGGGGTGGGGTAGGGCGCGAGGGCCTTCGATGATGATGATGTCGGTCAAGTACGCTCGCAGGGAGGAGGAAAAGGACAACGAGGGCCAGCAATGAAGATGATAACGCAATTGTACAAAATCTTCGGACGATGCTGTGGGAGTATCGCTGGCGAGGAGGACCAACTTGTACAGTGGTAATCAATGGTGTCCGTTCATCGTGCTCCATCTTCTGGTCGGCGATGTTAGCCATGATTGCGATATCACCTTTCCAGATCTGCTGAGCTTTCCAGGTTACCATCAATGGTAAAAGTGAAGATATAAATCGAGGAGGAAGCGCAGCGCAGAAGAGATTGAGTATATGTAGTGAATCACGACTTACATGATTCTAATCACCTACCTAGCTGGGAGATCAACGGTAGTTCCACTAATGACGAATCTCACTCTCGTTCCTGCCAATAAACGTGTCAATCGGTAGCGCAATCATCAATGAAGCTAAAACGTTCAAGCTCAAAAGTGGGAGCGCATACGGGATTGCTTGAAGGGGAAAGTATCTGGGATCCTGGTGGAGTAGAGCTCTCGCCCGTTGTTGCCCTTTGAAGCTGGTGCGAGCTGATGTCAGTGCGGCTACGGACAAGCTTGTTTGAGGGCACGTGATGATAGGAGCTGCTCCCAAGCCAGGTTCATTGCGATAACGGCCCACTCGAGCCAGTGAACAATCAAAATGCCAGACGCCGGGGACTGCGGGTGGCTACGAGCTTGGGCGTTTTTTGTGTCTTAGAATTTTGATGTTCCCCGCCTCCATCCATGGATCACGAGAAGAACCGCCTGACATTTGCGTGGAAGAAAGGAGCAGAGAGTCTAAATCTCTTTTAATTAATCTAGTTCCGTCTTGATCGGGTTCGGATCTAATCCCACATCAGCGCATTCGACTTGAAGCTATTCCCAGCCATGATCGACAACTACATACCAAAGAAGACAATCAATTCCGAACTCCTGGCTTCCGCTTTCCGCCCACTACTGCGCCCAATTCCAACTCGAACTCCGTTTGGGTTAGTCCAAAATACGACTCTAACCTGCACAGCACTGCACTGCACCGCGTCTCGACTGTCTTACTTTCCTGTACCAGACAAGGTTCTCGTGGGCGTATGAGGCTTTGAAGCAAAGTGACAGAGGTATACCAGGTTCCGCCACTTTCGTTGGCTGCTGAGTCAAGTTGAACATATTCTCTCCTCCCCACTCTCGCTCTCTTCTCCATTTTTTACAACTTTTACTTTCGTCCTAAGTAAGAAAGACACCAAACTATCTTTATCGGTCTTCGAGCAAACCTGCACTGGGCCATTACTGAATCACATTATCGTGGCCTATTCACAAACACGAAGTAGGACCTCGTTCATAAGGCAACGCTTGATAACAAAACTCACAACCGCGTGTCTAATCTGAATATCTTCTCAGCTATAGAGCACTAGAGAGTCCCCTCACTGTTGCCCTCTACTATATTTGGCCGCCTATAGAAATTTGTCTCCGTATCTTGACCGGAGTCCAACATGGTGAAGAAAACACCAAAGCTGCCGGCACAGCAGCTGGCTATTTTAGGTACGTCTTTCCATCGTGAGAATTCACCGGAAATTCTTTCACTCTGGTTGGCATTAAGCTATTTTTCGCGGTTGATCACGCTCAGAATGAGTCCCTCAGAAAGCCTTGTCATGACATATCGAGTGCTACAGCATCCGTGGTAACGTTGGTGAGACTACACCCATCCAGACAATTATGATCTTTCTGTGTGGTTTCATCTGACTGCGCCTTCAACACTTAGACTTATTGATCCAGCATAATGATTGTTTGGTATTTGCATCGCCTTTTCTCTTGCTAACGTTACCATCAGCGGTGGCCAGATTTGCAGAGCCTTTGACTCTGACTTCAATATTTCCATATCTTGTTAGTACATCTATCTGAAGTATTAATTCAAACTTTAACACTCCTTAAGCCAGAAATGATTGAAAGTTTTGGAGTAAGAAAGAAGGAGGTTGCGAAATGGGCTGGAATTACCTCGGCTGTCTTTTCACTCTCACAGTGTACGACTGCCATATTCTGGGGAAGAGCTTCTGATAAATTCGGAAGAAAATCGACCATTTTGACGGGCTTAACCTGCACATTATGTTGCACGTTACTCTTCGGTCTGTCCACTACTTTGCCTATGGCAATTGTCGCGAGAGCACTCACAGGAGCGATGAACGGAAATGGTATGGCACTAATGTCACTACCCAGAATAAGTCGACATTGTGCTAACCATAACAGTTGGTATTATACGTACGATGGTCGCAGAGATGGTTCCTGAAAAAGAGTTACAGCCAAGGGCATTTTCAATCATGCCTCTCGTATGGAGTCTGGGATCAATTTTTGGCCCTTCATTTGGAGGATTGTTCGCCAACCCAGCAACAAATTATCCAGGACTGTTTGGCGACAGCAAATTCTTGATAAAATTTCCGTTCGCCTTACCAAATATCATTGCCAGCTTATTTTTTCTGGCGGGAATTATGACTGGTCTGTTATTTCTAAGGGTATAGTTCACTGCTTCCTTTCTTCCTTCATCCTTGCTCACATTTTATTCAGGAAACGCTCGAAACAAAACGACACAAACGAGACTACGGCTTGGTCCTGGGTCAGAAACTGGTCACATTTTTCAAAGCACTATCTGGTGTCAAATCAAAGCACAAGAGCTTCAGTCGTCGTTCTGCAGGCTTCGAAGAAAATGCATCCCTTCTTCGACCAACCTCCGCTGCGGGTTCAGACTCATCACGTGCATTTGATGAGGGATCTCGAAGTAAAGGATCTGGAAAGCCTGTAGAATCAAGACCCGCTCTTTCTGAAGTTTTCACAAGACAGAGTGTCATCAATGTCGCTGCTTATACATTTCTAGCACTTCATTCGGTGGCATATGATCAATTGCTACCGGTGTTTATGCACCATACGAAGCAGATCCCAGATTCCACCAACACTCATCTACCATTCAAGTTTTCAGGCGGTTTTGGACTCGGCTCAGGTCGAATCGGTACAATATTCACTCTCTATGGTGTTCTTGGAGGACTGGTACAATTCTTGATCTTCCCACCTGTCGCCAGGAAATTCGGAGTCCTGAGGTGCTTCAAAGCTTGTGCCATAACATATCCAATCGTCTATTTCCTCACACCATATCTAGCATTAATAGTCTCATCACCACTCCAACAAGCAGCAATGTTCGGTATCATGATATTCAAATGCATAGCAGGAATATTCGCATTTCCCTGTTCAGTCATCCTCTTGACCAACAGTGCGACAAGTCTACGAATTCTCGGTACACTAAACGGTGTTGCAGTCAGCGTGAGTGCCATCGGAAGAGCCGCTGGTCCAGCAATGGCAGGACCAGCATTCACATGGGGACTCGAGAAAGGATACATAATCACACCCTGGTGGCTTCTGGCAATAATCTCCATCTTCGGCGCCATTCCCATCTGGTACCTCATCGAAATGGAAGGATTCAACAAAACCAATGACTCCGACGACGAAGAGGAAGACCTGTTAGATCCTATCGACGAAGACGGCGAGATCCTCGAAGGCGACGAAATAATAGACGAGTATGAAGAAGCGCTCGATATCATCGACGGACCTAGTCTGTCGCGTGTGAACTCGAGGAAGAGACACGAGGAGAGTGAGACGTCGCATAGTTACAAGTCCTTTGAGACAAGGATGAGCAGTCCGCTTGGGTTTCGGGAGGCAGTTGGACCGGGGGGTGGCAGGAGGTTAAGTAATGGATTGGCGGCTAGTAATTTGGGGCAGGGGACTGGGGGGACGAGTTTTACTTAAGTTGTTAGGGGGTGGGTAATATGTAAGGAATAGAGTTGAGAGGACGTTGGTAGATATACCGTCAGATGAAATATATAATCTTGCCATTATAAATCCAGGGTTTTCAATCCTGACGTGAGCATTTGTCTTATCTACGTCTTCGTTTTACACCTCCATGATTACCTCGCTTTAATTTTCTTCAAGCGTTGAGATGAATCAATAGTTCATTTCCTTGGGTCTTATCTCGCTCGTAAGCCGAAGATAAACCCGATGCCAAACGTAAAGATCATGTAAGGATTTGATGCCGGAGGGTAAGTGTTTTTGGAAGTGAGATGTAACCGCTCTAAAGGCAAATAAATGACCAATTCCGAACTTCGGATATGGCAGAGTAGATTTGAATGCACCATCTTCCATTTCGTCGATTTCTCAACTCGTTATACAAGGGGCAATATACACACCCTCACTTTATTCCAAATCAAGTCAGGAAATCATATATCATATAAACAAGTCCTTGTCTCTCCAGGCTAAACTCGCAAATGCAAATATAGTTGAGACACCAATCCACAAATTCCCCATCCCAACACCATTCAACAGGTTACTACATACCTCTTAACAAATCCCCTCTCATTCCCTGCACCTTCTCCACGTATGAGTCTCGAGAGTCTCCATCATAAAGCTAAAAACCTGAAACAAATTTCAACAGTACCGATAATTTATTGACAGTTTCTCCAATTTTCAGGCAAGAAAAGGCTCTCTAACTGCAACCTGGAGTTTCTCGGTGATTAAATGGGATGCTATGATTTTCGGTGTGTTGCATACGGTTTGGGTGAAGAGTGTTAAGAAAGGGGGGAGTAGATGCTGGGTGAATTTGTTGAAGCGTGAGGCGGTAGTTGGGGTTTTTGATGTGGGTGATTGAGGGTGATTGTAGGGCTCAGGAGGACGCTAGGAATTGAAGTATTAAGCATTGATATACCTACCCACCATAATCCAAAGGCAATTAAGAGACTGTTGCCAACACCATGACTACCCTACAACATTAGTAAAGGAGTACTTAATTTAATCAGACTCTTAGACTATTCATAGGCTATCATAAGTTAAGTTGATTTAGGTGGTCGCTTGCAAAACTTGTGATTAGTCTAAAAGTGTGTAACTATATTAGCTAATAATTCTTAACGCGCCCAAAGATTGGAGCTTTTTGGAGGTCATGTTTGTGGCGCTAATTGGCCTGTTGAAACTCTTCAGGAGTTACTCTGAGTTGTGTCTGAGTATTACCACTCAACTCATTTAACACAGTACCCTACCAGAATCACCCATCGTCGTCAAACCTACCGTACCCGTCACTTGAGTCGTAGTTTACCGTCTCCGAAGCTTTCATTCGCCCCGAGTGAATGAAAATCGGTCGATTGCCCTGTCGAGGGTATACTTGAATACATAAAACTCAGCTGCACGTGAACTTTCTGTTCATCGATCTCATTGTATACTATCGGGGAGCAGATAGCTGAACGCTTGTAAAACTTGAAAATCTATCTATCACCAGCGCCTCCTTGGAAAGTGGTATTTCAATCTTACTTCTGAGCTTGAAACGACCCTGACGGCTCCTCAGTAGGTAAAGTCCAGTCGTTCATTCATAACGCAACCAACCCACCAACTCTCAAACCCCCCAACATTCACTAATCAGAATCAACAAAATCCTATATTAAACCGACCAAAACATCACCGTTCCATAATCTAAAATACAAACCTCCACAACGTCCAAAAACTTCCAAAATTCCACTCCCAAAATCCCTCTCATTCGGTAACTCCAATTCCCCTTCTATTAAAATTCTAATCTTCCTCTCCATCCCCTCTCACAGCCCTCCAACACGCTCCCCCCAAAAAGATCCCTACCATAAAAAAAGCACCACACCAGCACAAACAGCACTAATCATGATGACCTCCCATTTCGTCGCAGATACGTATGGTTTTGGTCGGCTCGCGTGGCCAGTTGGAACGATAACTGGTAGTGGGGAGGAAGTTTGCATGCCGTGATTGGGTGTTGGGAGATCTGAGGGTGAGGTGGAAGAGGGTTGGATTTCTGGGGAGGGTGTGGTTGGCGGGTTTGTTGCCGTGACAGAAAGATCTAGTGAAGATATCGGCGCTGGAAGAGGGAGGACTGAGATCTCCGTCACAACCGGCGGAAGACTTGCCATGGTGGTGGAGGCTACAGCGAAATTTCCAACGCTGGAACAAAATCCTTGCATGTCGGCCAGACTTGAAAATAGCGTAGGCTCGGCCGTTTTAGCAAATGCATTGCAAGTGCTAAGTGCATTATCGAAGATGGTAGGTGCCCATGTGCCAGAATTCGGATAGCATAGACACTTCGCTCTGGCTCTGTCGTTCATTCCTCCAAATCCGGGCGTGAGTTGACTGCAAGCAGCCATTATGCTTTGAACCTGGCTGCATCCTGCATTTCCTCCCACAACGACGCTCATAGTCATACCTCCAACAGACCCACCACCCACACTACCTCCAACCATCCCATCCACACCCATCCCTCCCATCCCTCCAACCCGTTCAACATCCCCCACACCCCCACAGAACCCCTCAATCCCCTTCAACGCTCCATACGCACTTGTTGCACTCCTACTAGCAAAATCCGCACAACCGCCCACAGCCCCATCAAATAGATCCGGCCGCCAAACCGTACTCGAGTAACAAAGACATTTCGCTTGGACGGTGGCGTCAAGGGTAGCGAAGGAGGGCGTGAGGGAGCCGCAGATGGCGAGGGCTTCGCCGAGGAGGAGACAGGAGAGGTTGGATTTCAACTCGATTGTCGGTGGTGGAGTGGGAGATGGGGATGGGAGGGCGTTGAGTTGGTGTATTTGGTTTCGGGGAGCGAGGAGGTGTGCGGTTATGTAGAGGGCGAAGGTGGGGGTGAAGATGAGGAGGTTATGGGTGTGCATCTTCGGTGGTGTCTCGTTGGTGGTTTGACGGGTGGTGGTGAGGTGGTCATGAATTTGAGGAGGTGGTGATCAGATCTGAGATCCGGGAGGCGGGAGACGGGAAGTGATCGATTAAGTTTTGAACTGAGATCTTAGTGTGAAATTGATAGTAGCCCTTGCTACCTAGGTATCCTTTTTTGAAATTTAGTAGGAAGGCGCAACTCCCAAAGGGGCCAGGTGTATCGACTTGAAAGACCAATTTTTGGCATTGCCAAGTAATTGATAGCCCTTGCCCAATTAGAACAAGTGATGCTGGTGGTTAATCAAAGTCCAGAGATTATATGAGCAGGGCTGCCATACAAGTTCCAGGAAGACAGAAAATTCATAGAAAATAGGTCAGCACGGCAATACGTTCACACTTGTGGACATATACTTGCTCACTGCCTTACCACATTGAGAAGCGGTAGATGAAAGAGTGTACAATCTCTATCGGATTTGTTGTTGCTTTTGTTGCTTATTATGTCGTCTAGAATGTGCAAGTGTGCCATCACTAGACCTCCTTGCCAACCTCACTCGTACTACTATTCTCCGAATTCCGCTCTTCTCAAATTTTGGTCTGTTCATCCTGCCTGGCGACAAAGTACCATGAGAGCACCAGCGAGATGAGGGTACCGCAAAGTAAGCCAATCGACGTGATGTAGCTTACGCGGTAGGTTGGCCCGAATTTTGATTGATAGATTTGAGGGCCCTGGCATTGAGTGAGTGACTGCAGTAATGACAACTTACTGGGTGAAGATCCTGTGGATGGGAATATGGGAAAGAAAACAAAGAATGAGTATTTTGAATGAACGTACCACGATACCCATCAACTGTGCCATCGAGTTCGTGATCCCAATTGCAAGTCCTGCAGTCGTAGTGCCATGAGCAGCCCGAATACGCTCTAATTCGTTGTCAGCACTTAACCTAAAACAATCAATGAACGAACTCACCTGGCCAAATAATCGGAAAGAAACTCTGCGAAGCAGCAGTCGCAATCATGACAAAGATATACTTCGCCTCCTTATTCCTGATCGTGATAAGCAAAATATAGCAGACAATTTGAGCCGCTTCGAGACCCAAACCTGCAACCCATGGATTGAGGCGTTTGGTGTGAATGAGCCAGCCAAGAGTCAACAGAATGACGAATACGAATGTGTATGGAGGCATAGTCATCAACTGGGTCCGCGCAGTATCTGATATCCCTAGCTCATAAATGACGGTTGGTAGAACGAAGGATATTCCCCAACCACCAATGCCGTGAGTGATCCAGATAAGAAGGAAGGGCACGAAAGTTGGATGTAGAACAAGTTCCTTGAATTGCGCGATGTTGAATGTTTTGGCGCCCATCGTTGGAGCAGCAGATGGCAGATCTGCAATTATGAGGGCTCTCTCTTCCTCTGTGACGAATTTCTCGGTTTGCGGGTCTGCAAAATTAGCATATGCACCTTTGACTCGTCGGATCGACTAACAGTTTGGCAAGAAGAAAAACGTGTAGAAAGAGCATAGTATTGCTGGAATGCCTTCCAAAATGAAGACCTATCAAAGTTAGCTGCTGAAAGATCAATTCAGACATGACCTACCCATCGCCACCCAGCTAAACCTCCTGCTCCATTCATAAATGATATGGCGTATGCTAACAGACCACTGACAGTACCGGAGAACATGCCGCATGCATAGAAGAAGGCCTAGAATTCGTAAGCTTCATTCGTGGTAATTGAGAATAAATGTGAAACGGACAATGCGCAGTGGTAGTTTATGAGTTGGATACCAGAAGCTCAAATGGTACCTGTTTTCCTGTTAGCTTTTTCTCGGCACTGACAAGAAATCATCCTCACAATACACCCGGGTAAAACCCGGCTTCTGCTAAACCAAGAAAGAATCGACATGCCAGAATACCAGCATAGTTTTGAGTGGCACTTTGACACATGGAAATAATTCCCTTCATATCACGTCAGATATATGAAAGTTCCTCTAGCATGGAGAACCTACCCATGTCAACATAATACGACTCATCCAGACAGACGGAGAGAATTTCTTAAGCATGAGCGTAGCGAGAGGCTCGAATGCTAGATATGGGTAGCTTTGCGAGTTAGAACATTTCATTGCTACTGACTTTAACTTACTAGAAAACACTCAGAGCCCAAGCCCATTGCTGGCTCGTAAGGTTACCTAGCTGCTTTTTGATGCCGGTCCCTTGCTCGATATTGATGATGGCCGTATTGGTGATGTTCGAAACATGAATGCGCATGATGAGGTAGACAAACGAATACCAAATAAGAAGTCGCTTGTCTACTTTTCGACGCGCATTTTTCAGAATGAGTTGCTCATGTTCATCTGACACTGATGATCCCGATCCAGCATCTTGCCGTATATGTGCCGCATTACTTTTTCCCGAAGCAGCGATGGGATCGTGGTTGGCCATTGTCCTGTTGAAAGATGAAATCGACACTTCTCGGATTGTTTACAGGCCAAGGACTGTACGAAAGGTACAAGAAGTAGAGAAATTAGGACAAGGATAGACGACTTTCGGACGAGCCCGACAGAGTGGTTATCATTCGGATTAGTATTTCACACATCATAGACCCAGATGTCAATTTGAGCACGTCTTGCAAATGAAGAATGGTACAAAACCTAAACATCCATGTGTTCATGAAAAATATCATGCATTGGGGTACGATTTAACCTATGAAGGAATTGGCAGTTCCCACCCAGATCTTGGGAAATGCTTGGGCGACGTTTGATGGTGAACAGCGACCCGATATAACATCCCACCTTGGATGACTCTATTCCGAAGCAATACTCAACTAGTATCGTGGTTTGTCAAAAAGTTCGCGCAACTATAATAGTGGGGCATGTCATCTTTTGAACTGCAGATTGCGTGCTTAGGATCTACAGAATTTGAGCTGAAATGCTAAGAGAAAATAGGAAATCGAACTTTATCGCACATAAGCAGATAAACGGGGAAGGAACTCATTCGCAAACATGAATCAGAGAAATCTAGCGTCGCATTGTTCCTGACCATTAATCCTGAATCCGTGCCGTACTGCCAGAAAGGTACTACTCAATTGTGACACAGCTTCAGGAACGTTTTATCATCAAGAGATGACCCCGCACTCGGAGCTTCTTGGGTGCAATGCACGCTCGCAGTTCCTTTATATGACGACTGAAAACTGCCTCTTTGAATGCTGCAAAAAGTAGAAGCAGATCATAACGAACAGATTTTAAAACAAGACCTAAGCATTATGCCTTCTGCTATTCATTCAGATTCATCAAAGCTCCCAGCATGGGAGCGACCAGCAGAAACGACCCACGAATTACCATGGGCGGAAATCGCAGTAATTGATCTATCATCATTGGATGAACCTGGGGGGAAGGAGAAATTGGCCGAGGAGCTCAGAGATGCGGTATGTGGGCATTAGTTTGTGACTGCTCGATATCACTTGACATTATTTGCAGGTCCAGACAACCGGATTCTTTAGTGTGACAGGAACAGGCTTCTCGGATGCAGAAGTGACTCGCCAATATAGTATTGCTCAGGCGTTTTTCAACCTTCCACAGGAAGAAAGAGACAAGCCCGAGCTGCGATGTGATTTTGGAAAAGGAAATTACTTTGGGTACCGAGCGGTAAGCAAGACGCAAACAAACGGACTACAAGTGCTAAGCAGTTCCAGTCTGGGGAGAAGAAGGTCATGGGCACAGAAGTTCTCGATAACGTCGAAAGTTGGAACTTTCCAAAATATATTCCGGAATTGGCGCATGAGCCTCATCATGATTTCTTCGAAAGATTTGAAGCTGAGATCGAAGACTTCTCCAAGGTAAGCTCTGCTTCCAAAGGAGTGGACGAAACAAGCTAACTCGATCTCTCAGCGGTCTCTTGCTGTTGCAGCAAAGATATTCACGCTGTTCGCCATAATTTTAGAACTTCCTCACGATTATTTCTCCTCAAAGCACGAGTACTCATCCAAATCCGAAGATCACCTGCGATACATGATATATCGCCCGCGTTCCGAATCGCAGGACGCATTGGTGGACAACTCCTGGTCTAGAGCGCATACCGACTTCGGCTCTTTGACATTGCTTTGGAGCCAGAACGTGGCAGGACTCCAAATCAAGACGAAAGAAGGAGAATGGAAATATGTGCCAGCCGTTGATGGAGGAATCATATGTAATGTTGGAGATGCCATGCAATTTTGGTCTGCAGGATATCTCAAATCAACAATTCATCGAGTAACAAGGCCTCCTCCAGACCAAGATCACATTCATCGGCTCGGCCTCTTTTATTTCGTTCGTCCCGGAAACGAAGTTGACATTGCTCCTGCTCCGTCGCCATTGCTAGAGAGGCTCGGTCTTGTCAAAGGGACGCAGAACGGCGAGGTGAGGAAAAAGGTAACCGGGTTGCAATACGTTCGGGAGAGAGTTCGAGACTATCACGACCACACCGACTATGAAGATCGACGAGGCAAGACTTTCAAGGTGGGCGATCTGGAGATCGAGGACGAGGCAGCGTAGCAGAGAGGAAGGATGATAAGCCTGTATAATCATATCAAAATTAGCCTACACTAGTTTCCCAAAAGGACTACACAGGTTACAAGTGTCCTGGGAGCGCTGCAGATTACCTGCAACTTGCACATAAGAAGCTTGTTCCCGATACCAGTGTTGGTGATTCAAAAGTAACCTGAATTGCCACGTTTTGCGCGTCCAGTGTCGCCGAGTGTCTGACATCATGTACAAATGCGTTGGGTGCTGGCGATGGAAATCCACGACCTCGGGATAGGAGGACTCGGGAGACGCGTCTTATCAATATGCCAAGCCTGCGTCATGTGATACCACCATAATAGTGCGCGATCTCACGTGTCTGGTCTGAATTCAACAACACTGATGATGAACAATACCCGTTGAGCTTGAGAAACATGATCCGATACTAGTATGAAGTATTCGTCCAGTCCTTGTACTTTGAACCTGAGTTGGCTTCAGTCACCCAATCACCACGATCAAATACACGGAAACATGACGCCTCATGGCAAGAGGAAGAGCACAGCCTCAAATAGCTGAAGTCTTCCTTTATATCTGCTAGACAATCTTTCCCCAGTTTGGACTACATGGAACGACCACCTGCTTGGGTTTATGTACCGACTAGCTGTCACGATGAGCATTTTCAACTACACGCCTCTTTCCGTGGAAGATAATTCCATCAGGCTCCTCGTGTTGAAACCAGGAACTTACGATTGCGAAATCGAAATTGAGCTCTTTCATGTCTCCCTTGGCCAGAACGAATCTCCGGCTTATGAGGCCTTATCATACGTTTGGGGAACGACTGAGAACCGACAGAACATTGTAGTCCGCGAACGGTTACCGCCAGATCCGAGCAACCCCTTGAGTGAGTCGGTATATGGCGACTTGATTTCGGAAGGACAATTACCTGTCACTCAAAACTTAGAGATTGCCCTCCGCCACCTCCGGCGGTCGACAAGCCATCGTGTTCTCTGGATTGATGCTATTTGTATTGATCAGCAAAACACCGACGAGCGAAATTATCAAGTACGCCGAATGGGAGAAGTCTATCAAACAGCCCGCCAAGTTCTCGTCTGGCTTGGTCCAAGTGATAAGACTAGTCCTCTGGCAGTTCAGACATTGCATACTATTGGAACCGACTACTTGTATGATAATGTCACACACACGGCGTATAGCGTTAGGGGTTCCATGACAGAATCATTGGAAAATGATGCCATTGCTTTGAAAGCCAAAAATGCTGAGTGGCTTGCCGTCCGAGACCTGTTCGAACGAGAATGGTTTACGAGACTGTGGGTGTACCAAGAGATCAGACTGAGCAAGCAAGCAACGCTTTTGGTCGGCTCGCTGCAACTAGATTGGCAGAAATTTACATCAGCAGTTTGGTGGATTTTAGGATACCCTGCGTATCAGAACTCTGGGTTGCAAATATTCGACAGCAAGCTTATGGACGCAATATGTGGCATTGTCGCAGGTTATCACCCGACACAATCAGTTGAGGACATCTTGGAACAAACGCGTCACAGAAGATGCTGCGATCCTCGCGATAGAGTTTATGCAATTCTCGGCGTCATTCAAGTTACAACACATCAAAGGTTCAGCATTATTCCTGATTATACCAAATCTGTTGAAGAAGTGTACCTGGAGTTTGCCAGAGATTTTGTTTTAAACGGCAATGGCTTGACTCTACTCAGATTTGTCTCATCATCTAAGGCAACTGGCAAATTGCCTACTTGGGTGCCGGATCTGTCTGATATAAATGCTTGTGGTCAGATTAATGCTGCTGGAGCTGCTGGTTCGGTGATAGGTGCAAATTTGAAATCAACCTCTGTAAAGGATGGCAATCTGAATCTTACAGGTCTCCTAGTAGATAAGCTGCTCCATTGTGAGTCACCACTTTCAATTTCCGCCCAAGTGTCTGAGATTCACTCGAGCATTCAAAGCTGGGAGCCCCACAAACCACTAACGGCACCATATGTTGGCGGTGGTACCCTAGAAGATGCTTTCGTCAAAACTATATTCTGCGGTCGTGTCTTGGAGGATTGCATTCGCGGCCATTTCGAAGCACCCACCTTAGAATATGCGAAGACTGCTTATAAATCAGGCACTTGGAGAACCATTAATGACGAACCCAATCGCGTATTTACTCAGCGGCTTTTGCAATCGGTCTTAGGTAGGAAATTCTGCAGAACAGCAAATGGACTCATCGGTATGTTTCCGGCCGACGCGCAGGTTGGTGATCAAGTCTGGGTCACACTTGGTAGCGGACACCCTCTACTATTGCGGCAGGTTGAAGACAGCATAAGTAAATACCAGTTACTCGGTTATTGTTACGTTGCCGGCATCATGCACGGCGAATCTGTGCTCGGTCAACTTCCTAGGGGATGGGCGAGACTGCCGATGGACAAAAATGCGAACTGGGCTTATGTTCATGAGGACGGGACGAGAACCTCCCAAGATCCGCGGCTAGGTACGTTACCTGATGGGTGGACAATTGAGTTTAGTGGAGGAAGAGAAATGAATCCTGAAGGGGAACCGAATAACTTTTGGTTTGAGCACGCCGAACATGATAGTCAATGGTATGACCCTCGCCTAAGCAAAGAGAATTTGCTCAAGCGAGGAGTTATTTTGAGAGATATCACGATTGTGTAGGCTATGTATGCAGTCGAACCCCTTTCGCACATGAGTTTACGAAAATAATCTAATATATACTAGTGAGAATCCTTTGTTGTCAATTGGCGTGTCGTAATGAGAATGGAAAACCCATTTGTTGCAGTACACGTAAGAAGTGGCCACTGCACACTCATCACAAAGCTGTTTGCAAACAATTCTCTGCCATATTGAACAAATAAGACATCAACAGCTCCGATCATGTAAATCTGTTCGAACTACTCATCATTTCCTTCAGATGGCTTCCATCGAAAGAAGATCTCTATACACCTATTACGACCACAAATAGAACAATTACTTGTTCGGGAAATAGATTTAAGCCTCGCTTCTCATGGTCCACACTTCTTGCGAGCCTCCAACTGTAACCGGTTTAAATATGGCTGCGCAGTAGCAAGAGAGAAGACAGCAATCTTGACTATGCGTAATGTAGAAGACCTTGGATTTTGAGGGCACAAGATCTGAGTCTCTGGATAAAGCTCATGAACTATGTCCATCAAAACCGGTCTGGAAAATCATATCCGCCGTCAATGTTTCTAGATACCCTAGCTCGTACCTGTCGATGTCTCTGGTACGAAGAAGTTGAGGCTATCCTCTTTGCAGAGGACGAGCAATGATCATTGGTGCGCATCAAAAGCTTATTACCCCTCGTTGCCGCAACGTTCCCGCTCGTTAAGCGAGACGATCTTCCTGGGGGTCGGTTACCTATGTAGGTAATGGGTAAATTGTAACGACGAATAAGTTTAGATGGAACGGTTAATATCGAGTTTGAATATCGTCATATAGCAGTAGCTGGACGGTTCCTTAATTCTTCCTGCATTAGACTGCAGTTCCTGAGGGGTTGAGAGGCAATTCATCTAACTTAACAGTTTGTAACGGGTACTCGTTAAATCAAAAGAATCGTTTTCCGCATCTTATAAGTAAGTTCATAAGCTCAGAGATCTCCATGTTTCATTCATTATCATCGATCAACTAAACCAGCATGGTGTCTAACAAAATGACAGCATTCTTCGTTCTTCTATTGTCTTTCATTGGACTGGGTCTTGCAATTCCTGATCCGTTCGTCTATCAACATCGACCGTTCGACAATGTAACCATCTTTAATCCTCCAAGAAACTGGACCAGCCATCGCACAAGCTACGCCCGAACTGTCCTACTCGAACATAACGGCGACAAAGACGACACATTGCTTGCTAGTTGGTCATTGTCACCACCCGGTCGCGTGTATGCTCCAATATATCAATCCAAAGATGGCGGCTACTCCTGGAAAGAATTATCAAAAGTCTACTTTTCGGCTGCAGCTGATGTGGGGTCAATCATCTTGCAAGTTTTCCTTTACGAGCTTCCGCAGAAGTTTGGCGGCTACCCAGCTGGAACTGTACTCTTGACTGCGAATGCTATCCCAGCTGATTTTTCATCCACCAATATTCAGCTTTATGCTAGCACTGATAAAGGGTAGGTCGCATCAAACTTATTTGCTTGTTCGAAACTGACTGTCTTTTAGACGTTCATTCGAATTCGTCTCAGATGTCGCAGTTGGCGGCGGACCGAACACAACCAATGGAGCAACGCCAGTATGGGAACCTATGATCCTTATGCATGAAGGAGAACTGGGCGTCTTCTATTCCGACTCACGAGATCCCAAACACGGTCAAAAGCTCGCTCATCAAACAACCTTTGATCTCAAGAACTGGGGCGAAGTAGTAAACGACGCAGCGGAAACAAACTACACGCTTCGACCAGGCATGACAACCATCGCAAAAATGGGGAACGGAAAATACATATTTTCCTACGAACTTGCTTTCGCACAAGAAGACCCAATCAACGCTGAATACGCAGTCCATTACCGCATAGCAGATAGCCCCTTCGAGTTCGACACCGCAGAGGAAATCCTCCTCGAAGCTACCGACGGCACGATCTCCAGCGCCGGGCCACAAACTATTTGGACGCCTGCTGGAGGACCGAATGGCACTATCATCACAAGTGATAGCGAGTATTCGGACTTCTTTATCAATCGCGCATATGGTCATCCAGGGGCATGGATTAGGGTTCCAAGTGGGAAGGGAGTTGGGTATACGCGGGATTTGAGGATTATGCCGCATACGAAGGGGAAGGTGATCCTGGTTACCAACGGGGGGATGTATGGGAGGAGTGAGACTATTGTGAGTTGTGCAAATTGGATTGTTCCTGATGCGAAGTAAAGGCAGGGAATAGATGCGATCACAAAAGTAAATAAAATATGGAGCTACAAAAGTAAGATAATGGAAGCCTGTTTTATGATCGTATCAACCTTGCTGCCACCACCAATTCTGGAAGTGCTTAAGCAGGTTGAGATCCCAATCATTAACCCTCCCCACTTTATCTAGCCTCTCCTCCTGCTCATCACTCAACCTCCAACCCAATGACTGCGCACAATCTTCAACCTGCGTAGCATTCTTGCAAGTAGGAATCGGGATAGCACCCTTGCACATGACCCAGTTCAACGCAACAGCTGTGGGCGTTTTCCCAACTTCTCGCCCAATTGCGGTCAATTCGTCGACTATAGGCTGAATCTTAGCCCACGAGATATCTCCGAAATTCCGGTTGCCTCTGGGTCGGTTGTGATCCGAGTACTTTCCGGTTAGGCGACCTACTGCTAGAGGTGAGTATGCGATTGTTGCGATCTGTTTCAGGAGAAACATTAGCAATCGTCCGAGTTACAACATCATTGAGACTACTTACACCTAGCTTGCGACATTTTTCGATTAGACCCGTCGTCCATGGATCCATGCGTACAAGCGAGAACTCTACTTGGTTCGACACCATCGGAACCCCTTGTTTCTTCAGCTCTTCATAAACATATTGCACTTGCTCGAAGCTGAGATTGCATGTGCCTATTGTTTTGGCGCGACCAGAGTGGTAAGCTTTCGCTAGCGAATTGACTAAAGTAGACAGACGAGGCCAGAACCCCCAGTGCGATGGGCCATGCAATTGATAAATATCGATCGAGTCTAATTGAGTTCGATCGACAGAGCCGCTTAGTGACTCAAGCACAATGTTTGGGTATCTCCATGGATGGCGCCACGGTGTTGGAAAATACTTCGTCGCTACAACGAGTCGGTCTCGTATGTCTGCCTCGCTTTGAAATTTGCCCAGCATACTCTCGGAAAATCCGTCAGTGTAACCATAATGTTCCGCGGTGTCGAAAAAGATCAGTGGAAACCGGTCCACCATAGCGTCAAAAGCCGACTTGATACTCTCTTCATTCAACTTCTGGTCATAACCTCCGGATGGTCCCCAGCCATAACTGATCACGTCTCCCCAACCCCAAAGACCGAAACCGAGAGGAGGTAGATGGAGAGGAGATTCGCTATCGGGGTGCAGAATAATGCGGGTTTTTGTGGTTGGTGTTTCTCCTTTTGGCAAGTAAACATCGAATTGACCTGGCGCAGAATCACCACCTTTGATGGAACTTCTTTTCAATTCATACTCTGTTTTTAGGATTTCTGATGCTGGACCTTCGGTGGAGTGTGGAGGTAAATACCCGCTCATATTGAAGCGAAAAATACGATAATGCAAAAATTAATCGATGTAACTTTTGTGAATTATCTGTCGCTGAGATATTTTGCTGCGGGTACTTCACAAATATATATCTCCCTGCATCGTGGCTGCATCATTGACGTGTTCCTATAAAACGAATTTCACCATTGCTTGACACTGAAGTTGTCATAAATTAGGGCGACGTCACAGAAGTAAACAATGTACCTATGTAGAAGGAAATGCGCATGATGTAAGACCGAGGCTACGAGAACGTTTCCGGGATGCTCACGTGCCCCCTACATAAAGTGGATTTACGACTTTGTTAATTCAAAATCTCAAACAATTAGTTTAACGATTAGTGGCGAGAGCGCAATTGTTTTGTACGCAGACAAAGTGATCGGGTTCTAATGTTCTAGACTCGCTACGAAAGTGCCGATCTGAGACGCCGGAAGAAGCCTAAATTTATCTCTGCGTTCTCAATCAGTCACTGTGTATCAACGCACGACAGACGAGTACACAATTAAGCTTTTCTTATTCTGGTGGTCTCTCAAACTCGATGTTCATGCTCCACTTCTTGAAACATCGACATAATTATTATAAGTATGTCAACAGTTTTGAACTAGATCAAGCCAAAAGTAGGGCCTTGCAAGTTATTGTTTTCTGAGATCAAATATGTTCTAAGACAATTTCAACAATAAATAACGTATCGTGCTAGTTTGCTAAACTGCACCAGCAAGTGTTTGACGCTGATGAGCTGGAAAGATCAAATTGAATACGAAGTCGACCTCGAAGTAGATGGAAAAATTGTGAGATAACTCTTATGAAAACAGATAAATTTTAAGAACTTCATCTATGGATGATATTTCGATCATTGACCGTGTTTGGTCCCAAACCATGATAGTTTGGATATCCAATCACGTTCAAGCAAGGTATGGAACCCAACGGCACTACTTTGTTGGAAATTGTTGGATATTCCGCACCATTCCATCTTAATTCTTTGGGTTAAACTCTAGTACCCTGTTTTTCCTCTGAATCAATCGAAAATGGAGAATTCTGATCCCATCAAGAACATAACGCCGAGCAGAGAACTTGCTTGGTACATTCCTGATCTTTCGGATCGAATAACCGCAGAGGTCAGTCAAAAGTTAGAGCTGTAAGAAAATGCTCATGAGAGTCTGATCGAGGAACAGAGTCACCGAGTACTGGAAAATTACGGTGGTATCCCCTCTGGAGACGTATTGGGACATATCCATACAATAGTAAGCTGGCCCACAACTTTATTAAGCGACAAAAGCGATGCTAACAACATCAATTCAGCGTGACAAAGCCTGGGAGATCCGCCCTTATCCTTGTACTGGCTTAGGAACTTTTCTTCAACCAACAATCAACTTGATTCCTCCCTATAAAAAGATAATCGAGACTCTTAAGAATGGAGGGTCATTTCTTGATGTTGGGTGTTTTCTGGGACAAGATCTAAGACGTTTGGTTTTCGACGGAGCGCCATCCGGGAACCTTTACGGAATTGACATAGTTAGCCATTGGGGAGCTCAGGTCTCACAGTACCGCGATCGCAGCCTATGCCTTACCAATTATTGGACGGGTAGATCGTACCCTTAAGCTCTGACGAAGCCCATGGCTAATTCAGACATCTCATGATATAGGCATCTGGGTTATGAGTTGTACCACGACGAGGATAAATTCGAGGCACATTTTATTGAAGCAGACCTGATCAAACCCTTTCAAGAGTTGAGTGCTTTGGAGGGCAAAATGGACGTGATTCAAGTCACGCACGTTTTTCATCAATGGGGATGGGAAGGTCAGATTGGAGCCGCGAAAGAAGTTGTCAAATTCTCAAAGCCAGGAAGTCTCGTGGTGGGTTTCCAAGCTGGTACAGCGGGGGGAACAACAAAAATACCGGTGGGGGGTTCATCACATTCTTGGATGAGACAAGATCCAGGAAGTTGGGCTGAGATGTGGGAAGTGGTGGGCAAAGAGACTGGAACCCGGTGGAAGAGTGAGGCCTTTTTGTTGCCTTACAGTGCACTTGGAGTTGCAGCAACGGATGTTGAATATCTCGGACCTCTGTCGAGACTTTTGCGATTCGTAGTCACACGACAAGAGTGATAAGCTAAAAGATTCCTCCTACAACGAAAATGAAGTGTTTGTTAATGCATTGTTTGTATTTCAAGATTCTTTAAATTAGGAAGACAATGTTGCAAGAATGAGACCCGCTCGAAACCGAACAAGCATGCTTAACTCTGCGTTTGACCTGCAAGTTTGCATCACAATCGTGCCGAACGTTACGTTTCCTGTTACGAGGAATTGATTTGCACGGATCTTCTCCACAACATTGCATCAGGCGACCGTCTGAACATTGTTTTAGAGTTGATTATAGCATAGCAACGCAAAATAAGGACGAATTAGAGAAGCATCTTCGAATTAAACCCATTCGATTTGATTAAGTCCGTATTAACCCCGATTTTTTCGGCGATACTCGTAGTCTTGACAAAACTTCATAACAAGCCCTATACTTTAGAAAGGGATACTTCAAAGTTCTGGTGGATATAAGTTAAATCCATGTTAAAACCGTTATCTACGGTGTATCAACGACATACATGTTGTGCTTAAAACAATGACAATTCTCCTCGAGTTGACGTTGATATCTCTACTTCACATCTCATGAACTCGATTTGAACTTAAGAACTTTACGTTAGACTCCGCCATGTCTTCTCAACTAGCTCCTCCAACACATATCGCCGGGAAACCGGTTGGGTCCACCGGTTACGGTTTAATGGGTAAGTCATTACCTCCAATAGCTTGATGCTTGTGTTGACAAACTAGGCTTGACTCTTTGGGGAAATATTTCTCACGACGAAGCAATTAAGCCCATGAAAGCAGCACTGGAGAATGGTGCCAACTTTTGGAACGCAGTATGTGCCTTAAATCCTCTCTTGAGCACGCCTAATGGTTCTCTATTTAGGGGATATTTTACGGTCCACCCGAAGCGAATTCTCTCCAGCTACTCAAGCAATATTTCAAGGTGTACCCAGAAGATGCCACCCGCGTAGTTCTCAGCGTCAAAGGTGCATTCGACGCGTCCACGGGAACACCTAAATGCAGCCCTGCAGAAATTCGCGCCTCGGTCGACGAATGTCTCCGTATCCTCGATGGAGCTAAGACAATAGACCTCTTCGAATGTGCACGAGTCGATCCCAATGTCACGATTGAGGAAAGTGTTTCGACACTGGCTGAGTTGATAAAGGAAGGCAAAATTGGGTCGTACGGTCTTAGCGAAGTTAATTCTGATACAATCCGCCGTGCAAACAACGTCCTGGCTCCGGCGGCAGTAGAGGTTGAACTCAGTCTCTTTTCCAGAGATGTTCTTGAAAAGCAAGGTGTCGCAGATACCTGCCGTGAGCTTGGAATACCGCTTGTTGCTTACAGCCCCCTCGACAGAGGCTGGCTGACTGGGGAGTTGAAAAAGCCAAGCGATCTGGCTGCAGACGATTATAGGCTAAAGATGGGATGGCCTCGTTTCCTACCTGGAGCTTTTGAAAAGAATGCGAAACTTGCGGAGGGAGTCGAAGAAATCGCGAAGAAGAAGGGCGTCACAAGTCCTCAAATTGCGCTTGCGTGGGTCAAAAAGCAAGGTGCGATGCCGCTTCCTGGCTCTACTAGGGTGGAGAAAGTTTTGGAGAATTCGAAGGAGATTACTCTTACCGAGGAGGAGATGCAAGAATTGCAAAAGAAGTTGGATGGCATGGAAGTTGCAGGGAATCGATATCCAGCGTTCTTTGAACCGTATTTGAACAAGTAGTGCGGGCAACACACAACAATAAGTTTCCTTCGGTTCACTTATAAGTTTGTTCGCTTAGCTTTCCTTTCTTGCTGTTTTTGAGATATCTCTGTCAGCTTCCAACGCACATCGTACGTAAATTAATACATTCAACATGTTGAACAAATCAGATCCATCCAACGTTGGTACAATGTTGGTTTAACCATGACTTCGAAATTTTCACACATTCTGTTTGCTTCTCGACCCTGCTTTATTAAAACTCCTTCACGATAGATGAAAGTACCTTTGATTTGTCATAAAGCTGTCGAGCAGACGAAAACCCCAAAATGCAGTTTGTTCATGAAATCAACCTCAAGTCCACCATTGAGGTGACCCTCTTGGCGGTTGCCTTTGTTTCCTCCGTCACGCTTCTGACCTGGCTCGTGACTGACATCAAATATCGAGTCGCAGCGAATAGAGCGGGCTGCTCAATTCCCAAGAGATACTTCCACTGGGACCCTTTCCTCGGACTGGACCTCTTCTTTCTGCGCATCTCAGACATGAAAGCAGGGGATTCCATCGCTACCGACACCAACCTTATCAAGAGGTACGGCAAGACTGTGCAGACGAATTCCTGGGGAACAAAACAATATGTCATCTCTGACCCCATAAACATCCAAACAATCCTGACAACACAAGTCGATAATTTTGGAAGCGCACCGATGAATAGGAAGATGTGCGCTGATTTCTTGGGCGACGGGGTCATGACTGTTGACGGCCATGCGTGGAAGCAATCCAGGCAGATGATTAACCCAGTCTTCGCGCGCGCGCAAGTATCCGAACTTTCAAGCTTCGAAAAGCATTTAGCGCAGATGATCGACCAGATTCCTAAAAGCGGAGGAACAATTGATATGCAACCGTTGTGCAAGCGGTTGTTTCTGGACAGCTCTAGCGAGTTTGTTTTCGGGAAATCAGCAAATTCTTTGTCTCCGGAAACCGACAGTCCGATTGCAAGGCGCCTGCCTGGACTTTTTGACGAAGCCTTAGTCGGAATGTTTACACGGTTCATGATGGGGAAGTTCAGCTTCATGGCGGGGTCAAAAAGGAAGTACTTGGAACAATGTAAAGCCGTCCACGACATCATCGATGGCTTCATCGACGAAGAAATCGAATTGCAAAAAGAAATGAAGGAAAATGGGAAGACTAACGCTAAAAATGGTACTCCCTATAGTTATGTTCTGCTTAAAGAACTGGCCAAGGAAACGGAGGACCGGCGAGTCATACGTAATGAATTAATGAATGTTTTCTTTCCGGCCCGCGACACGGCAGCAATCCTTCTGAGCAACGTTCTGTTCTTGCTGGCCAGACATCCAGAAAAATGGGAGAAACTGAGATCTGAAGTTCTGGGTATCAAGGATAAGAAGCTCACATTCGAACTTCTTAAATCACTGAAATATATGCAAGCTGTGATGAACGAAAGTAAGCACGGACTCCGTTTCATTCTTTGGCCTTTCTAATTAAGCTATAGCTCTTCGATTACACTCTCCAGCTGGTGGAAGTTGGAAGACCTGTCTCGCACCATCTATTCTTCCTCACGGCGGTGGAAAATCAGGCAAAGAACCAATCCTACTGCAAACAGGTGACCAAGTCAGAATGTCCTTCGCACCACTCCACGTAGATCCAGAGATTTGGGGAGAAGATGCAAATGAGTTCAAGCCCGAACGCTGGCAGAATCTGAAGCAAAGCTGGAATTTCATCCCATTTATGGGAGGAAGACGAATTTGTCCTGCGCAGCAAAACGTGCTCACTGACGTCGCTTGTATCATGGTTCGGTTGATGCAAAAGTACAAGGCTCTTGAAAACCGAGATGAATGTTACGAGTATGTGGATAGGATTGTTTTTACAAGGGAAAGTAAGCATGGGGCGAAAGTGGGTTTCATTCCTGCTTGAAAGGCTGTTCAGCGTTGCAAAGAAATCATCCCACTTTTTAATCGTGTAGTTGTGTCTTCTTGAAAGATCAACTTAGCTTCGTTTTGAATACTAGCTTAGGTTATAGATTAAGTTGATGCACATTTTACATGTAAATTCCGCAGCAAACACTAAGTGTATGGGGTAACAGGTCATTCTAGCAACAATGATTTCTAGAAATCGTCATGTTTCCAATTTTTTGATAATTAAGTAGCCTGTTCATTCATGGGTGTGCATATTGCTTAGTCCCAGTTGCTGTGTCAGTTCCATCATCAGCCATGAAGGCTTCAACTCTTTTCGCCTATCTTCTTTTTTCCAGTGTCGCATTCACAGCACCCAGACTTGGACATGTTCTTACACAGCGTGGAATTGCTGAATTTACTCGGGATGCCGTCTCAGTTAATGACGTCTCACGTAAGAGTTCAGCGGGTGCTTTTATTAAAGCACGCGATAGCATAACCTTCACAAGTCTAGCCGCAAGTAAGTGAACTCAATGCTTCCCAGGAGAATAGTGAAATCAAAGATCAAAACTTCGTCGATGGTGGTCGGAAAAGACTAGCAAACAAAGCCGATTTATAGGGGAGATAACAATTTGTTTCTACAGATTTATAAGCTAACTCTTCAACCCGCCTAGAGATAGTCGTTCCAACTGTAATCCCAAGAGGTGAAGGTGGCATAGGAATATACGTTGGGCTCCAAAACTCGGTTTCCGAACATTTTGTAGGGATAAAAATCAATATTGAGATAAACCCGGACGACACTGTCAGCTTTTCAGCGTGGTGTCAGTGGTCTCCGCAAGTAGTGGTTGAAGTTCCTGCAACTGAATTACCCTTTGGCTCCAGCGATAGTGAGTGGAAAACCCTATGCTTATGAACTGCTGCTGACCACCGAACAGCGATTTCCGTCAATGTCGCCATTTTGTCGGGGGGTAAGAGTGTATTGTGTAGGCTAGCCGTCCCAAAGAAGGGAGCTGGTACCAGTCGAGAGGTCTCTTCATCTGGACAATCATTCAACCCTATTGAGTGGGATGCAACGTGGTCGGTTAGACCACTTGAGCAACATCCAAAGTTGGCATATTTTGACACGGTATCATTCTCTGACGCCAGTGTCATCCACGATAATGACCCGATCATATACACAGTTGCAGGTGCTGAAGCAACGTCGCTCACAACAACGTCAGGTGTTGTGGACGCCATAGAAAGCTTTGATGAAATCAGTTCATCTGTAACTGTAGCACGGTTGTTCTGACGATGAACTAGAGAAACATGGTCATAGTACTGTGGATAACTTTGTAGCAAATAGACCTTTAGCGCTGTTAGGTAAAATCATGCAAAATTGACAAATTGTTTTGTGTGTAATATACAAAACTTTAACAAATTTCAAGATTATTGAGCGGACCTTTGAGTCGATATCAATACTTCTTTAGCAAGCTGACTTTTATTATTTCGAAAAAGTGATTTAATAATTGATAGTCTGCATTTTAGAGAATCTTCTAGATATTGGATATCAAAGGGTCTTCTGCAACAATTACTTCCGCAAGCTACATAGACAGATAGCATTTGAACGGAGGTTGCTTTTGTCGAAAGAATTAGTTCTCCTTCAATCCATTATTATCAACTTGATCCGTATTTCCCCATCCTTTTTTCCCGCAATCTTCTCTGTGTGTAGTCCCACCAGGGAATTGCAAACTCTGCTAAGCACTGTAAACCTCAAATGTGTCAATATATAAATGCGTTTCTCTTCCTTGACCAGCCTGACCTCATCTCACTCATGCTTGTAAATTTCCTATTTGATCTACTTTGAGATTGGATATACAGGGTTTATTCTATGCGGATAACTTGTAGCTGGGTAAGCACGTGAAAACAGTTTGTCCAGAGGTGAAATCAGACATCACTTTTTTGCCAAAAGATAGGGAATTCTTTCTTTTTTTTCTTTTTTTTTGAGATTGAGAACACATCTTTGAGATGATTATTTCCTTTTGAGATAAACAACAACGGAAGGCAAGCTCAAGGCGTTCTTTGAAAGATATCCCCAAAGAGGGGGTAAATCGAGATACAATTGGAATTATATTGTATCATCGTGCAAGCTTGACTCTGTTATCGTGCGACAAAGTAGCTCCCTGGCATGAGATTCATCGGGAGATAAATAAAAAAATTCCAAATATAACGTGGAACGACAAGCTCGGCATTCCAACCAACATGCTTACTAGTTGTACACAGCTGCTTCTCGTTGGTGTTTGTCCGGACAACCAACAAAACCGAATTCTACACAGCCGAATCGACGGCTTCGGCACAACCGCAAAGCCAAATTGGTCGTCGTTTCCGTGTAATTTATACGGCGCCAAATTCGGCTGCCGAGAGTCCCGTTGGTGGTTCTTTTTAAGGTGCGCTGACATAATTTACAACTTGGAAAGGTGCGAGTTTGTATCTGGACGCAGCACGACAACTCAGATTGCCAGACCGCAGCGATATTTTTAACATCGGAATCTATGATCCGAGAGGCATGTGTCGCAGCAAATTTGCCCCGGCCGTTGTTGAATACACCTTCGGTAACTTCTGGAAGTCTATTTAGACCACTTGAAGTCTGGCGAGATTATCATTTTTCATTCCTAACTTCAATATCAATCCCCACTTCCTTTTCATCACAAGATCGACCATTTCCTACCTTTCAATCGGTTACTCCATGATAACTCGCACGCGCAAGCCCGGTACATCAACCATGAAGACAACAACAGTTCTCATTGCGATTATTCTCGCCATCGTTGCAAATGCAGCTCCTCGGAGAGAAAGACTTTCCATGAGAGATGTAAGTTTGATGAGCAAGGCGAGGGATACAACGGCGGTTGTCAATTCGAGAAATACGGGAGGTGCCGTACTTTTCGCTCCGGAGGGGCCTACTTTCAGTAATATAGCAGGCAGTAAGTATTCTTTTGTCACTTCGCTGGACCCTGGCATGATACCTTGTGACCAGATAAGCAATTTCCACCCGACAGCATAATTCATTTGCTAATGATACAACTTTGGTAGCTATTGGGGTTCCTCCGACAAGCGGTTCATTTGAAACAAAAGAAGCAATTGTCTACATGGCTATCGATGGTTATAAGTCAGATACGGCGGTTTCAGCCGGTTATAGAATGGTGGTGGATGTTGATGGGGGAGTCACTTACTCAGCTTGGTGCCGGTGGAATCCCGGAGAAGAAATCCCAATTTCTCAGGACGAACTGGCTTTCACAGAAGGCGACAGTAATTCATGCTCTCTCACAATCGGCTAAATTAAGCTAATAACTTCTTTTTAGGACTTTCGATCAACATCGAAATCTTACCTGGCAACATGCAAGCGCGTTGCACACTGGCCGTTGTTACGACTGATCTCACTGGAGCTCTCAAGACTGGACCAGCCAGCAGAGACCTGTTTCCGTCCATTACCAACAAATCTGCCATTGGAGACAACGCAATGTGGGCGATTCAAAAGAAGCAAACTGGTTATCCGCATCTATTTCACGGGCCCATCTTAATTACTGATGCTAGCGTCATCCGTAATAATGATCCGATTACACAACCTATTCGTGGGGCTCAAACCTTCGAATTGCAAAACGCCGAAGAGAATCCCTCTATTTATCCGGTAATTGAAACTAATACCACAATCAACGATGTTGATTCGTCTATCAAAATTCGCACCCTTATCTAAGAAAACCCTTCATGAGATAGAGCGGTTTCTCTGATGGTTTTCAAGAGTGTTATGAGTAGGGGGAATTGAATGATATGTGTGGAAAAGGAGACAGGAAATTAGCGGATGCGTATAATGTAGTTTTGCACTTTTTGTCTTTCAAGTAGTTGTGGTGCTCTAATCGAAGACTTGCGTTCATAAAGATTTCTAGTATGAATTTAATGCTAGACCACAATTAAGATGATGTAACTACAAACTATTCCCTCAATCAATATCTGAAATCCCTTAGAAAGAAACTTGCGGAGTAGTACTAGTAGTGGATAAGATATGCGTTCTTCACCGGACCTTCCATCGTTGATACTAATGAATACATTGTCTGTAGTAAGCAGAATGTTCATCGACACCTCGAGGACAGATAAGGAATTATCTGGACTCGAGCCGTTTGCTTCACAATTCGGAATAAAAAAGTCAAAACAATCAATCTATTGGAGGCCTCTTTTGTCCGTAAAGCTCGTCTTTCTTTTCCTCTCCCATGCTTTCGACTGCTGGTGCTGCTGGTGCTGCTGGTGCTGCTGGTTCTCCGTTGGAACAAGAGATGACCTTTGCAAGTCGTGAATGCGCTCGCTGGTAAATGATAGGCATTGTATCACAACAAGTTGTAGTTTGAATAAGCATTTTGGATTTAGCCTTGTCCTAATTTGTACCAAGACAGCAATTGAAACATTTGTGCGAAGGAAGCACTTAATACTTGCAGACTAGACTTACAAGTTGGGCCAGTCTTTTGAATGCGAGAACTATCAGATCAACATATGGTGCCGGGGAGTTGAGAGATAGTCATGATCAGGGTTTAGTATAACTCGATCCAGTAAGGTCCTAAGAGCGGTAGAAGTAACGTTGGTTGCCGTAGGATTAGCCTGCTGCCAAGTTGTGATACTACGTAATATAGTATGCATGCGCGCCCTTCGCCATAGACTTGTACGATGAAACCTGAAGCTCTCAATTCAATCCTTCCTCTTACGATTTGTCATACTTCCCCACAAACTCCATCACCTTCCTAACCAAACCCCCCGGATTCTCCTCCGCACACCAATGTCCACTCCCCTCCACCGTCGCAACCTCCACACTCTCATAAAACTCCCTCGTCTGCTCCTCCGCAACCTGCAACAACAAACTCCCCTCCCCACTCAAACTACACGCCGGCACCTTCGACCTCCCCCTCTCCTCCAACATCCTCCGATTATCCCTCGCATCCCGCGGAAACGCGCGATACAGCTCAAACCCACATCTCATACCCCCCGGCTGCGCGAAACTCGTCACGTAGTGGTCTAAATCGGCTGGTGTGATGGCTGCGGGGTTCACGCAGAGACGATCGTAGAAATGCTTGAGATAGATACGTTCACGACCCGCGACTAACGCTTCAGGCAGGTCGGTCTGCTGATGGAATGTGAAATGCCACATCCCAGGGGAGTTCTTGAAGCCGGATTCGTAGGGTGTGGAGCCAGGGAGCGGACATTCGCCCCATGTGACGCTGAGGGTGTGATCTGGGAATTTGGCAGCATAGGCGTGAGCTATCATGCCGCCGATATCATGACCGACGACATGAATGGATTTCTTGATGTTCAAATGGTCGTGTAGTAATTTGTGTAAATCGGTCGCGATGGTTAATTTGTCGAAGCCATTCGCGGGATGAGATGATTCGCCTGCGCCGCGGTAGTCGGGCGCGATTACGCGGTATCCTGCTTTTGCTAGGGGTGTGATGACATGTCGCCATTGATAGGATGTGTTTGGAAATCCGTGGATTAGGAGGATTGTGTTGGTTTCTTCGGTCCGGTCTGGCTTGTCTGGATATGGTGGACAATCGATGTAATGGATCCGAACTTCTTGTGCATCGTCGAGAAAAACATTACCGTGCTTCCAGCTGGCGTCGTCGATTGGAATTGGATTTAACGACGGCATGATTGATTACGATAGGTTGTAATGAAAGTGTATTTTTGTAATGTAAGGAGTCTCGTGAGAAGCACTTGTAGGATAAATGAACGATTCCGTATATAGCAATTCGTTGCCCCTTAAAGCAAATTAATATGATAACTACACTCAAAACAGACAGTTGAATCTGGTTTCTTTACAAGCCTGAGTGAAGCTTATAAATCTAGTGATGTCAAGTTTATGGGGAACGGACACTAACTCCGGCGGTTCGAAACTAGTGCAATGACCACCACAAACACCAAACCTAAAAGATGTAAACATTGAACCAAAAGGCATGAGAAGATGAATCTTATTCATCTATTGACATCTAAACATCTGAATAATCAAGTCAGGATCAAGTGGGTATTGTAACTACAATACCTCAATGTGTTGGTAGATATTTCACCACTCACTGTTGTGGAGACTAAAGTAGGTGGCAACATATGTGAAGTTGAATTTTCAATTAAATATTTTGGATATCATACAACCGATTTATCTATTAATTACAATTATTTAAACATCCTTAGCAGCAACCTTCGTCGCCGGTAAAGTCTCACCTTCCAGCTTCCCCTTGAACTCCTCGATAGAGATGGCAGAGTTTGTCGTAACACCGTGGTTCTCAGACTTCTCGTGGATCTCCTCCTTCACATCAGTTCTCTTGTGAGAAACAGATGGAGCAATGACCTCTGTTGAATATTAGTATTGACCGACGAGTTGGATTGTTAGGATGAACTTACCCTTCTCAATGACTGGCTGGATTGTCTCGTGGAGGTGGTGGTGCACGTGCTCCTCAACCTCTGTTGGCTCCTTGACTCTCGACTCGAATTGCTTCTCATCCTTGGTGCTCTGGAATCCCGCGCGGTCGGCCTCGGCCTTCTTCTTCGCAGCGTTGTCGTCGTTGTTCACGACCTTCTTCTTTGTCTCTTGAGAGTAGTCATGCTTCTCTGGTAGGACCTCGGTGTCCTTGAGAGGTTGGACGGTGGTGTGGTAATGATCCTTGTGTACCTCCTTCTCAACATGTGTTTGTTCCCGGGTCTCGTGCTCCTTCTTGACGTGTGTGTGTTCTACTGCTGGGGCAACCTCAGCGTCGACCGTCTCGTCGACATCCTCGCCGACCTTTGGGGTTGGGCTTGTTGTGGATGTGTCGCCCTTGGTCTCCTGTACTGTTGGCTTCTTGGTGAAGAGCTTGTTGAAGGCGTCCGCTGCGTTTTCCATTTTGAGATGATGTGAGGGTATGTGTTAATGTAGGTATGTGGCTGGAGAGTTGTCCTGATTGGATATCTGATTTCAAGTGCAAGATGGTAATGTTTGGGACGTCTTAACTCTCCAGGACGTGTGTAATATAGCTCGTCCACAGGTAGCTACGTAAGAGCAGAGATCGAATTACAGTCCCGTGGTAACGCGATATCAAGACCAGCCCCCTGTTCCATTCTACGCGTTATAGAGGTAAGCGTGGGACTATATTCCTTGATTCTCTGCCATCCGATCAAAGGGTCTGGCCGCAGTGGATCAAAATACTCGGTTAACCCTCGCTTGAGCCCCGTAAACAAATGAGAAGCTCTCAAAAACGACCGAGGGAAAAGTCTGCACAGCCACATGTCAGCCACTAGAATTTTACTTTTGAGTGTCTCTGTAAATGATCATCGATCGAGGTGTCATTAATATGGATTGCATTGTTTATTCGAGCTCGCTATCTTCCAAGATCCAGTGGCTGGTTACGTCACATCGCGCCCCCTCAGCGTATTCGCGGGAAGTTGAGGGGTAACGGGAAATCTCCAACTAATGACCGTGTGGCGTAACGATTTGGCCATCGTCACACCAAATGCACGCAATCTAGAACGGTACGGGAAGGAGTGCTTAAGAATCAAAGCCAAGACTTGCCCGTTGAATGGAAATTATTTCCTCAAGTACAATTGAGTTGATGATCACAGCCTGCTCCCAACTTCACGAATCTCAGCATGAGTCGATTGATATCGACCAACTGAGGCTTTCAGCGTTAGAACACTTACACCTGTGAACGGTGGCATGCACCAAAAGTTCTCAGGAATTAGATATCGATTTTCGTTTCTACGTAAGTATCGTACGCGACTTACATATTGCAAATTGGAAGCATTTCCTGAGATAAGTTGTACCTGAGAATCCGATCAATCAAGCTCCTCATTGATCAGCCACAGCTGGCCAAGCTGATATTGAGTTCCCTGCAAGCTCAAGGAGACCGATCACGTGATCCTAAATTCCTATATCCCTTAAGTATTGATTACCTTTTAACCAGGTCACTGACAATTTTTCCAGAAAATATATCGACATAGTCGCACTCGAAGCCACCAAGTCACACAGAGAAGTGTTTCTCCGAGTAAGATATCATTTTTGGCTCTTCCAAGAATCTCCAGGAATAAAGAAGCCAAAGCGCTTCAAATCCCGAAGACATTCAAATGGCGGTCGATTCCGGGATGGCACGTGACGGTCAATGCCGAAATATCAGCCAACCGGGAGGAAAATCGGAAGAAAAGAGACGGTCAAAACTCGCGAATGAGATGAGCTTACCGCATCTTACACTGCACGTGATGCAAGGGATCACTTTGAACGAATTCAATCCAAGGCATCTGTATGGTTCACCCATTGGCCCCTTTGGGAAGGCTCGCTTATGCGGCTTGCTTATGAAAATGGTTGTACAACTTCAACTGGGTATCAAATCCCGAGCAGAAATACGTAGGTGCTCAGCCAGAAAGGGGTTTATTTCTTTGTTTTATATTTATGTGCGCTCTCTCTCTCTTTCTATTATCTAAATAACAATTCACTGGATCTCACCTCAAGTGCAATACCATTATCTCTCGTATTTGACACCTCGAAGAGTTTTCTTCAAAACACCATCATTACAACGAAAGGACCACTACCGAATATCGCAAGGAGAACAAAGAAAGATGACGGAACCCACGGGAACCTGTGACGCAGAGAATTGCTCGCTGCATTTCCACTCCTCGCATTCCACAGTTGCACTTCCAGAGGCCGGAGAACCAAAGTCGATAGAGCAACAAAACAACGGCTCTGGACCACCTACTTCTGAAGGTGTATTAGCCGACAAAGATGGAAGAGGAAAGGGCGAAAATGGAGCAGTCATTGATAATCCTGTAGTGAAAGACAAGGGATTCGGGCGAATCGTCAGAAATTTCACACCATCGTGAGGAACACACTTCGCTTGCCTAGAAGGTTTTCTAATTGTGCATAGATGGTTTATCATCACGATGAGTACCGGAGTTGTATCAATTCAACTTCATCAACTGCCATACAACGGATCCGGATTACAGATTATTTCAACCATCTTCTTCGTATTGAATCTCGTGCTCTTCCTGCTTTTCACATTCATCTCTTGCCTCCGATATTTCATGTACCCTAGAATCTTCCCCGCTGTACTCAAACATCCACATCAAAGCTTGTTCCTCGCCACATTTCCGGTCGGTCTTGCAACGATTGTCAATATGATAGTTCTGGTGTGTGTACCAGTCTGGGGTCATGGTATGGCTATTCTTGCTTGGGTGCTTTGGTGGATTGTGACGGTCTTGGCTTTGACTACATGTTTCCATTTGACATATGTTATGTGAGTACCTCTGAACCCCAAGAAAATGAAACTGAGGCATCTCAATGTAGTCTTTCATTACTAACAACAATTCCAGAATGTCCAACAAACGAAGCGATCTTGCCGAGATGACCGCACTCTACTTCATCCCAATCGTATCCGTCGTGATTGCTGCAACGACTGGCGGGTTAGTTGCAGGCGCATTGCGAAACCCAAATCACAAACTTTGGACACTTACCATATCTTATATCCTGTGGGGGATTGGATCACCTCTGTCATGGGTCATCTTGAGCATTTACTTCCTCCGTCTCACGGTCCATGAGCCTCTAAAGCGGGAGGTCATTGTGTCGCTGCTACTTCCAGTTGGACCACTTAGTTTATCAGGATTTAGGTAAGATTCGACCCTTTTATTCCTCAATACGAACGAGAGCTTTTACTAATTAAATCAAACAGTATCATCACCCTCGGCAAAGTCGCTGAACGCCTCTTCCCAATCACCCACAGTCTCCCTCGAGTCGCCAAGGCGGGCGATGTATTTTATATCGTTGGAGTTCTCATGGGGCTTATTCTATGGGGCTTCTCAATCGTCTGGTTCATGATAGCTGTTGTCATGATAGCCACTGCAGGAGGCTTTCCATTCAACATGGGATGGTGGGGATTCATCTTCCCAGTTGGTTAGTTCAATTGCCCAATTTCTGCCAAACATCGCTGACCAAGTCTCACATAGGCGTATTTACACTCCTCACAATTTCCATCGGAGAAGAACTGGAATCGCGATTTTTCAAAGTGCTTTCTTGTGTATGTTCGACCTTACATCGGATCAAAAGAAGTCTGCTAACTCATCTAATAGGTATTAACCGGAATATGTGTCATCATGTGGCTTGTCATCGCGGCAAGAACAGCATGGCGTTCCATCACCGGTAAAATGTTTTTCGCGCCGTGTCTAGGCACAGATTTATTTCAGAAAAAGCAACGCCCTGTAAAGCAACATAGGTTCTTCAGATCCGCGAAAGAAGCCGTATGATTTGGCGAACGGCACATCTGGGTGCTCTTTTCTGACCAGGTCAGTAGAAACAAAAGGTTCGGGGGCGAAAATCAGGCGTTACTGGTAATCAGGAGTTTTGTCGAAAATTTAATATACAATCAATTACCTAATACAATATCTACATAATCTTCTAGCATTCCCAAAAACAATCCGCCTGCCTATTCTACAAAGCACGTTAGTACAGTTCCTCATTGCTCACTTCCAAAAGCAGCACTTACAGGCGCAACATCCTCAATTCCCCGACTCGTCTCCCACCCCCCAACATCACAACGCGGCAGTCTCCTCTCATCAACATCCCCAAACCCCCAACTCAACCCCCCAACACGCACCGTAACAGGATACCCCGGATACAGCACCTGCGGCGGCAGCGGCCGATCCGCCGGACTCCGAATCTTCCGTATTTTGGGCACCGAGTCGCCGAATTCCAAATCGACGTTATTCGGGAGTTTCGTGTCGGTCGACCCGAGAATGATGCTGGATCCCCATGCCTGATCTGTGAATTCGTGGGTGTATAGTTGCGTGTTCGCGTTGTCGAAGATGGAGAGGATGGTGGTGAAGGGGCCGGCGTTGCCGTGGGCTGTCCAGTAGTAGATGTGCACTCGGCAGATGCCTTTTGCGAATGGTGGAGGTGGTGGAGGGGCGGGCTCTGGTGCTGGTGGTGGGAGTGCGGTTGTGGTTGTTATGGGTGCTGGTGTTGATGTGCAACTTGCGGGGAGAAGATCTGTCGTTGTTGGACATGGGTCTGGTGCAGTTACCTCTCGAAAGATGTATGTGCAATCCAATAGAGTACTTGTGAGACATTTTTTACTGAGTTTTGGCAGATCGGTCAATATGGAGGCTGTTGTTTCGGGTAGTAGACCTGTCGTCACGGTTGGAAAAGGTTTCCTACTTCTTGAGGGTCTCGTAGCTGTGGAAATGCTGCTCGTAGTATCGGAATAACTGTTACTGGAGAGAGTGGACGAAGAGGAGCTAGTGCTTAGGGAAGAGTCGCTGGTAGTTGTTGAGAATTCAGTATTCGTGTCAGTCTTTGAGGCTGACAGGCTAGAGCTTGAGCCTGTGCTACTCGAAGAAACAGTAACTGTGGCACTAGAGTCTGTGCTAGCAGTTGAAGCTGTAGATCTGGAAACAGAGTCTTTACTAGTAGAATCTACATCTATGTTAGAAGATGAAGAGTCAGTGCTGGTTTCCGAGGCTGCAAAGCTGGAACTCGGGGTCGAATTCAGGAGAGATTCTGAGGCCGTTGATGGAGCGGTCAAGGTTGAATCAGAACTTGTAACTATAGAGTCAATATCTGTACTTGTTGCTGAAGCCGTGGGGTTCAAGCTAAGTTCGAGGTTCGTACTCGTTGCTGAGGAAGTCAAATTGGGTTGAGATTCTGTACGAACTGCTGATGTTGTAGGTTCTGCAGTTGTGATGCTCACATTTGAGTCAATATCGGTTGTTGAAGCTGAAGAGCTAGAATTAAAGCTTGGACTCGTTGATGCGGTCGTCAAGCTCGTTTCGGATTCCGTGATATTTATTGGAACGGTTGTTGCTGAAGCCGTCGTCATGCTAGACTCGGTAGTAGTTATTGAGTTCGAGCTAGCATCAGTAGTTGTTGTTGAAATTGTGAAACTGGAGTCAGACTTTGTCGTAATACTTGCTAATGCAGATGAGCTGATGCTAGAAAACGAGACGGAGCACGCGCTTTTGTCCGCTCTCCTCAATACACCTGCAGACGGTTGAGTGATTTCTTCGATCGAGTACTGTATCTCTGGTAATGCGGCCCAATCTTTTTTCAAGACCGGCTCCAGTCGGTCTTCTACCCATACTTCGGAGGAAGCCAACAATATCGGATCACACAGCCCAGGGAACTCATGAATTGTTTGTTTGGGATCGTACTGAAAAATTAACTTTCCTTGTGCCCATGAAAAACCAAGCGGATTCGTCTCGGAATAAGGAACACCGTGTTCATCAATGTTAAATTCTGGGTCATTGTCCAAGACCGTCATCGGGTCAGCTCCTCTTAGCGAATAGTAATCTGTTTCTTTGACGTTAGTTCTGTTATAGACGGATTAAAAGCTAAACCGACACAGGGCTCTAAGATCGAGAAAAAGCATTTATTGACTTACCTACGATTTTCGGTTCCGGCAAATAGGGCAGTATGGCTTTTAACTTCGAGAATATTTGGTTAACCTGTTCCGGAAAGTGTAGCAAGCCTAGTGGAACCCGTTCGTGTCGAAAACGAGGCGTTATAATAACCGCCTCTGGTTTGAATTCCTCCGCAAACCACCCATCAGGCACACTCTGGCACCTTAGCCCCGGACCGAAACCGTTCTCTGCTTGGTCAAAAAGACAGCCTAGATCAAGCGTGTCCAAAACATCCCTCTTAAAATCTTCCTGAATAAACTGGTATTCGCCGTTCTCAAATGAGGGATTTTGCCAGAAATGCGACAGCCACACTCCTTTGTGAGATGTCACTAGTACGGAAGTGCAACCATACAGATTAGTGACCCCTAAGTTGACTCTTTCCCTCCCTAGTGGCCTCTGAAGGATTGCAGGTGCTGCAAACAAACCACCACCTCCTATACCATGGGGGACAAATGTAGAAGATGTCAATTGGTAGAGTAGAAACATCCAGACATTGTTGTTGAAATGTTGAGGATGCAGCAGTGCACGTTTGGTTATGTTGACAGGACTTTCTTCGTCCAGATTTGAAAGACCGGGTGTGAGACTTCGCCCTTTTTTGGTAGATGATATCTTAGATGTTATTTCTGGCTTGATGAACTAGTATGAGTATTTCTGTCAGTTCGTGACAAGGTATAATCAATGGCGTCCCAAAAGGCTAGAAGGAATGCTCCAAGAGACATGTGTACGGAGAGTTGGATGCAATGGGGAAATTAGGGAGTGCTTTGACTTACGCTGTGGCCGAGTTCATCTTTGACACAATCTCTACATGTAGATATCTTGATAGGCGGTAGACTTAGGGAGTCGGGAGCGCATATCGGATTACCGGGGGAACATGTCCAATCTGGAGTGCTTGTGCTCGTGGCTTCTGCTGTGCTTGTCACTGTTGTGGCTGTTAAGAGACAGCTAGCAGCAGATTGCGTACATGTCGTACTGCACAACTCAGTTGTAGTGTCGGATCGACGATGGATTGCACTAGTCGTGGTCAAGGAACAAACAACGTCACAGTTTGTAACAGTCTGAGATGTTGTACATGTCGAAGAAGACTCTGAAGAATAAGATGGTGATGATGTGCTTGTGGTGAGACTGGAAGATGGCTGTAGATGCTTTTTTTCTTCTAGAATTTGGCCAATCTCCGCGAGGGTGTCGGTCAAGTCGTCGATTTCGCTTAAATCGGGTGTTATTTTCTCTACGGCATCGACAATGTTCTTGACGACAGCACTGGCACATTTCAACACTTTCCCAACATCGTCGATGACTTTCTTGACAAACTTCGTGACGCCGGATATCAGACTTCGATCATGAAGAAGTGCCATAAGCTGCTTTTCTGATGACGCGCTTCTTTTTCGCTTTGTGTTCGAGCAATCCGGGACATCTGGGGGCTGGACCTCAAAGCTGCCGAGCAATGCAGCAGTGTTATCTAAAACCCGTTTTATATTTTCGATATACTGACTTTTGAGCTTAGGATCGGTGAGCCAGTGCCTGTTTGAACGTAAGGCGATGAAAAGTCCACCGATCAGCGCTGCTTCTGACGTTTCTGCTGGCCCATCGAGGATGGTGTTTGTGGGAATCTTTGGCCAAATGAATCCTGTTGCAACTGGGACTGAAGGGTCACCAGAGGTCGAAAGCGATGAGGAAAAGGAAGTTAGAATACGGGTGTCAGTTGATAGTGGTAGTTCTGTGACAATGGTGGGTATTGATAGCGAAGTTTCTACAACAGAAGAGTAGGTTACTTCTGTGTTCGTGATTGAATTGTTCAACCAGGTTTGTGTAGGAGTTGAGGTGATAACTGGTTGTTCGAAACTGGTGAAGCTGGCACTTGAGACTGGGTTACTGACTGGGTATGATGTGTTGCTGGAAATATCAACGCTACTGAAGCGTACGATCGGGACCGTAGTGTCTTCAATTGTGCTGCTCAAAGTAATGTTCGGAAAACTAGTCGAGGTTGGTGAAAGTGTGGTGTTTTGGAATTGGCGATTTTTCAATAATGGAAATGATCCGTGATCTCTGTTCAGATCAATGGCAGAGGCGGGAACTATCAAAAAGGAAAAAGCGAGTTTCATGAACCACAACTCTCGACCATAAAGTAACGTCATAGTAGTAAGAGCAAAAGCAAAAAAATAGAAAAAGCTGTTGATTTACATGAAAATTGCAAGCCTGAGTTGTGATGGAAGTTCTATGGGGTGAGTGGGCTTTCTGGCATGATAGAGAATGGCTTTCACTTATACATGTCGTCCTGAAATACATGTTGTTCGATAACAGTTGAGAAGCCTGTGTGATGTTGCGATACAGGTGGTCTTTGGGTTGTGGGAAGAAGTTTGATAAGTTGTAAAGTGGCTGTGATATCAAGTCCAGGAGCGTCCTACTTACATTAAACAAGGGTAGTAAGTATTATAGCATAACGAAGGCTTGATAATGTTACAAAGGATTTTTAGAGCGGCCGCAAACTGTTAACGGCCTTGAATTGGGCTCGAGCCTTCGATATATGAAAGCTGAATGGGTTCCCGTTTTGGCCTCACACGAGACCAAAGACCCCTCTGTTGGATTGGGGAGGTGGTATGAACCATTAGCACAGTTGATGGAAGAAAATCCTGAAGTTTCTTCTTGACAAGGCTTAGTTTGTGTTACCAACAGTGTTTCTCCCGCCGTTTAGTTGAAGTGCGCGTGAGATTTTTGCTGGCCGACTTTGCGCCACTGGCGCACCACACAACACAACACCCAATTCATGCGTGATACTCTATTGGCCCCGGGTCAATGTCAGCTGTTAAACACCGCAATGTCAATTCTGAAGCTGCAAGTCTCTCAGTCACATGGATTTACAGCTGCCTTCCTTATGTTGGTTACCAACGTAGACTTGGTGCAACCCTGAAAAACTGCGGACGGCGATTCATCGGACCTGAAACCTCCCAACAACACCAACAGAATTGACAATGTCGCAACATATGATCCTGAGCTCGACCTGAAATTAAGATCAGGCAATCATTCACTCGAGCCAAATCTCTTTCGCTTTACGCCAAATCATATTTACTTTTGTGATTATCACGCTGGATAATTCTGCTTACTACATTCCATCTTTACAATACTAAAATCAATTAGTTCGCTGTTGGAAGTCATCGTGTCCATGTCTACAGAACTGGGTGAATGTGTTCTTCAACTCGAGTCAGGTCTTCGAGGAGAACCACAGCTGCCTGCTGCACCACTCCTCGACCCTACAGATCCGACCCTCCCACCATTTCTGGACGCTTGCAAAGAAGCAGACATAACCATAGTGGAGGAACTTTTCAAAGGTCGCAGTGCCACCGATGGATCGTTAATTCATGGCCTCTACGCAGCACTGTCGAACAATCGGCCAGATGTGGCGAAATATCTCCTAGGTCAGGGCGTACCAATTGATAAGCGTGTGTTATTGGAAACGAAGTCTCAAGAATGCTTTCAATTGTTAATCGATCACGGATGGGAAGTAAATAATGCTTATGAGCGAGGTGATACCATCCTACCGTAAGTGTTCCACACCCGTTTCCCAGTGCCATTCTAACTTCCAAACTCTAAATCCAGACGGGTGCTTTCCTATCAAAACGATTCGCTTGTTAGATGGCTTCTAGACCAAGGACTAAATCCGGATTTGGGAACGCCGGGAAGGTACCCTAGGCAGTGGGAGAAAGACCACGTTCAACCAGTACCGGGATCTGGTCAAGCTCTTAACGCAGCTGCAAAATATTCAACGCCAGAGATATTCGAGCTGCTCATCTCGCATGGAGCAAACATTAAGAACAGTAAACCGCTTATCAACGCGGTGACATCAATATGGCTCACTACCAGTGAACGAATCAAAATGATGGAATTTGCAGTAAAACTAGGAGCCGATGTCAATGAGCAGGGAGGAATACCCGGGAGTGGTTATCAAGGAGGAACACCTCTTCATGGTGCTGCTGTCTGGTACTGTCAAGCATATTCTTCTTGTTATTTTCATTCCAGCTAACGTGCCACATAGGGGAAGACTTGCGGAAGCCAAGTGGTTACTAGAGCATGGTGCCAATGTTCGAAGTGGAAACAAGTTCTGTCGTCTCCCGTGGACAGAAGCTACACGATGCGCACGTAACTGTCGCCATACAGAAGTTGCTAACTATTTGAAGGAGTGGGAACTCAAACAGTATGGAAGCAACATAGGGGAAAGGAACGTACCGAAATGACATGGGTTTTCAGCAGGTCGATGAACTTGGGGATTCTTTTAAATGCAGATAGAGTTTGTTTAGTTATACCTGGTGCCATCACATACACCGAATATGTAAATTTGTTATTCGTGACTAATGCTGAAATTACTGTTGATCTTGAATATGTGGGAAGATTATTGATAAATGAAGGGCAATTCGGGCCTCGAACGGTTTATTGTCCTGGCTACACATCGTACATCCTGGACATAAATGATTAAAATATATGAATTGGGCATCCTGCCCGTAGATCTGGTCGCATCGGAAAATGAATACGAATTAGTTGCCTGAACTCCTAAGCTACCTTTGTAGTCATACATAAAAGGATGTAGCGACTTACAACTGTCACTTAAAGAAAAGTTACAAAATACAACTAATGATCTTAGCAAGAGCGGTATCAAAAGTCCGACTCTAAAGATCGGACGAGGAAATAGTAGTCCTCCAAAGAGTGAATCAAATCCGGGGTTTGGATGTTCCGCGAATTTGACGTAGCAAGTTATTATCATCCAATAACGCAGAGTATAATATTCGCAAGTACCTCTAAGATGCTTTACTTTAAACTTTGATCTTCGCTGTAGAAATTATGCCAGAAAATCTGCCAGACTCAGCCCTACCACCTAAATCCTGCATTGGTGGTACAGCATGCCTGGGTCGAACCGACATACAGTCAACAAACAAAACCCAACACCAACGGAATCCCCCAATATCATGCAAAGCAAGGGGAGTACGGAGGCTTTCACCAGCTCAACAAAAGCGCATTTAACTGAAACACATCGGCAAATCTATTTATGGCTCACATGAAGCTCGCATCAGACACTCTCTTCAGTTATTCACAACTGACAGCTGCACAATCTCTCGAGCTCGCCGCCCACCGCCTTTTATCAAACTCGTTTCAATTGACTTTGGACAGTTAAACACCCATAATGCCTGGGCCCACATGCTCGAAGCTTTTTGTCGACGGCCCGATGACGCTGGAACCTTTGCCTGGAGCAAAACTCCTCTGATCTGAAAGTGATGCGACATTGACCCCTTTTTTGGATGCATGCAAGCAAGCGGATATATCGACTGTTGCTTCACTTTCAGAGCAACGAGATAAAGAAGATGGGTCCCTGAATTGGGGTCTCTATACAGCCTTGTCTTCTGGTCGAGATGATGTCGCAAATCTATTGCTAAATCAAGGCGTGCCAGTTGACCAATACGCTTTATTAGAAACCAAAACAAAGGAGTGTTTTCAGGTTTTGTTGGATCATGGCTGGAATATCAACGGTCCTATAGAGTTTGGAGACACAATCTTGCCGTATGTAAAGTACCTTCTACAAACACTTCGGTTGTATGTTGTCGGGAGAAGGCTAATCTCTTCAAAGACACGTATTAGCACTGAAAGACGAGTCTCTCCTAGAATGGATGCTATCGAAAGGGTTAAACTCATACTTAGGGCCACCTGGAATCAGGCTTGTACCAGCAAATCGAGGGAAAGTTCAACCGGTTCCGGGCAGCGGCATTGGGGCTCTTCACGCAGCTGCAACACATTCTACACCAGCAGTTCTTGACATACTTATCTCACATGGTTTGAAATTCGAGAATCTCTCTCTCCTGCCTTCCACGGTCGCGTCATACTTTCTCAGCACTACTGAGCGGATAGCGATGATGGAACACTTACTGAAGCTTGGAGTGGATGTGAATCAGAAGGGCCATGTGTCAGTATCCAATTACCCTGGCGGGACAGCATTACATGCAGCAGCCTTTTGGTAAGATCTTCCCTCTTCAAGCAATTCCGCAACTTCTCTTAACAAAAAGAAAAGAAAAGAAAAGAAAGAGTGGCACGAATAGCGCTAATCACTGCATAGGGGCCGGCTGCTAGAGGCACAATTTCTTTCAGAACAAGGGGCGGACGTTAGAAGAGGGGACGACGCTTGCCGTCTCCCTTACACTGAAAGGAGAGGGCGCCTTGAACCACGAAATGCGGCTTTGGGTACTAGTCAATGCGCTCACTGGGATGTAGTGGAGCTGTTGGAGGAGTGGGAGCTGTCGTGCTATGGGACTCTACTAGGTCGGAGAATATGGAACTCCGAGAAATAAAAGTCCAAGATCAAAGAGATGGTGGACATTGAAGCTAGCAACTTGTAACATGTTTTGATTACTGATTGTGGCCTGCGGAGTCAAGGAGATAAATTCTCGGCGTTTGGTTCGATGGAATTTGCTTTTCTCGCGTGTCAAGTCTGAATTTTGCTGGTGTGAAGTTTTGGAATTGGCAGAATGATGCATAAGATTTGGTTGAATTACAGATTTGGATGTATCTACAGTTTGTCTTCGACTTCATGTAAATGACCAGGTATTAAGGTAAGAGTGGTTGCGAAGAGTAAAGACAGATAAGAATTTAGTGTGCTTAAGCATGGCTAGAAGCTGTTGGTCGTGAGTGATAAATATAGAAGTTGCAGATGGATAAATGATGCCACTGAAGAGCTTTCAATGAATTCGGGATTAATTTCCTATGTAAACTACTTGCTACATCTTAAAAGCATGAGAACATGAAGTGTTACATTTCTCTTCCTCCCTTCCATCGTACAAGACCTCGTGCAAAGCAATCTTACTAGCCATTGCAATCATCATGACTTTCCAAAATTACCACTGCAGTGCATCAACAATCCACAAGATCTAGTGTCCAAATAAAATATCCAGATTCACCTCTGTACAGCTGATACTGTAGGTGAGTATCTGGTGTTCTCGAGAATGCGCGAGACAAACATCACATCCTAATTGGCAACATCACATTCGTCTGGTCGCCAACTATTGGACCACACAACATCCACCACTACTGCTGCTTGAGTTATATTGCTGTTGACGACGTTGAGGTGGTGGATTTTGTGGTGGGGGAGGAAGTGATGGGGTGTCTGGTCGCGCTGGTGGTTTCTTTCTCAGCTCAGGGTCAACTCCTGGGAATGGTTCGCCGGGAACTGTGGTGTATTAGCAACTGAACCAATAGAGGTCTAAGTTCGAGAATTCACTTACAGTACCAACCCCACAAATGGAACTCGGATCGATACATTTGATGCTGAGGCGAATGTCCGAAGTAAGAGCCCTTAGCAGTCTCCAGACACTCCTTGGCCTTCTCCTCGAACCTCCACTTCTCATGTTCGGTGAGCGGGTTCGCGGTGCTACCTTCATGCATGATACGACACCAGATAAGATCTTGCAATGAGCGGTACGTAAGCTTGAACTCCTTTCCTTTGAGCGGAGGAACGCCGGGAAAGGGCACGAACTCGCCGACTATCAAAATCAGTATCCAAGCACGATATTGGCGGTGATATGACTTACAGCACTTCTTCCAGACTGAATTCTCCTGCGACCAGATCATGGAAGCAGAGCCTCTCCTTCCACACGGATAGCGATTATGGAACGCCTCATCCGTCATACGATCAATATCCCTTGCGTATTGCTCGAAGAACCCATCGAATTTATCTCTGGTTTCCGGGCCCGGATGCTGAAGCGCGAGTTTAGCGAACATGAGCTCTTTGAGGGAGGTGTACTTGAAGGTGTCGACCATGCAGATGGATGACTTGCATCGACACATTCGTCCCGGGATGGCGGCGGCGGCAGATCGCTGCTTCGGGTTTCGGGATACGAGCCATTTCTTGCGCTGCTCTGGTGACATTGGTTCCTCCGGGGGTTCGGATCTCATCATGGCTTTCTCGGAGGCGGTCTTCTCTTTGACGGGTTCTGCTGGCTTTTCGTTGTTGTCTGTGGCAGCGTTCTCGTTGTTGTTGATTGTAGGTGCATTTTGCTTGTTCTCGTACGCTGGTGGCTTCTCATTTGGAGAGGCGACCTTCTCGTTGTTCTCTGATGCTGGCATGTTTCTTTTTGGGGCATGCTTCGCCTCCATCTTGGTCAGAGATAGGAACTTAGTTTTGAGGGGAGAATCTGGGATATGGATTCCTAGATACGTAGTAAGTACTTTGTCTGTGCTTGTTTTCCAATGATATTCTTACTACAAGTAGATAGGATTACAATTATGCTCCCAACATGTAACGAATGGATGGATGTTTGGTTGGAACCCGCTGATGGGGCGAAGGCTCTGCGGTTGTCGAGTGAAAGAAGTCTAAAAGATTTTCGCACAAAAGAAATTGGTCAAGTAGTCGAGAACCCCTAAACAGAGTGAATGAAATTATGTCAAAGCCTGAGAAGGCAGTTTTGATGCTAAATTGGTGAATACAGGACATTTTGATGACGAAATTCCAAATGTTTTCAGAAAGCGTCTTCTTGAGATCAATCAAGTGATAGTGTGCTGCTACAGAAGTCGCAGCACCTAAGTGATAGATATTGAGATCTTCGCACAACTTGACAGCACGCGATGTTTCCAGAAATTCCGAATTGTAGTCGTTGGGATCTGTCCCGTCCTTGCTACTCTTGCGTACGTGTCAAGATTGCCCCTAAGTCGACTCGGACTCCAATTCGTCCTTGAATTATGATGAGCATCTAGAGAATGACGGAGTAGCATTCACCGCAGCTACGTATTCGAAGCATCTCTTTTCGAGAATTGATTTGTATTTCACCGGCTGGCGTTATAATGTTCCATGAAAACAGTGGCATTCTAACAATCAGTGTAAAGCCAAGCTATGATGTCTAATAGGAAAAGCTGATGGTGTACAAGATTGAATAGGCATCTGAAGATATCCACCTATCCATATGTTTCAAAGGGTAAAATGACAATGACACTTCTGTTAGTGATGCAACTAGAATTGAGTTTGAGGCGCGAACAGAAAGATAATTTTCCCCACAAGAGGCACATATTGAGAACTCAATTTGAGCACGGGAATCGATGTACAAGGATAGATATAGGAACACGGTTGCTTCTGCGTTGCTGCGGTATGGAAGTTGATTTATTCGTGGCAAACAATCTTTCAAGTCATTGGCTCTCAAAACGAACCTGCTCCTTAATTTTGCTCTTTCTCAAAAAATAATAGCATGAACCTATCCACGCTAGATTTGTGCAACAGGATTGCTTTGAGAACATGTTTGTCAAGTCGATTTGATGTCTATTAGTATAGGAGTCAATGTCGTCCCAAATAACTGGAAGGATGAAGTTGACTTCTCGGCTCGCAACGACGGCGGACGGCACGACGGCCCAGTGCCAAACGCCGCCTACGAAACGCACGGGAGCGCCAACCATCACTAATCTCCGCTCCAGAAACCGTTTTCTCGGCAATCTCGTCTGCGCCTTTGATCCGTTGGAATCTGCCCTTTTCATTGGTTAGTACGTACCTCTTTGACTCGTCACCCTTGTATATTCAGTTTGCTTTGTTATCATTGGCTGCTTTTGCTGGGCGACGAGCATCGATTGAAAACACCAAGACTCTGTCGCCTTCGCCTTCCTAGAACAACTAGTCAATATAGGTCATGATGTCGCCTGCGCTGATACGAGGGAGAGAAACTCTTTTCCATCCCATTTCCAGATGATCTTCGCGATCTCCCCATGACCGGCGGCACCCGCACTCACCTTCTTTGAACTGCTCGTTTAACGATGGCCATCCTCTCTCAATGCTGGACGTTGACACGCAAAAACATCTTAATTGCGTTACATCGACACACCATCTCCACCGTCGTCCGCGCATTCCTCCTCCCCATCGCCTTTGTCATCTTCCTCAGCTACGCAAGAAACCTCTTCATCCCGCCCTCCAGCTATGGCATTGGAACGAGCACGCCCATTCGCACGCTGGCAGAAGGACTGGATGCGGCCAACGGTGGACGAGATACGGTGGCGTTCGTCAATAATGGATTGGCGGGAGGAGACATCGATCGCATCATCGATTCGCTGGCACAGACGGTCTCGGATTCTGGAAAGAAGGTTGCGCGACTCAACACACAAACAGATCTGCTGGAAACATGCCGGTCGTCGTTGAGGGGGTCGACGAGGTGTTATGGCGGGGTGGTGTTTTTATCGTCGCCGAATGAGGGCACGGGAGGGATATGGAACTATACTCTCCGCGCAGATGGTTCATTTGGCACCAGGATCAATGTCGACAAATCCACGAACGAGGTGCAGGTGTACCTGCTGCCACTGCAGCGTGCGGTCGATGAAGCTATCGTCAACCTCAATGGGACGACGACGGCGCTCCCCGCGGTCGAGGCCTACCCGTATACAAGCTTGACACAGGAGCAACGAAACACAAGCATCCGAGTCAACTACCAGGGTGCCATCATCAACATTCTGGCGGTCGCGTTCTTGATTGGAATGGTAGGTGTGTCATATCATCTCACTGGATTTATCGCATCGGAACGAGAGCTGGGCATGTCACAATTGATTGAAGCAATGATGCCGAATTTGCAGAGATGGAAACCTCAATTTGCCCGGATCATATCGTACCACATAGCTTTCGATCTCATGTACATTCCGGGATGGATCATCATTGGCATTGTGTTCGGTGTGGGTATTTTTGCGGAAACCTCCATGGCCATTGTTATTGTTTATCACATCCTTGCCGGTCTTGCTCTGACATCTCTGTCAATACTCGGCGCATCGTTCTTCAAGAAGGCACAGCTCAGTGGTATCACCGTGGCTATTGTTGTGCTGCTTCTAGGAGTCGTATCCCAAGTCGTAGGTGTTACTTCCAATGGAGCTGTGGTAATTCTCAGTCTTCTCTTTACACCCTGCAACTATGTCTTTTCTCTAATTTTCATGGCTCGCTATGAGCGCCAAAGGATGGCGACCGACCTACTGCATGCGGCTCCAGCCAACCCATGGACAATTCCAGGTATTGTTCTTTGGGTTTTTGTGATCCTGCAGATATTCATATACCCTCTACTTGGAGCTTGGGTCGAGAGGTCACTTTATGGAACAGCCTCCAAAGGCAGATCGGTGGTCGGAAACGATCTTTCAGAAAACGAAACGGTCCGCCTGGAAGAATTTACCAAGCATTACCCACCCACTACGTTTCGTCGATGGACCAGTCGTTTCTCCAAGACACCAAAAGAGACTGTAATCGCGGTCAACAAGTTGAATCTGAGCGCACGGAAAGGTCAGATCTGCGTCTTGCTAGGTGCCAATGGTAGTGGGAAGAGTACAACCCTGGACTCAATCGCTGGCCTGAACACGGTCACCAGTGGAAACATCACAGTCAACGGTACCGGAGGCTTAGGTATCGCCCCACAGAAGAACGTTTTATGGGACGAACTTACAGTCGAAGAGCACATTCGGATTTTCAACCACCTCAAATCGCCAGGCCACCGAGACAGCAAAGCAACGATCCGCGAACTAGTGGACGCAGTGGATCTTGGTCGCAAAATTTCAGCCAAATCAAAAACACTTTCTGGAGGTCAAAAGAGAAAGCTTCAACTTGGAATGATGTTTACTGGTGGGAGTGCCGTCTGTTGCGTTGATGAGGTCAGTAGTGGCCTCGATCCGCTCAGTAGACGTAAGATATGGGACATTTTACTAGCAGAGCGAGGAAGCAGAACAATCATTTTGACCACTCATTTCTTGGATGAAGCAGATTTATTGGCCGATCAGATTGCTATTCTCTCCAAGGGTACTCTGCGAGCCCACGGATCTTCAGTCGAGTTGAAGGAGAAGCTTGGTGGTGGATACCGCGTGCATCTACAATCGAGTCCTGGTCACGCATCGCCTCCCGATATTGATGGAGTCACAAAGCATGCCACATTTGGTCAAGCTATGTACACTGCCAGCTCATCGACCCAGGCGGCTTACATCATTCGACACCTCGAAGCCCTAGGATTGACCGATTACCAGCTTTCTGGTCCAACAATCGAAGATGTTTTCCTCCAACTCGCCGACGAGGTACGGTCCGAGGAGCTGGGAAGTGTGTCGAGTCTGGGGCGTGACTCTGTGTCTGAGACTCCTGAGCCAAACGATAAGAATGGCAATGTTGCGGCAACGGCCAGGCCTGCCCGCAAAGAGATGGAGTTACGAACTGGACAACGTATTGGACCGATTCGCCAATGCTGGGTTCTGTTTCGTAAACGATTTACCATTCTCAGACGAAATTGGCTTCCATATGTTGCAGTGTTTCTCCTGCCTGTTATTGCCGCTGGGCTGACTACTTTATTCTTGAAAAATTTCAATGCAGTTGGATGTGCGCCTCAAGATACGGCTCGAGTTTCTGATGTAGAAAGTTTGACCACAATCAATGCCCTGAGTACCGTTGTGGGACCAGCATCTAGGCTTTCGGTGCAGACAATTCGTGGTCTCTTCCAGCCGATGCTTCCCATTCCGATTCCACCACAGGATCAACTTCAACCATTCATCAACACCGTAGATACGCTTACACAGTTCAATGATTATATCAACAGCAACTTTTCATTCACTCGACCAGCGGCATTCTTTCTTGGCGACGCATCCTCGCCAGCAACATTAGCATTTCGAGGCAACGGTGGTATTTACAATGGAGTCTTTGGCCAGAATATTCTCAACACCGTCCTCTCGAACATCAGCATCTCCACCCAGTATTCCGAGTTTGACGTCCCTTGGTCTCCATCTACTGGAGATAGTCTTCAGCTAGTCGTCTACTTCGGTCTCGCTATGGCAGCATACCCTGGTTTCTTCAGTCTATACCCTACATTCGAGCGAACACGCAAGATCAGAGAATTAGAGTACTCAAATGGAGTTCGATCTCTTCCATTGTGGCTTGCTTATCTGGGTTTTGACTTTCTTTTCGTCCTCGTCACAAGCGCCCTAAGTGTTATCATTTTTGCAGTCACATCACCTGACGCCTGGTACCATGTTGGGTATTTATTTGTCATCTTCACGCTTTTCGGAATGGCATCTATTCTGTTTGCATATGTGGTCTCCTTATTCGCCAGAACGCAGCTCTCGGCATACGCTTTCGCTGCGGCGGGTCAAGCGGTACTCTTCTTATGCTATTTAATCGCCTATCTTTGCACTCTTACTTATGCCGTATGTTACAGACTCCTCAACCTCACTGGTATTTACTTGCTAACAGTCTTAGCCGATCAACAAGATTGACGACTTGATCATTGTCGTTCATTTTACAATATCACTAGTCACGCCAATGGGAAGTTTGATCCGAGCTCTGTTCGTGGCTTTGAACCTTTTCTCGACCACTTGCTCAGGCAGAGAGTTGGCATCGTATCCAGGAGGCATATTACAGTACGGTGGACCAATCCTGTACCTCATAGTACAGGTATTCGTTCTCTTCGCGATCTTATTATGGTACGATTCTGGATCAATTCTTGCGTGGTACCGACGTGTAAGAGGCAAACCAGCAGCAGCATCATTGCCAAGGGCCTCTGCCGAGGAAGGCGAGCCAGCAGCAGAAGATCTAGCCCGCATTAACAGTTCCAACGATGGTCTACGGGTCTTGAACCTCACCAAATCTTTCAAGACCAATACGGCTGTGGACAATCTTACTTTTGGTATCAAACGTGGTGAAGTCTTTGCTCTGCTTGGTCCAAATGGAGCTGGAAAGTCTACAACTATCTCACTTATAAGGGGCGACATTCAACCATCTAAGAATGGGGGTAGCATTTACGTGGAAAATGTGGACATCGGAAGACAAAGAGCGAAAGCACGTGGATCGTTGGGTGTTACGCCTCAATTCGATGCAATGGACGCAATGACCACTCGAGAGCATCTCATCTTCTACGCCCGTATTAGAGGAGTCCCAGATGTTGAACACAACGTCGAGGAAGTCATCAAAGCAGTAGGTCTACAAGCATTCACCGAGCGAATGGCCGTCGCACTTTCAGGTGGTAACAAGAGAAAATTATCCCTCGGCATCGCACTCATTGGCAACCCAACAGTTCTCCTCCTCGACGAGCCCTCCTCCGGTATGGACGCAGCAGCCAAACGAGTCATGTGGCAAACCCTCGCATCCGTTGTGCCAGGCCGATCACTTCTTCTCACCACCCACAGCATGGAAGAAGCAGATGCCTTAGCCGACCGCGCCGGTATCATGGCAAAGCGAATGTTAGCAAGTGGTACGAGCGATCACCTCCGCGAAGTCCACGGCGGCGCTTATTACGTCCATCTTGTCATGAAATCCGCACCACACACCACTGATGAGGAGATTTCCGCACTCATCGAATGGGTGCGCAGAACGTTTCCGGGTGCGGATGTCGAGGATAAAACATATCACGGACAGATCCGCTTCTCGGTACCCGCTCGCCAGACCGACGATAAATCCAAATTCATCTCCAAAGAAGAAGATCTAGACTCCATCAGCGGCAGTACCGAACGTGCGACTGATACTAAAAGCGGTATTGGCAGCATCATCACGACGCTTGAAGATCATCGTGAGGAGTTGGGTCTCGAACATTATGGCGTTAGTCCTACGACGCTCGATCAGGTTTTCTTGAGCATCGTACAGAAACATGATGTTGAGGAGGAGGGATACGCGGTGAAGAAGAAGGGGAGGAGGAGTTGGAGGTCGGGGTGGTTGGTGAAAAGGTGATTTTGATTGAGGTGGGATTGGATGGGGAATAGACGATACGGGATGCATAGCGGTGGGCTTTTGTGGCATTTTTCTCGGCGTTTGGGATGGGTTTGGGGTGTAGATATCGGGTGTAGATTAGAGGGCGTGTAGAAAAATATAACTGTATTTGACACATCTGCCGTTTTAGTGTGGAAAAGCGATATTGTTATTTGAATACGTCGTGTGATTGCGCCTTCGTCCCTTTCCTTAAGCTCGCGCCCCCTTGAAACCCCCTCGCTTCAGGATTTGATCGCCTATTAGCGACGGATTCAAGCTTTGGCGAACGTGTGCAGACTTGATATAAGCATTTTAATGTAAAATCAGCGAGCTGCTCAGTATTAAGTGGTATAAAAGATATTGATCACTGTACTCCAAGGGGTGCGAGCGTCAGGGTGCAAGGGATGTGGCTGTGTGTTCACGGAGGGCTCTGTTGGAGGTGTGATGAAAGGGATTATCCCCCTCTCTCTGTACATATCTACCCCGTGAGAAATTATCACCTCGTCATCGCTTGCGAGAACCTAGATTTTCTGTTTGGGATGGATGGCAGATCTCATGGTTCGGTAATAGACGTGGTTCTTTGTATAATCTTGGGGGGGATTATCTGGTTTGGGTTGGGGTGTTTGAGAGGTGACTGGTTTCTGGGATGCGAGTGGTTTCGTGGAATGGGTGTGTGATAGACGTATGGATTCAGGTGAAGGGTATTTGAGGTATTGAGGTTTTGGGGTTGGGGGTTGGGTTGGAAGAGGAAGGGGGAGGCAGGGGAAGGTGGAGAAGGAGGGGAAGGGCATGGAGAGTGAGGGGAGGAGGAAAGGGGAGATGAAATGAGAGGACAGGTGATGAGGGAAGGAGGGGAGATGTGATGAGGCGTGACCAATGGTTTAGATGGCATAGGATGATTTATCCCAATTACCCCAAGAACATCATGATGAAGACATAATAATGATTATACACACATTGATCTGAATACGTGTTCTATACCGTATTCGTGAATAGGGTGTATTCAACAAACGGGGTGGAACAGATGGTTACTTTCCGATCACGAATCATTTCACACCCACTTTGTGCTTCAATGGTCTATGCGGTATCTGACCCCCCAGCTAGGTATCAGATAAAATTCGAGTCTTTATATCGTTCTTCTTGACTGTACCAGTCCATCTCCGAAGAAACTCGCCCCCTCGAATTTTTATTTTAGTCCCATACCCGTCTGGAACGTACCTCTCTATCTAGGTTAAAGTACAGATACCCATTCTATCACTATTAGGAAGTTCGGCGAGTTTCAAGAAACAAAACCCGGGTGTCATTCATTCAGAATTACATTCAAATTATACATTAATATATTATCCCTAACGTCCAAGAAGTCGTGCTGTTTTTCTTTTGGCCCCAATTACACATTACATATATATACAAAGACCAAAATCCGTGTCGTTCGCCGAGCCTATCCCCTCATCGCAATTCACACACAAAGACCAGCCATCAGCCAAAAGCTTTCGCCTGCTGTTGGCTCTACTTCACTACTCATCCTGACACCACAGGAGTTTAGCCTCTAGCGAACATTAAGTGCAAAGTCAAATAGAGCTACCGGGCAGATATATCAGAGGTGTACTGAAGAGTTACAGCTAGGTCAACCGTCCTGGGAATCGTAGTTACACGGAGATAAACCCCCTTGAGAACCGCAATTTTCGAGCGAAGGGATTTCCGATCTTCTATTCCATTCTTCAACCTCTCTCCCAGAGCCTCGAGTTTAACTGAGGAAAGTTGTGTAGATCCCTTAGAAAAGGTCAGCGAGTACGAGTCAGGCTCAGTCAAGAAAATCACCAGATGGCTTCGACTGTATGATAAATCTCCAGGTCTGAGACCCAATGCACAGAAATGGGCAAAAGAGAGAATGGGGTTCATCGTCCTGCCTTGAACTCGACTACTGAACATAATCCTCCCAGCGCACACACTTGTCACGAGCACACCCCCAACCGTGAGAATGTCTCGATAGAAAGACTAATGTCAAACAGCACAAAAATCGCACCACAGGGGAAATCTAATGGAATACGATAGTGATCTAGAATATATACCAAAACAAGGATAAAAAAGCATCCTTTCCCACGAACAAAACAAAACCAAAACATCCCGCAGATTATACTACCTTGAATATCCAACACAACTTCGAAATACACTTCACCGGTCTAGTTCCATCCACTTAAGCACCACGCAGAATTCAAGTCCACGCACGCACTTCATGCACGTGTCAAGTATCCATTCTCAACAGTATTAAAAAATCACTGTAGCCCCGCCTGAGCAGCGCACACCCATAAGCGAGGAAACAATTCCTTTTCAGTAACTCACTTCCAGCGCTCAGAAGGACATATACGCTTATACCTCCTATCCACTAGGCTTGACTATCGCTTAATCGTACACTGGTCCGACATTAACGCAACGCAATAGATATGCCACCACAGGGCAACGTAGTATGCAAGTCCTAGGTTGAAGTGAGGTCAGATGGGCAATATTCGCTAAAGCGAACCATAGTGATCTGTAAGGGGTAAGAGCTTCGAAGAATGGTTGGGCGCTGGAAAGAATAGCATATATAATTGGGGCTAGCCTTGAAAAAGAAAAAGCCAAATATGCCTACCTAGCGGAACAAAGGCTTCGACGAACATGGCCAGTTGAATCGATTTGAGCAACAGCGGTGAGAGTTATTGAATTTCATTTATACAGTCATTGGTAGATTTATACATAGCGCGCAAAGCACGATCAAGATCAGATAAAGCACAATACATAATAGAACCACTTTTGTGCACCGTACGACATCGAAAATGGGTATTCAATATGCAAATGCAGCAAAAAAACTAACATACAAATACCTCCCCATTACTGCGCACCTAAAATCTGAAGAGCAAGTCTCAGCTCCTTGACTGCCGTATCAGCATCCTCAAAGTTAAGGGCTGAAATTGCCCACTTGGCATGCTTCTGTGCCTTGGCAACCGCCTCGGGTTCAAGGTTGAACGCTGGTCCTCGAGGCTGCGATGGACCTGGGACAGGAGGAGCGGGGGGAACTGGTTGACGATGCTGTTGTGGTGGGGGGTGGTATGGATTGGTTGCAGCCGGTGGTGGTTGGTAATGTGTTGGAGGCGGAGGAGGTCGATATGGAGCAGGTTGGTGTGTCGGAGGGGGAAGAGGTGCCCCTGGGGATGTGACGATGTGTGGAGGTGAACCTGACTGCGAGTAAAAGTCTTGTGGTGGCGGACTTGAAGCTGGATGGCTTATAGACGGTGGTGGAAAAGACTCAAAGTCCGGAGAGACACCCATGCCGGGAGGCATGCTGGATCCGGGAGCATTTGATGGATGATTAGGTAGATCTAGATCTAATGAATCGCCAGCGGGTGCAGTTGGAAGTGTCGCATCCTGAGTTTCTGAAGTAAAAGTTGGCACTTCTGGGAAATAGCCTCCCCCAACAGAACCATTCCTGGGATTCGGGGATGGCTCAAGCGGCGAAACATTATCATCTTGAACGGCTGTATATGGGAACCCATCGCGAGGATATGGTTCGAAAGGAGGTGCTCGAGGAGACCCCCGCGCGGAGACCTGTGTGGATGGGTGCAGTGATTGATCTATGGAAGACTGTCTGGCTAATCGAGCATCCACCTGATCTTGTTCATCTGGTACTTCCTCTACCGATGCCTGTCTTGGGTGTAGGGTTTGTCCGAGTGATTGCACATCTGGATCATTTGGATCCAACACCGGAAGATCTTCTTCTGGGGATGGAGCAGGTTTTGGATTCGTCTCGTTTGGATCTTTTCCTTCCTTCAACGCCCTCATTATCCTCAGCGCATTCCATTTGGCGTATTTGATCTTGCTTTGTGTTTCGCCATCGGGTGGACTCCAAATATTGACCAGTTCGAAAAAGGTTGCCGCTGCCTGGAATGTGTCTGCGGTTTGCCTATAAGGCTGTCAAAATCAAGCTGCAATGTCAAATATGAATCAACATACTTTGTCACCTTATTCACCTGGACAGTGCGGTCTGCTCTTTGAAACGTTTCCAGCGCGAATTGCTCGACGTATGCTTGGCCCGCGGTGTCGTCTATGATCGCATCGTTCGTGGGATTATCGGATTTGATCTTGGAACCGGAGAAGTTAGCATCACTCAGTTGAAGCATGGGCGCAAACCATCTCACCTGTTCCAGTTTATCCATCAAGGTGGTGGTATATTCCAACGTCTCTTGATCTCCATTGTGCAGCCCTTTGGAAAGTATCTGATTGACGATCCAATATTCGCCTGCATCATATTAGACCAAGACGTCAATGTCTGGAGGAAGAAACGTACACCAATATGATATCACTGGCTTCGCTTTCTCTAGTTGCGCTGCGCGGACGATGAATCTCGTCAGATCCGCCGTCTTGAGTTTGGGGGGGATGTTGGCCGCCATGGCCAGTCTGGAGTGGTGACTGCAGCTACTGAGAGAGTGATGGAAATATTGAAGCTATTCGGAACGTCTGACTGTCGTGATCGAGCTTGCGTGTGGCTGTGATGTTGCGCGGCAGCTATGGACAGCTGTGCGGGGCGGGGTTGTCAAACAGCTGCCTTCAGGGATGTCGGGCCGGACCATGTGCGTGCCTGAATGGAAATCGGGGCTGGGTCGGCCAGCATTCGGCAACGGGCCGATGTTCGTCAGGATACGGCAACTTGAGCATTTTGGGGCCCAGAAACATAGACGATATAGTACATATTACAAAATATACAAAATATATATCAGGCGCATTTACAATCGTCTGAGTGAATACATACCTACCTAGGTAGGTACATGTATATATGTCTCGTCTAATTTGCGCCAATCCATAGTGGGTATGCTGCAGAATACACAACCCATCCTCATTGGAGCTACCCTCCCAGCCTTACCCCAGGTTCTGCCACAAGGCTGTCGGCCAAAGGTGGCCTTTTCCCTAACGACCCCTGCTCGTGTTCCGACGGTAGGCCTGCCCCGTATAACATCACTTCCACGCTCTGGACAGCTTGCATTTCCCCTCATTCTCGCCTCGACCATTTATGAACTGATTCTTCTTCCTTTCCAGCTGCTACAGCTTCCCAGTAGTTAATTATCTTTTCTCCATTCTCGACATACATCAACAACATGGTTAACGCCGCCGCCATTGTCGCTGCAGCTGCACTGCTCGGGGCGGTACCGGTTAGTGCAGGATTGTACAGCAAGAATTCCCCAGTCTTACAGCTGGATGGGAAATCGTATGATCGATTGATCGCGCAGTCAAACTACACCTCGGTAAGCTTGACGTATACATAAAACGTAAGATGTAGCTAATTCCTCGCTGCAGATCGTCGAGTTCTATGCACCATGGTGCGGCCACTGCAAGAACCTCCAACCAGCCTACGAAAAGGCGGCCAAGAGTCTCGCGGGTCTTGCCAAAGTTGGAGCTGTCGATTGCGATGAAGAATCGAACAAACCATTCTGCGGAAGTTTTGGAGTACAAGGATTCCCAACGCTCAAGATTGTCAAGCCAGGAAAGACACCAGGGAAGCCCATCGTCGAGGATTACAATGGACCCAGAACTGCGAAAGGAATCGTGGATGCGTTGGTGGATAAGATCCCAAATTATGTCAAGAAGGTCGAGGATAAGACACTGGAGAAATGGCTGGCCGATTCGAAAGATACTCCCAAGGCGATCCTGTTCACCGATAAAGGAAAGACGAGTGCATTGATGAAATCAATTGCCATTGAGTTCAAGGGTGCCATTGAGGTGGCACAAATCAGAAACACGGACAAGGAAAAGGCCTCGAAAGAGTTGTTTGGTATAACTGAATTCCCAACTCTCCTGCTCCTCCCTGGTGGAAAGGAAGCAAAGGAGGGCATTATCTACGACGGTGAGCTCAAGAAGGAACCAATGGTTAAATTCCTGTCACAAGCTGCTTCACCAAACCCAGATCCAGCACCACCCAAGGTCAAGGTTTCCAAATCCAAAGAAAAGAAGAAGGACGAGAAGAAAAAGGAGGAGAAGAAAGCATCCAAAGACAAGGAAGAATTCGAATCTGCCTCTTCGTCCCACGCGTCGCAAGATGGACAAACTGCTGGAGCAACTGCAACGGAAGAAGTTCTCGAGGAGGCTCCCACAGAATCACCCCAACCAGAAGTGGATACTCAAAAGCCAATCGTTCTTCCAGATCCCGCTCCTCTCATATCAACAATCGAAACAGAGGCCGAATTAGCAACAGAATGTCTTGGCGAGAGAACTGGAACCTGCATTCTCGTACTTCTTCCCGAAACATCAGACGAGATATCTCAAAAGGCCATCACTTCACTTTCCGAGCTTGCCCATAAGTACAAGCAACGTCAGCGAAGCATCTTCCCATTTTACGGAGTATCTTCAGCAAACCCTTCATCAAAGAACCTCAAGGCATCTCTCAAGCTAGGCGATACCACTCAAATCATCGCTGTCAATGGTCGTCGTGGATGGTGGCGACAGGCTTCTGAGACACTATCTGAGCAAGATGTCACCGAAGAGTCTATCGAAAACTTTGTCGACGCTATTCGTCTCGGCGAGGGCAGCAAGAAGAAGATCCCAGCTGGTATGATTCCAGAGACACCAGAAGAGCCTTCCGAAACCGAGGAGGCTGACGTTACTGTTACGCTCGAGAAGCCTGCGGTTACGGAGACTATTCTCGTTGAGGAGGTTAAGGAAGAAGCAGTTGAAGAAAAGGCGGATGTTCATGATGAACTCTGAGTGAAGCCACATCTCTAGCCATGAGCTGTATACTAGCATTTTGAATCTATCACAATATGATATTGGAAAACAAATTTTCTTTCTATCCTTGACTTTGACTTTTATAACGCCGGTCCGGGTATCATGCTATGCATATCGTACATCGGTCCCCAATTTGTTGATCTTGAACTGCCACGCTCGTTCTGTCTTTTGATGTATCGAATCCAAGCAGATTCGACATATGTCTCTATTGCATGACCACTGTCAAAAAAAGCATCCATTTGTGATCAGGACCGAGAAACCCCACCCAACAGATCCCCAATTCTCAACTCTCGGAACACCCTCGCCTCGTCTCTTCAAGTGTCAACTCTAAGCAAATGACGGTGATGATCAATTTCCTCCCGCCAAAAAACTGTCAACCCCCATACAACAAATCCTCAAACCTCAACGTGACAGCCCTCGTATCGTCTCCTGGTCTGTCAAGTCCAAGTAAACCAAACATCTCTCTACTCAGCATAAAAGCCGTCAACCCCTCATCACTCACAATCCAGCGCAATCACACATCAATCCCTAACCTTCAAATCCTCACCCCTCAAACCGTTGACCCCTCCAGAATCTTCCCCCCTCTCGTCCTCACAACCCCATCCAATATCGCCCTAACCTGTTTACACCCATCCACCCCCACCGCCAACATACCCTCCAACCGTCCAACCTGCACCCTCGTCTCCAATACCAACACACTCACGAAATCGCTCTCCCCCACCGTCGCAACCGTCAAAAACGGCAACTCCTGCTCCTCCGCAGCATTCAAATCCAACAGCGGATCCGCAGCCTCCTCGTTACTGCTGTAGCTGCTCGTGCTCCCTGCCGTACACGCCGCGATATAGTCTTTCATCGGCACACCCGCATCGATCAGCGCGAGCGTGCACGCATTGATACACGCCGCGAGCAGCGAACCGTCTTGCGCGAGGACATGTAATGACAGCGTGATGAGCGAGCGTGGATACAATTTCGTGAAAATCACCCCCTCAAAAGCCGTCGCGATCGTATTCTGCATCTCCGCCACGCGTCTATCTCAAGATTAGTCCTCTGCTCCCCATCCTCGCGGAATATACATACTTATCGTTCCTCGCCCTCCTCTTCCTCTCCACCCCGCTAAACCCAGCAATACTGATGTCCACACCGACCACCGCCTCCTCGCCGCCGCCCGGTCGGACAGCACCCCCCTCAGACGGCCCAGACACCGTGCAAATCACCTTGGTGTTGCCCATCTCGAGGTACGCGGAGCCGTCGGCGGAGGCCTGCGTGCGCATTTGGGCGGTGAGACGGCGGAGCTCGTTCCAGCGGCGACCGTCGAGGCGAAGGAGCGCGAGGGAGTAGGTGGATGTGTCGAGGGGCATGGTGGTGGGTGTTGTTGGGTGGTGATGTTGGGTGGTGGGGTAGCTTTGAGGTTGAGGTTGGAGGTTTTTTTGAGCTTGGACGGACTAGGGTGGTGGGGTTTGATGGACCACGACGCGATGGAGTTGTTTCGGGGGTAATGTATGGAGCAATGGAGAATGAATTATTTGCACCTGGGGTTGATGTTGATGAAGTAATACGCAATGTTATGACTATGATTGTCAACACATTTCTGACAATGGCTGGAAATAATTTTGATATCAAGTTTCTACCTCGACCGAAGCAACACCATCATCCCATTGTTCCAAAAATCTCTCACAGTGCAAAAAAGGAAATCAAATCGACTAAACAACATCAAGCTCAGGGGTATAGAATATTCACACTACAGTAACAGCCAACGCCCATCCGAATCCCTTGTCAAAATCCATCTACTTTCCAATATCCCTCCACTCAGATCCATTTCCAACCTTGGAGGTTCCACTTGGAGCAAACCCATCGTCACTATCATCATCCTCCAATATCTTGGCCAGCTCATCCGGATCCTTCATTTTAGCATCCGGGTCCGCCTCGCCTTCAGTGTCAATAATCCCATCTTCTTGTTCTGAAAACACTCGATCGCTCTCGCTCTCCAAGACCCCGTTATCAGCAGAGACACTGATACCTCGAGCTCCCCAGTTCGAAGCAGATCTTTGTCCACTCTCCACATCATCTGCAAGTGCAGGTGTGCTCTCCTCATCGTCCAAATCACCAACAATTCGTTTGTTTCCAAACACCTTACTGAGAATCCATCCTTTGGACACATCGTCCGCATCGACGATCCCTCCACCTCGAAGCTTGACTCTTTGGCGGGAATAGTAGACCCAGAAGAAGTCAATGTAGAATGCGGTTTGGATGATGCCGAAAATGATGGGGATCGGCTCGGGGTATCTGCCGTGCGGGGAGATTTCTCGCATGATCCAATTGAGAATGTAGAGGCCGCGGTATGAGCCGAGGGTAATTAGGTAGAAGGAATCGATGACGGTTGGGACGGTGGTTTGTCGCAGGAGGAGAAGCTGTGGTAGCACACAGACGGATTCGAGGATGATGGAAAAGACCCAGAGAATCTGGCATACACATGTTAGTTCCAATCGACTAATTCGAATGCAAATCCAACTCATACCTCGCCCAACCCCCACTGCCCCTTATGCTCGAAAATCATCATCGCAAACGGCGCCAGAATCGCACTCCCACCCAGACATGCCGCCCCAAACTTCCACGCCTTCTCCCGCTCTCGCGTGCGCGCATACACTTTGAGCATCAAAAACAAGATGTAGAAAGAGCTGAAGAGGTAGAACAGCTTGAGCGAGATGTTCCACGCGGCTCCCCACGCATACTTCTTGAAGATGTCAAGATACCGCGTCACGAACACGAGCGCGTACAGCGCTTGAGTGATCAAGGATACGCCTTCTGCGCTCTTGTTGCGGTGGATGGCGATTATGAGGATGCATTTCGAGAGGGTATGGCTGATGTCCGCGAGGATGCGGAAGATCTGGGGGGGTTAGCTGGGTTGCGGTATTGCGGTGTTGGAGGGATTGGGGATCGTACATTCATGCCGTTGCTCATCTTGAGGTTCTCGAACCTTTGTTGGGGGATACGAATAACAAGATCCTCAAAAGTTTTGGGATTTGGGGAGCCGCTGAGTTGTGGTCGAGATGTTCAGCTAGAGGGGGAGTATTTCGTAGCCTGATTGCATTACGCGGCTAGGAGAGCTACGTGGAGGGCCGTCTCAGTACATCACAGGAGATAGTGGGTGGCCTGCGCGGGGGGGTGAGGTTGCGTGGGTATAGGAGAGGTATTGGTGTCTGTGGCCGAATGTGAAGTCGTACAATTTGGGTGTTAAATGATGTTGTGATACTTGACCGTGATGTTCGAAGCCAGCTTGTCCAATTCATTGACAAGTGGCGCGGGAGCTGCGGTTGTGGCTGGGGATGAGTGGATGTCACGTGTCATGGATAACTTCCCCCTAAAATGGGGATTCACAGCTTCTCACATATAAATCAATCATCTCGAGACGATTTCCTTATTACGAAGGATTGGGCTCCTGAACGGGAGGATCTCAATACGTCCAGAAGACGTCAGATATGGCCCATTACCTCTGTTGATAAGGGATGCTGTCCATAATGGAAAACCTTCACAGATTATTTATCAACTCCTCTGACGGAGAAAAGCACAACAATAACCCCACCTCGCGACTGGATGGAGGCTTCACGAGCCATGGAGCGCAAACAACGAGCGTATATGAGTCTTGACAATAATCATCCACGAATCATCATGGTGCCAGCTGTGAGCCTTGGATCCCTTCTGCGGAAACTATCTCAGGTCATCGTTGACCAGCGGTCGTTTCGCTCAGCCAAAGAAAGTGAATGCAAACTTTATTTCAACAACTCAATGATTGTGCTTTGTAAACACCAGAGACCAGACAAACGCTGATATCAGCCTCTGGATTACGACGACTGGCTAATTGGCGGAAGTGTAGAGCAATTTGGAGGACACTTTTGAAGCCACAACTTCATCCCGTCGACGAATTTCCAACTAGAAGATATCGAGATCAATCAATCGTCACCCTGCCGAACTGTTGTCCGTCGATTTGAATCCAGAAAGCAATCTTGCCTTTACTCACTTCCAGTACCACATCGTACGCCAGCTCCCAGTACACTTGTCTGTCAGAACTGCGTTTCCTTTTGCGAAAATCATCTTCTGGGATATTGTCCAACGGGACTTTTATCTTTTTATTTGTTCTTATCGAATCTGATGGGAAGTATATCAGTAACTATGCTTCAAGCTGTGAGAGGTAGTGGTGAAAGTTCATGACTGGCGCTCTTACGATGTGTTGAAGATTCTGGTGGACTACTCGCTGTGCTTTGCTCCAGACAGGCAACAATGAAAAACTCATCGCTCTCAGGATTGGGACCGCATTGTTTGTAGCAAGGCATTGAAATCTTCTTTGATTTGCGAAGATCATTCCCCTGCCATTCATAGTCAGTTCAAACATTGATCACGAGAAGGAAGCAGTGTGCCAGATGGGCCAACCTTTATGATAATCCAGTTGATGCTTTTGCACCGCCATACTCCTTCCCAGTCGTCCCAGTATTTCTTTTCAGTCCGATGGGTATCTTCGTTCCATATCGGACAGCAGGCAATGCCGTAGTTCTTGGATGCCTTTCGATTCGAAGAGGTGCCTGAGGAATCAACCTCCGGAGCGACGATAGTCTTCTTCAATGGGGCTTGGCTTAGTGCCGAACCACTATGTCTTGTTATTATTTATTTCATAGGTAGAGTGGAAGGCAACTTGCCGAATCACTGCTGTCCACCTGCAATTCACATCAGCTACTTTTTTCAACGGACACAGAAGATTCCTCTCACGTATTTGCTAGTTGGATAAACTTCATGGAGGGAAACTTTCCACCTAAATATTCTCGCAGAAACTTATTGCTTCCAAAGCCGCCAGTCAAGATCACAGCCTGGTTCATCTTAGCGTTGGTTGAAAACTACTGTGCAAAGAAAGACATGTGCGTACGTCTACTGATGTCATATCGCCGCTTCGAATGCTCACTTTCTTCACCTTGACAGCATTGATTTGCTCCGTCATCGACACAAAAACCATATTTGCGACGGGTTGGAATATCACTTCCAGGGCCCTCCTAGTGCTTTCAGTTTACAGTGCTCGTGTTCTGGGGGCTTCAATGTCAAATGTTTCATCCATACCTGTCGAGACTCATAGTGTTGTCCTTCAAGTTCCCATCTGGGTAGTCGGTCAACTTTGTTCCCTCGAGCTTGACTTCAAAGTTCCCGGTACTCGAGTTGCTGAAGGCTGGTTTGATCTCTTGATCAAATCGATTCAGTGTTTCGATATAGTGGAAACTCTTCTTCAATGGAATGATCTCTTCCTCCTCGAGTAAACTACGTACGATGTGATTCTCAAAATTCTTGTTAAGGTTTAGCGAGCCACCAGCTTTGGCTGAAAGCTTGTTAGGGTCTTCCTTGACTTGTTTACGATGTTCACAAATAAGAGAGTCCTTACTTAATGGGGGAACCGTTTCGACCACTTGCAATGGAACTAGCCTCTTGATGGTGTATGTTGTAAGATTGATAGTTGCCCCACCTGCGTCGCAGATCATGATAGTGTCTCCTATCTGCGACTAGTTAACCATGGATTCTGTGGTTATTCCTAGATGCTAACCTTAAGCTTGAGGGCCTTTGCCTCCTTCGATCGCATATTAAAGAAAGCCGCAGCTTCGGCTTCTTGGATATGTGTTATGGGACTCGCTCCTGCGTCCCGGGCAGCCTAGGAATATCAGATACAATGTACATTGATCAAAACGTAAAGCTACCTTGAGTATGGCATTCTTCGCGGTTACCGGCCACCCAGCGGGTGTTGAGATGACGAATTTCATAGCCCGTATCACCGAGAACTCATCTGGATGTTTCTCTGCAATTTCTTCAATCGCGTATCGATACAGAGCTCCCATGAAGTCATCAACCGCATTGATAGGAGTCTTGATGAACTCCTGGAAATTCTTTCGCACCTTGTTGATCTGCGCATATTCGGGTGTTGGTAACGACGGGTCGAGAAGGAGTTTGAAAGCTTCCAGTTTCTTCTCGTCTCTCAGTCCCACCTGGTGACCCCAGCTAAATCCACATCCTCCTGTTCCATATTTGATTACAGTCGGTACTTTGGGCGATTTGACCTTGACAACAGTGTGCCCCGGCCATTGATCGAGGATGTGAACTCTGTCGGGTTCAGTCGAGAGGATATACCCGATACTAATTAACTGGATCAGCAGCGGTATAATTAAGCATGACAGTCCTGTTTGGAGATGGACAACAATGTTTATTCTACGTACCCGCTGTAACTTGTACCGAGGTCAATGCTGATGATCAGAGTGTGTGGTTCTACTTGGTCGTTCACTTTCAAAGTTTTAAGAAGATTGTTGAGCTCCTGGAGACGTACGTTATCCACATCCATTGCGTAATCACTCGGCGACACGTCAAGAGTCAAGTGCTCTTGAATCAGGGCGGCCAAAAGAATATCGCTTTATCGAGGTACATTGTCCGAGGCATCAATGCATGGATTACTAGAGCCGCATTTGCACAATGAGATAGCGGAACAACCCAACAGAGCCGCCTCAGGCCATATCTTGATTGCCGGCATTGGATTCGCGGAACACTTCGATTGAGTATTCACATGCGAATGACTTGGAAGTTCAGCCGCACGGGCTGGTATTGAATATATGCGGGTGTTGGTTTTCATCACAGTTACACATGCCGGGCTGGAGTTGCTTGTGCAGATGAGGTTGCAGTCTTCAATCAATAAATGTGCTTTGGTGAGTCTGAAGGAGAAACCCGCCAATAGAAAGCGTCTCTTGTATTAGAGGGCTGAAAACAAGCAATAGTTCGAAAGCTCGCTTAGCCCGGAACATCCCCCCAATCCTTCAAAGCTCTGCACGACAAACAGGGCAGAACGGATGTTTCGATTTGGAACGGAGCCTCGTCCAACCCACCATCTACTGAAACTGATACTGCATGATCTGTTCAATCACCTGCCATTCTTGTGTGCTCCATTCTCCCCTCTTCTCTTTGAACCTCTCAAATGTCGCATTGATCAAGTTTTCGACAACTGTACGTCGCTGTAATGTTGCGAGTAATCTTGGGTGATTTGCACCTGGTTGACCTGCTCGCGTCTGAGCTTGGGAGACACGTTCCCAGTTGGAAATCGCGATGTCGAGCTTTGACTTCTCCTTGACGAGATCGCTCCATGTTTCTATATCACAGACATCCAATCCAGGTTCTGGTTGCTCTTGATGTGTCTCTTTTTGGACGACCGGAAGTGGCAGGTTCGGCTTTGCCATTAGTGTGGGGTCGAGAAATCCGTCTGCTTGGTACATCGGCTGAGTTCTGTATTTCCCAACTTCACGTTTCGCTATAGTGGCTACACGCCCAGGAAGTCGAGCTCTCTTTTGTCTGAATGAAGCTTTGGCCTTCGCATCCACGTTCATTCTTAATCCTCTCTGACTGATGAACCGTCTGGCGGAAATTAGAGTCTTGAGAATTTCCCATATCGAAACACTACAACATAAGGTGACAAGCACCCCAATGATGATATAGATGAAAACATGAAGAGGGAGTATCCCGACATTTTTGGGATCTATCGTGCCCCTCGTGTTGATGTTACTGTACTGAACGACGGCGGATTTGATAGATTCAGTAGCTGAACGGGAGTTGTCCAAGGAAAAAACAGGCTTTTTTTCCAAGTATACTGACATCTTTGTCGTTCATCTGCATTCGAATAACAGATGGACCCAGCGGTAAAAGTATTTAGTGGTATATCCCTCTAACATAAGTTTCGCTACCACATGCCCGAGTCTCAAAAGGGTCCCAAGCGTCAATTGTGAGACACAAAGCCAGCATTAATTAAATTGCCTTTGCGCCCACATCAGCACGGGAAGCCCAATATTGAGCGGCTGGGGCTTCTTTTTTTACTGCCACGCCGTATTTCCCGCTCTCTCAGTCCGGGTTTCAGACTCGGCGTCTGTATTTCTGGGAAAGGCCCAAGTCCCATCCGTCCGCCATTTTGTACTGTCTAGGTTCTCTTGCAGCTAGCATGGTCTCAAATGTTAATGCCTCAGCCTTGTCAACTTCGACATGCCTTCATACTGGTAAACAATTAATCGCAAATGCAATTCCTACGGATTATTTAGGTGACTGGTTTGTGTGATAACTTAGGTGTTGATCTCGTCTCTGAATTCGCGCTTCCGCTACAAGTACGGTTCGATCATGTCTGGTACGTAAGTCTCCATTGGTTTCTTTACACTTTACCATCTATGTTGACAATCCTCAAAGCCTCATTGTGGAAGGAGCTCGTAACGCTTGATGGGACACATTTCGCCGACCATTTCGCTATTGCGTATCTAGCAGTGTCGATTGTTGCGGTTGTCGGCATCTTATACGCACTTTCAAGCAGTTCGAGTAAGTCGATATGCTACAAGGGCAACGATGCCAGTCTTAGAAAGAAAGCATACGACTTGCTTATTCTCTCGATGCTATTCTACCTGCTGTAAGTACTCCGCTCCTCGGTGGAGGCGACGTAGACAAAAGGAGTTCTGACAATAGTCTGTACAGAGCCTACACGTTCCAGCTCATTGATATTATTCTCAACGAGCAACAAGTGAGCATAAGATTAGGATATAAATTCGTGAGCGTGTTCCGCGACGGCTGCTGGCAAGTCGCTGATTTCGTTATTTTAACAATTGCCTGTCGGGTGACCTACTATCAGTTCCCAAATTGGGGAGCACATAAGAGTTTTCATGCCACCTGGAGATTCTTTTGTGAGGTATTCCTAACAGTCCTCGCTGCCTTGGCCATTTACCGTTGGGCTTTATCCACAGCTTACACTACACTGACTCTCAATAACGTCTCGTCTTCCGGGATTCAACATTTCACTCGTGAAACTGAGGTGTTAAGAGCGGGATACCAGATATTATACATGCTAGTGTCAACTTTAATTCTTTTGTTGGCTGTATACTATCTCTACTGCCGTATAGGGTTTTCCGAAAAACCAGACAAGGTGAGTTCGGCCACGACTCCATGAAGGCTCAGCAAACGCCCGCTTAAACATTGACTAATGGAATAAATAGCTCGAGTCTGGCGTAAATCTTCTCACAATAATACTTTGGATAAGATCCGTCTCCAGAGTGGGAATTGTGGTCAAATATACCCTCCTGGAATCAGTTCGGCCTGTCTACATAGAAGTGGCAGCTGAGGCAGCCTACGGTCTTCCAACAGTCGCGATATATATTATTCTCAACCGCTTGAGAAAGCATAATCAGAATTCAGCGGTACAGTCCGATATACTGCGTGACGGTCGGCGTGCAGCCAGAAGGGAATTACATAGGCGGCGACTCGATGCCAAAAAGGGGGGCCCACCATTACCGACACCTGCCCAGCTGCTCACAGAAATTGAATCCAAGCCACTTGCATATCTTCCAAGGCAGCTACAGGAAAGTGTGTCATCATTGACACAAGATGAGTTACAGGTTATCCTTCAACAGCATGTTCAGGAAGTATTAAAGTTCCGAGAAAAGATTTGATAAGATTGGAGACATCTGTATGTAATAATACGACTACTTATGTTATATGAGGCGGTGGAAAAGCTTTCAACAGCTGCTTGGGCAGACTTGAAGTCTCAGGCTACCTATTAAAATGATTTAAAAGGTGATCATGCAACAATTAGACACAGCAACGAGATTATCAGTATGGTCAGCTCAATGTCAATTTACTTGGACTCTATTTAAGTCACTACCTTACTGGTACTTACGCTCATATGTTCCAGTCCCTCATCGAGGATGGCCCCACTGGTCGGGTTCAAAAACAATGACTTGCGCCTTCTCTAGTACGACGGGATCGCATGGCTCACCAGAGACTGGAGGCCTCGTCTTTACCAAGGCTCCAAAAAGAGTACAGAATATCTGAAGCCTGTTTGAATCTATCGGTTTGGAGATAGTGCCTTCCGAGTCCAGTTTCTTTATCAATTCCTCGTCGCAGGACGCCAAGCGGGTGTTGGGTTCGTAAAATTTGAATTCATATTTCGTTTTGGTGGACCGGAAACGTAGCGCGAGATTGAGAGAGGCGCTGCATAGGTCGTAGAGTGAGTGTTGAAGATCTGCCACCTGTCGTCGGTAATGGCTGGTACGGTCTTCATATCCAGGTATAAGTACAGGTGTTAAGATTGCGAATAGACGGTCACGACACTTTTCGATAGTCTCGTGACAGTTCAATTGCAGATGTCCTGCATACGATACCGTGCGTTTTCGCCAATCCAAACATTCCTCGAAATCGACTGTAAGGTTTAAACAATTAGCATACCCACGTATTCGTTTTCAGAAAGGTGCATGAACCTTTGGAGTTCTCTTCGATGCGCCATTCAAACTCCTGCAGCGTTTTTTCCATATCGCGTGGCACCCCAAATCGCCGAGCATTGAGTGCAAAGAACTTGTCATGCAGCACTTCAAACAGCATTGAGATTAGAAGACGACGACGTCTTTCCGGCGCTTTGTCGATCATTACTCTCTGTATATAGAACCGGCTGTAGTAATCTGTATTAAATCGCTTGGTCAGATCCTTTGCTACTTCGGGCATGATCAAGACATTATCTGGATAAGCCTTTTTGATAACCTCGGTCGTCATATTTCGAACTTTGTACGTGTCCTGTAAGATATCCTCATCTAAAGGTTCATCCGAGGTCTGGCTATTCTTGACTATCATATCGCCAAGCTTTCGTATCTTGAGCATATTTGCCTGGCGCTGTCGGCGGAGCTCATCTCTTTCCTGGACTGCTTCATTTAGCCTTGAGCTGAGCTCCGCATTTTCCTCAACTGTATGTTCCAGTGATTGTTCCAACACTTTCTTTTCTGCTGCGAGTGCTTCGGCTTTCGATCGGAGTAGCACGATTTCGAGATCGTGATCTGTTGTATTTGGCTGGGGAACTGGTTGATGAAAATCCATTGGAACATTGTTCGCCATTTCCACATCGTGTAAATCCTGAGATTGATGTTCATTCTGTGTGGGATGATGTTCCTTTCCAATGTCAGTAACTGTTACAATATTGGCCTTCACATCTGCACAAACATGAGTGGATAAAAACTGATTTCCTTCCTGCTGAAAGGTATTTGGTATACACTCTCTCTCAATTATGTTCTCTCCGTTCCGAGTCAAAGTCAGTCCAGCTCCTGGAAACTTCGAATCAAGAAGTCCTTGGACGGCATCCAGTGCTGCCTTCATTGTTGTACCGCCTACACCTTCTTTGATGTACATCTTCACCGACGACAGCTCAACAGTTTGAATTCCATGTTCACGAAATTGAGTTGGATGTGACATTTTTCTTGAAATGATGTTCCAAGTAAGTCGCCCAAGTGGTTTTTCACTGATACAACTTTGCAATCACAATGCAATTAGAGCCACACGAATCGAGGAGGAACTTGATAAACCCCACTTTGATGTTCCAAGTTCTAGTGTAACGGGTGCGGGCAGCAAAAGCAAATCGGACTATTTATACCAGCTGAAATCCTATCCTTGTTTGTGCATCGAATTTGGGGGAAGGGAAGCGCAAGGCTGTGGTTGATGCGTGTCAAAACGCCACTGTCACGAACGGCGTTCTGCATAGCAAGGAAACCGACGCCCGTGGCTTAAAGGCTCCCTATTGAAAAATCCGTTAGGCATCAATAAAAAAGGAAGCAGATTCACAAGTCTCATTATTTTTGGCTCTCAATGAGGCTGACTTCCATGGATGCGGCCTTACACAAGTCTTCCAATTTATCCCCTTGAGCAGCCTCCTTACTTTCACTTTGCAAAGAAGACACAAAGTACCAGTCAATCAACAACCTACCAAGCGTTCTACAAACATGACCAAACTTAACCAAAAACCAACAGACCTGGTGAATGACTTTGGAGGACTCAATTTCGTGGAAGATCCTGATTCTCAGCTTATCATTGGCCTGGACTTCGGAACAACTTTTAGCGGGATTGCTTATATCTTCACAGAACAAAACAAACCAGATCCTGAAGCAGTGACAGACTGGCCAGGTACTGCAGGTTTAAAAGTGCCAAAAACACCGACTCTAATCGACTATACTGCTCCAAGTGGTGGTAAATCATTCTCATGGGGCTCCAAGGTCAATCCTACGAGTAAAGGCAGACTCGAAGGTATCAAACTGCTTCTAGATCCCGATCAGCCTGTACCTCTCTATGTACCCGCATCAAATACCAAAAAGGAGCTTGCTAAACTCGGAAAACCACCGCTGGATGTTGCCACAGATTACTTGAAAGCTCTCTATCAACATGCAATGGGACACATAAACAATGCATACCCAAAGGACTTCGTGGATATGCAACAGAAGAAATTTGTTCTGACAGTTCCTGCTGTATGGTCCGATAAAGCTAAAGATCTTACTCTAAAGGTATGGACTCCGACCGTCGCGCAAGGCTTTAACCAATTACTTTCACAGGCTGCTAAGAATGCCGATATCCACCCAGTCGAGTTAATCAAGGAACCAGAGGCTGCTGCATTGTATACGCTGCATTACCTCAAAGGTCGAGCCCTTGCGGTATGAGTACTATTTGCACGTTCTGGCTGTGTGCTAATGAATACATAGGTGGGCGATGCTTTCGTGCTTTGCGATGCCGGCGGTGGTACTGTGGACTTGATATCTTACGAGGTCGACAAGGTAGATCCATTAGAGCTGAAAGAACTAGTTCCGGGAACAGGTAACAGCATCCAAATCCGATAAGGAGCATCCAGCTAAGAACTTTGGAGGTGCGGTGGCTGGCTCTTTAATTCTCAATAAACGATTCGAAGAAGCCGTGAAAAATATCGTCGGCGACGAGGAATTCTTCGAATTGAAGAAATCGGAGGGATTCGCCGATGCAGTCAAGCAATTTGACAGAGAAGTCAAGCCCGCTTTTTGCGGCGACACAGATCAGGCATGGAACGTGAATTTTACAATGGGAAATTTGCAGGACGATCCATCAAACAACATTCAATCAAATTGTCTTCGCCTGAAATAGTTAGTACACTAAGAGAACCACAATCATCCTGTTTTAGACACGATACTGACCAAACATGTTCTTAGTGAGATGGTGCATCAGATCTTTGAGCCACTTGTTACGGCAATCATTCAATTGGTAGCCGAGCAAGTTGCAAATGTCAGAATCAAGCGAATGGGTTCGAATCATCCGAAAGGAAAAGAAATCAAGGTATGCTCATCAATACTCGATATGGATAGCTCGGCTCATTGCATACTGACACTTCGCAAATGTAGGCGATCTTTCTTGTCGGCGGTTTTGGGTCCAGTCAATACCTGAAAAAGCGACTAGAATTGGCAAATACAGATATTCAAATTATTCAACCTCCTGATGCGTAAGCTGCCTTTGCCAAAAGACTAGTCGAAGTTGCCACTAACATCTTGTGTCTGGCAGATGGGGTGCTATCGTGAAGTATGTTACGACATCCCGTGCGTAGTGGTTTCAAAAGCTGACATGAAGCAGAGGTGCTGTACTGAGCCAGATGCCTCACCAAGCTGTGGTCACGGCGACAAAATGTGTTCGGCACTACGGTGTATCAGCATCACATCAATACAAAGAGTCTGAGGATGCGGGTCAAGAGAAGTGGTGGGATAGCTATGAAGGGTTTTATCGAGTTCAAAAGATGACATGGTATCTGAACTACGTAAGCCCATTTTCCATAGCCATCTAGTATAAAACTAATTGTTATCGTTTTAGGATGATGATCTTGTTCGTGAAAAAAGAATTGAATTTGCCTTTTATCGGTCACTACCCAAGGACTACCAGCCCGAGGATCTGATTTTCGATGACCAACTCCTCGAGTGTGCACAGATTGATGCCCCAAAATATCCCACCGCAGGTAAATTTTCGATGATACTTTATCCATGTTATATAATTTTAACTCTTAGTCTCACAGGAGTAACGAAAGTTAATGTCAAGCTCAGGTCAGACTTGAGAAAGGTACCGAAAGAGGCTTTCGAGCACAAAGTCACATCAGGTGGTACTGCATATGTGGTGATATGGTACAAGTTAGTCATTTCAACGAAGACTGCCTCAATGGTGTTCTCTATAGAAGTCAAAGGGAAGGAATATAGTAGCGTGGAAGCAAAATACGACTAAGTGATTGGAAACATACATCACCGGTGTTTTTCATTATGACACCCTTTTATTAGCAGATTTTAAGATGAGCGAATGGCCTCGTATTATGTTTCTTTATGAATAGCTTATAGGAGACACGCACAAGGAGGCTTTCAGTAGATTTTCATTAATACTTACGTACATTAGACATCGTTTTGTCCACAAATAAACTCCTAAATGACTGACCGTTGATCAGACAGTCTAAACGCCATTCGGCACAGGCTACAGGATATTAACCTCAATAGAGATTCACCTTACTATGGGTTCTTTCATAAACCGGAAGTGGAGAGAATATACATGGTCAGTTGAGGCTAAGTGATGTAAAATGGATAAGATAATATCAATTATTGCAATTATCTAAATCGAGTGTTAATTGATTTACTCTAGCACTCTTTCGTCGAATCGACCTCTAGCAAGTCCGCGGTCGTCATTTTCTAGATGTAAGCAAGCTCCAAAACTGCTCTGGAACGGCTCGAAGGAATATTTAAGGGCTCGTTGTTAAACGGCCGAATCATCTAGAAGAGTTGCGGCGCATTGACCTCGTGATACCATTCGCAAACAATCCACCCCTCATGCTCGTCTTGTGCAATAGCCAGAAATCCCTCTCCGTCAACGACCCAAATACCATCCCCGAATCCGGATTCAATAGTTACTGGCTCCCAGCGGGCGTAATTTGAATCGGAGGGAAAGCCTTTAGCAGCAAAGGAAAAATCAGCCACGTCGAATTGAAGGTGAGTGCCATTCAGGAATGAGCGAGTTCTTTGATATTCCTTGGTTAATATTGGTACAAATACTGGATCTGCGAAGCCAGCGCCTGTGTGGTATGCTTCCACAGTCACTGGTTAGTTGATGCCATGTGAAAACAGAGAGCCCCTACGACATACGTGTGTAACCGTTGTATTTTGTTGGGCCTAAAGTGGATCTTAAATATATGTAGAACTCTTGGGTAGTATTCTGAGTGAATGGAACGTATGAAGCTACAACTGCCTCTCTTGCCGTGGTTGCTAAAGTATGCAACGCTGTGGAAAGTATGGCGAGAGGAGCATTAGAACTGCGAGGTGAAATATGATACCCATAATGATATTTTCCTCAAACTCTTCTGCTTTATGGAAGTCAATCATTAGAGGCAGTGATTGACGGCTGTTTGAATGTAGCTGTTTATGTGAAGTAATTGACTGAAATGATGGAGCGATTGAACATTGATGGATTTCGTTCCTTTTAAAACACTTTTGGACATCACTTGACAAAAAAGATATATGTCGCACAGTGTGCTACAATACCGCTGATACGAGGTATTCCTAGGATACATAGCCAACTCAGGACGTAAATGATGGCATCGTAACACCATTAAGGTTGGGTTGTGATGCTAGCCCACCCGTATCTGCACAGCTTCTCCAGACGGAAGCAGTTAAACGAAGTTAAACGATCAGATGCTACTGTGCACATACATGACTGGCAGCATGAAGTTCCAGTCGAGCTTTTTTCAAGACCATGTTGGAGAGGTATAGCGTGTGTAACCCATCCTTCACGCTGAGAACTCTAATTGGCACTCGAAACACGATACTTGATTACGACGATTGACGAAATATGGTATATCGCTCGTAACGAGACGATTTGTCAATTGTAAGCAAATACGACAACTGGGGAGTAAATCTCAACATGAAATATGGTTAAATTATCTTTAAGTACGAAGTATACTGCTGTTGAAAAACAAATGAGTTGGGCACTGACACTGGTTTCGACGTTTCAATCACCATCAACTCTCCCCGCATAAGGTCACTTCTATACTGAATGCAACCCCACCCATGGAATACGAGGTGTGACGGGGGAAATATTTTTCGGGACAATCCATCCTTCGAAGTTACCGATCCATCATTGCTGATTATTGCCTTGCAGTTATCTTCCTCGGCACGGAAGCCCCCAAACGACTGGGGACATAGAGTGTTTAGATGTGTGGATATAGTGTCGAGAAATGTTTGCGCGGAAGCATCATTGTCGCCTCTCTAGTGCTCAAGTACTTCACTTCCAAATCTTTACATCCTGACTTTGAATGCTTAGTCACCTAGATCACATTACAGACTGGCCAACGCAGAGAATGAATCGCTCAGCCAGCTTCGCTTTAGGGTAATGGAGAATAGCTCTTGAGATATCAATTACATGTAGAGCAAGCACAAGGTTTAGAGCACGAGACATTCCATACCAAAAACTACCATTTGTCGGCCTCTCATTGAAGGTAGTTTGTAGTAATGATATTGAGATCAGAAATTTCCAAGGGAGCATAGATTAGAGACTTTCAACGCCTAGGGTATGGCAGTTGAAACACCTGTGGAAAGGTCCTCCGATTGTTTCGTACCCAATCCTCAATCATTGGGCCATGTAGGAGAAGACTTCCCTGGTAAGCGTCAGGAATCTTCGAGCCAGTCTGGGATACTTCAGCCTTTCCTTGCATGATCCAAGACCGCGATCCAACTTTTTAAAATCACAATTTGTTCTTTCTTCGTACCTGTCCCAAGGAGTTGCGGGCTTGCCAGAGCATCGAAATTGATCCCCCGTCAAATCCAAGGCATAGGTACCGGCGCTACCTATCAATTCTTTTTTCCAAAGGTCATGCAACGTCACCGCAGGGGGATCGTCGTCGGTTTTAGACTCCTCGATTGTGTCTTGGGAATTATTGCAATTATACATTCTGAGATACGAAAAGAAAATTCCGTGTATATGTTAGCACTTGTAGCTACAAGTTTATCAGAGATTCGTTCACAAACTGGTAAATAGCGCCTCGACGCCTCGACTGTGGGTGTTAAACATAGAGCCGCATCAGTGCAGGACATATAGTTTAAGATTCGTATTTCTTCCGTAGTATTCTAGGTAAGCTCTGAGGGAAAAGGGTAAAGGTCGTCGTAAGGAGATTCAGTTTCGCGTTTGTCTTTTTCCATTAGTTGAAGATGTTCGTCCTGGAATATACGAACGGCGACAAAATCTCGATCAAAGTCCTTTTCTCGATATTCAGTCCCGAGCTGTTCAAGAGTTTTGGCAGCACGAAGGAAATGCTTTTTAATTGGATCCGGATCCAGAACCTCGCGATCACTACAATCAAGCAGAGTAGTGTTGGAGCACGTAGGACATTCTTTCTGCGGGTCTTTAGATCCCGTCCCACCTTAAACCGAAGATGATGATACCGATTATAGCAAAGGTCAGCAGTAAACGTGTCTCACGAGCTCATCTATCTAGCCACTTACTTGAACTAGGGCAGGGTCTGGAGATTCTCGTAGTTTGAGTGATTCGAGCGATCACTCAAGAATAGCTTGTCAAAATGTAAAATTTCGATAGCTACTACAACATAAGTCTGGAAGACTTTTGAACATCCGAAACCTAACTTAGTAAGGATTTGTATTGAATATATCACGGTACATTGCGTAAATTCAATTGAAGGAAATAGAGGAAACTGTACGGTGATTGTCAGGCGAACAATGACTTCGGGAAGAGGCAGGTCATATACATGAAATAAATGTTGATGTTTCCTTGTCAAAACTATTCATTCTGGCTTTGACTCTAAGAAATGGAGCAAACCTTTTTGCATACAAGAAAACTTCTCCTAGAAGCAAAGAACAATCAGTAAATTATCGCAGTTATAAGTCTACTATCGAAAACGCTAGTTGTCATAGACATGTCAATTTTTATCTCAGTACAATCGCAAGCGCAGTATCAACGCTACACATAGCAGACCAACTCTTAGTAAGCTATATCCTAGTTCTATACAGCTCAGAGACGAAAATTGCCGAAACTCTACAACGCCGCATGCTCTTGAACCAATTCACTACAATTATTACCCAAACTTAATTTTGTTCGTGAAATCGACTGCTCATCCAATTCTCTTGCAATTCTGAGACGTTCTTCGATACCCACAGTCACAGCATCCACAATTCCCGCGACGCATTTATCGAACATTGGTTGAGGCAGTTGTATCGTGTCCCACAAGGTCGTGTTGTTGTCGGACAGCCAACCACTGACTGCATGGGTAATGGCAGGAAAAGCTCTCTTGTTGAGGAACCCAATTATTAGTCCGTCGTATTGTCCCAAAAAGACAGTACCATTGATGAATTTACCCTTTGAAAGGGAGAACCAGCACGTCCGATTCTGCTCGCCCTATATATGTCCCAAGGAATGGTTGGGGCATCCATGTGACCAAATTGAGCTCCAGTCAGATCCAGAGCGTAGATACCAGCACAATTTTTCAATGTGACTTTCCATAGCGCATGCCGGCGAGTTGGCGATCTAATATCTCCACGCACGTCCACAGGTGTGATTGTCATTTTTGGAATCATATCATTAATAGCAACTTCGACAATTTTAGTTGATAGATCTGTTGCGTTCACGAGTCAGCTTGATTCCAGGTTCAGACAACCCCTTGAAACTGGATGCGACTGACCTCTGAAAAGTAACTCGACAACGTCATTCAAATAGGCAAGGGTATCTCCGCAGGCCATGAAATTCAAGACCGCCAGCTTGTCGCTAGGTTCAGGGAGCAGGTGGAAAGGAAATGGCTCAAGCATATCGTAAGGTGAGTTGAACCATCGATCGTCATTCTCGTGAAGGACAAGGCTGCCATCTTTCTTCTCGATCTTCGTTATCAGTTTGTCAAACAGCTTTTCGCGGTACGCCTCCCAGATATTCTCAAGAATAATGGCCGCACGGAAGAATCTGGCTTGTATGTTCTTCACCTTGGCATGTTTGCAGTCCATTTTGTGTTCGTCCCAGTCATCTCGCTGGCATGCGGCCGAACAGTATCGTCTGTTGGCATCCGTTGTCGTACTCTTGCATCCAGAGCAAGTCAGGGAGGCTGGCGTAGAGCATTTAACACATACTCGATCGGCAAAATCCGAGTTGGATCTTGGAGCAGTTGTGGGCGAGGGGTTCATCTGATGTGTAAAGTCAGGCATTATTTATACGGCAATGTGGTGTTGGAAAGTCTTACCTTGATAATTCTTGTGTGTCGATCTTGAGCAAGAGAGTCTAAAATTTTTAGAAAATGGTCTGGTACATATCGAGGCGTTTAGAAAGAATTGAACCTAGCAAGAGGGGCTTTTGAAGTCAAAGGTGAGGTCCTAACATGATAGATAGAAAGCGACGTGCAAGAAGGCACACTGGGTCCACCACAAGATGCCAAGCAAAAGGAGGATTGAAATTGGCAAGATTTCAATTCCCGTTTCTAAAATATACAATTCTGCTGGTATTTGCTGTTGGCATTGATGAATACCGTCAAAATCCCTAATTCAGGGAATTCATCTGCGACACGGCAGCATGCCGACATTCATATACTTCCTGCAACTACTTACATGAAGTCATATGCTCCTGAATGTGAAGTCATGTAACGGCGCATCGTCACATGCTTATATGGCAAAAGAGCTAGGGGCCTGTTCGGGTGAAACTCAGGAGTACTAGAGTCCGCTTAGTTTAGGTCCGTTTGGGGTCAAGACCTTGGGTATAGCTGGCGGTCCTTTCCTGACATATACTCCTTATCTTTTTGTATCCTTCGTATTAGACCTAGTAGGACCCGATAAGACGCCGAATACGTACTACCATGTACCTCTTGGTGCTCGTGAACTCGTGTCATTACAAGTCAAACCTTTTGTTTCTCTCAATACCGGCTAGTAGTGCACAAGGAGAGGTCAGCAAAGCTACCAAGAGAACAACCATTCTATACCTAGGTATCTAACCCTAAACTCGGTTACCGAAGTTCTTTTACTCAAAAGGTTCCACACCCATACAATATTTTCTCACTTCATTGGGCCAGAGAAGTGATATTTTGCCAAGTGGACCTAATAAGTATCATGTTTCGACTTCCACTGATGTTACCCACCGACAGGCCAGTTGTCAGAAATACGAAGTGCCATGAACTACAATGCACTTAAATTTACAAGTAGAATATGTGATCTGTATGCCACGACTCTTTAGATCATTATGCACATCGTGAGATTAGACGAGTGATCCAACGGAAAGAGACGTCCATCAATGAACGTTTATGACTTCTTTTATATTAGTGTTTACGCTACAAACGCGACTTTGCCAGATCCTCCCATCCTGGCAAAAAAAGCCGGAAAATCCGACAGCTTCCATTACGAAATAACAAAACAAACAAACCCCTGAGACAATAAAAAAGAAAAATAACTTGTTCTTCCATGGACAAAGAGTCACTTCGTGTGTGAAAGGTAAGTACCGTAGGCGGCTATTCGTATAGCCTTTACCACGAGCCGTGGGACCGTTAGAGATCCAAAGGAGACTACACCGACAACTTAGCCACAACACACACCGAACGAACTCTATTACAGAATGCTTTCTTTGTATTTTGCAAGAGAATTTTCATGATTGATTTCAAATCCGACTGGGAGGTCTTTGCCATGGTCGGCATGCAGGACTGTCTCGGCTGTGTAGTCGCTCTTCAAAGGAAAGGCTTTGTGCAGGCACCCGCTTGATAGTCAGAGAGTCTGGATAACATTTCAGGCTGGCTGAGTGAGAGTTTTGATGAACAGTATAAGACACAGGGCTTACTAGGAAAAGAGATTGATCCTTGATCTCCTCAAGCCTGGCTTTTAACTCAACCACTCTCCAACGATTATTGCACGCATCTAAATTTACTCATCTAACTCCCGATCCAAAGCACCTCGAGACCCTCGACAAAATGAATAGAGAAAGATCAATCGCCGGCGCGCAAGCTATTTTGGATTACACCTTCAGAAACCCGGAGCTGTGCTGGGAAGCACTCCAAGCAAAAGGCGCAGGAGGTTACCCGGAGGGCAACAAGCGGCTAGCTTTATGCGGAGACGCAGTACTTCGACTTTTGATTGTACAGTTGTGGTATCCCACCGGAAGAACTGCTGGTAAGTAGCGCATGCTCTCAATCAAATCATGACTTATATTATTCATAGAACATGCTTCGAACGTGGTCGCAACAACGGCATCAAACGACAACCTAGCCGTGATTGGTAGACAGTTTGGGTTGCCAGTACTTATCAATAAGAATCCATCGCAGAAGGGGGAGGTTCCCGGGGTTAGGCAGATTGCCGATGCGGTTGAGGCTCTTTTGGGCGCTGCGAAGCTTGATGGCGCAGATGAGACTACACTTGAAGGAATCATGGGGGACACTTGGGTTGTTGTAAAAGAATACACCTGTGGTGCCAGAGAGAACGTAATGATGGTGGTGACGTGATCCTTTTCGTTTTTCAGACAGCCGTGAGGGGGAGTTGGAGACAGAGGAGCGGAGCATTTGGATTGTAGCTAGCAAAATCAATCAGCATAGCATCTGGATATGAAGCAGTCGTTGGCATATTCCATACAAGAATAATAGCAGAGGAGGGATCGATGCAAAATGGACTGAATTCGCCTGGAATATACCCAGTGTTCTCTCCTCCAACCTAATCACTAAGAGGATCAAGGCCAGAGCTTCAACTTCTGGATAAGTAGTTTTGGTCACGAGCATACAAATCCCACTCCTTCATCTCGAATGTGCTCGAACTGCCTCGTCTCCATCATTGCTTGCTGGTCGCGTGTCAGGTCTAGAGGCGCTTCACCATCCTTGCCGGCGAGAAGTTCGAATTTAGTTGCTACCGTCATATTTCAGGCATCTGCGCCAAGGTACGATTAAAAACCCAGCAGATCATCAGAATGACATGGAAACCGTGGTAAAGTTTACGCCAGAGGCATGGTCGAGGTGCAATTGCAATTGTGCACTATGTTCGTTGTTTGCCTTTCCAAGGTAGGTAGAAACTCCAGCTAGATATCTGTTCGGAACCGATGTGAACTCGTATGAACAAATCTCGAACGATCGAGAATGTAGTGACGAAGGGAGTAGCGAAAGTATGCAAAAGCTCGACCAAATTCCTAGTGGCTAAGTGCTAACAACGTTTCCGATACATATGGCTTTGGTGTGTCTCTCCACAAACTCTGCAAGGTTGGGTTGGGCACTGGGGAGAGGACCGGTCGATCACGATTGTCGAATGCTGTCCAGCTTCGGTGTGTTTTCCCAGCCACTCTTGAAATCTTGCTTTCCGGTCTTGTTGCAATGTCTCCATCCTGCTCTGCGAGGCTACTCAGTTCAAGTGACAACAGGCCCAGAACCGCCTTCTCGTGCAGCACTCCATCCACCGACCTGTGCAGTCGCAGATCCGCTCAGTGACGCCAAATCGAGTGTATGACGTATCCCCCCTCGAACGCACAATCCAAGCTGATCGATGGTCTCCCATATCCTTCGCATAGGCCTCGCGCGAGATGATCTTAGGCGTCACCATAGATCTGCGCCCGCCTTCACGGCACATCGACCGCATGCCAACACCGAGATTCGGTCTTCTACAGCATCGTCAGGAGAGCCATCGCCAACAAAGATCGTGACAGGTTTCGAGTGTGCTTGCGCAACGTTCTTGGAAGGCAGCAGAACGTATGGGAGGGTTGCCGAAGCCATCGGCAACCTGCTCGAGACGAGGCCTGTTGGAGAGGTATTTCAACGAGATATACAAGAGCCGCGTGTATGGTTTGTCGAGGTCTCCTCCATAATTCCCTCGTGAGGCGAGCATGAAGATGGAAGTCGAGACGTATCTGCGATTGACGTCGGCGGGGAGCTGCACGGTGGATGTTGTTATCGTTGGTTAACAAGCAGATATTGCGCGACCATAGAGGGAGGCTGGGTTGGCCGGGTTCATATTGAAGCTGAGATTATATCCGATTTGATTCGAGACTCTGGTAATACGAAAGATACAGGTTAATTTGCGATGCCACCCGAGCCGTTTGCAAATGGGGGGGCGTAACGCGCGAAGATAGTTAAACCCTAATGTGCACCGCCCAACGGGTAAAAATAGGCCATAGGCAAGCCCAGCAAGCAGTTATTCACACTTTTCAAAACCAGAGCAAACGCAACGTATAATAGTAGTCGAGGCAACAGAATTCGGTCACCAACATCCTCTTCCGGAGGTACAAACAGCTGGGAGACGAACCATATCCCGGCACAACAACCTCTTCCCAAACGCATCCACCCACAAACACTTTGGCTGGTGCGGGCACAATTGCGCACACCCATTGGCACATTGATTGTGAAGAGGTTGATGGCGTGGGTGGTGAGGAGTAGATGGTTGGGGTTAACACACGCGATGCTAACACCTGCGGCGTGGTTGAATCTGCCTGCTCGGCACCGGTGAGCGATTTCTAGGCCATGGGCCCGACCTATATCCATGGGATTTTTGAGATAGTATAGGATCCTATATCTGTTAGCTCTTCTGTCGCTCCTGGGGATCGTAGTGACTTGCCGATGGACTCCCCACTTGTTACCCTCGCCATGCGAGTTAACCTTCTTGATCACATAGCCCGCCGTATCGGTAGCGCGACCAGGCAACATCCAGCAATTTTCTGGGCCTTGCGGCGCGTTGCATTCGGCGATTTTACTCGCCATCTTCTTTGCTGTCAGCAACGTATATATTCCATTGTACTTGTAGAATCGAGTATCAAGAACTGGGACGCAGGAATACAGAAGCTTTGGTGATGTAGCAATGTAGCATGCGAGAGTATACATAAAGTGGAATACATACCTCTTCCGCCAGCTTGCTCCATGTAAGCACTCGACCATCTGGATGCCAGATAGGCATCTTCAATTGCGTTCCATCTCCGCCCAACGGTCCCAACAATATGTTGTTGGTGTCAAGCGCCACAATCCATTTGTCCATCTCTGCTTTTACTAGGCGTTCTGCCCGGGCGCGGGGATCGATGGGTGGTGCTAGTGGAGGGAGGAGCAATGCATCTCCTGTGTCATCATCGTTCTCGTCGTTTCGTCTTCTCTTAGTGCCTAGCTTAGGCGCGAGAGGCTTGCGAGTAGGCATAGAGAGCTGCTCTGAGCTGAGGTAATAGAAACCGAAGTAAAGAGCGCTTAGGCATGTTTTCTGATAATGGTGTTGAGGGAGGCCTTAGGTTTCGTATTTCGATGCCACTTGGAATGACGAGGGACTCTCCTCGCCGTGTTAAAGGCAGTTGCCATGCTGGATAGGGGAAGGTGTCGCGTGTTAGGAAAGTGCGGCGATTGGCTTCTGCGGAAACAGAGCTAGTTAAGAGTAAGAAGCGCCGATATGCCTACTAAACGATATCCCTGCGTAGCGAAAGTCCCCTATCCATTTTCGGCTTCACACATAAATCATGAATAACTCCACAAAAATTTCTACTTTTTAAATCATAATGCGATAATATTATATTAGATCCTACAGGTTTGATAATTACCAAGTTTTATACACAGAACCTGTCTCGTCGTTCGTTGATTGCGCATTGATTATCATCGAATATACACGACCTTTACAGATCCTCATTCATATTTACTATTTCCCGGACTTCAACAACGTTCTCGAGGCTTCAGACTTGAGTAATATTAGCCAGGACTAGTCTACTTCTTTTCGAAAGGTGTTATAAACCATTTTAATAAGAATTGGCGTGTCCTATGTCCAGGAGAGTTGGCACTCCGACAAATGAATGCTCGGTTAAATCTACTAGTCTGTAAAGCAGCAACCATAAGTCGACTACCGCCTTTACAGGATTCTTGTTTGCCCATTAAAGCCTCAGGCACTATTCCCTATCCTTTACCGAGCTGCTCCTCCCTACTTCTTTTAGGCTTAGTGCCTATAGGTGGTATTAACAGCTAACTTAATGATATCGCCGATTATAAGTGACTTCTTTCTATAAAAAAGACTAATTGAATCCGAAGAACAGAAACACTAGCTACTACTTAATAATGTATACGTATTGAAATTGTGTGTCTGATCTTAATAACTCGGATGTATTTCTTAAAGGTAACGCAGGTAGCTAGTCTGAGCTTGCAACTCAAACTGCTGCTTCAATAATTAGAATATAATCACGTCATTCTATATTATAAGCTCTGTTTGCAGATCAACATTGTAATATTAATTATATCGTACAGCAATTGCTGAAGATTACGAGTACATAGTGACGCTTCTGTGCCTGGGAATAGGAAAAATAATAATGAAAGAAATTAGGGTATCTCAAGTAGTGCTTAAAGACGATATGCTCCTGTATAACCTAAGTTATATATCTTGATATAAAGCTTCATCTATCTCCGCCGGTCTCCCTACCAAGCTCTTCATAACTCTTAAGTATGTTCGCTAGGTTACGACGGCTGGCCATAGTTTCGTTGTGGTGGGGGCCATATAGTGTCTCGCACCGATTAAGCTCTTCTTGAAAGAACAATATAGCTTCGCTAATATTTCCTTGCTGTTGAAGAACACTTGCCAAATTAAATAAGGCCCCTAACGTCTCAGGATGCTCCTTCCCCAAAACCTCCTCCTTCAGCGCCAGTGTCGACCGGTGCATCACCTCTGCCTCCGCGTACTTCCCTTGGCGGCTCAGCGCTTGTGCGAGATTGTTCATGCTCGCCAGCGTCGAGGGGTGCTCTTTCCCCAACACCTTCTCCCTCAGCGCCAGCGTCGCCCGGTCCATCACCTCTGCCTCCACGTACTTCCCCTGGTCGCTTAGCGCTTGTGCGAGGTTGTTCATGCTCGTCAGCGTCGAGGGGTGCTCTTTCCCTAACACCTCCTCCTTCAGCGCCAGCGTCACCCGGTCTATCACCTCTGCCTCCTTGTACTTCCCCTGGCCGCTTAGCGCGAGGGCGAAGTTGTTCATGCTTGTCAACGTGTCAGGGTGCTCTTTCCCCGACACCTCCTCCCTCAGCACCAGTGT